TGGGATTCAAAGGAAGGCGCCAACATCTGTGTTTAAGTATCTGGCCTAAACAGATGGAAACAAACTATGTGCTACTGGAAGAATAAAGACATATTCTTTGCTGTAACACAAAAGACATTGCACAGACATGATGTTAATGCCATAATGGACTCTTCTAAATAACTCAATGCATGACGGCAGAGAAAATAAAGACAGTTTGGACTGCGCTATTTGTGGCACGGGCCTTGGGATTGGAGGCTTGGAGCCATTTGGCTTGACTTTCTTTGAAGATGGTTTTGTGGAGGGTTAAACCCGTACTCCTCCCTCTCTCTGATGCCTGTCGCTCTTTCATTCTGCCCAGGGAAGGCTGTACGTCACTGGGTGCAGATATAAAATTGGCAGTATCTTGCCATCTGCGCACTGGACTGTAATTCACATCAGTTCTGAGAGCATTTTTAGCTGTTGCCTTGTAACGTGTTGGTGGCGACTGACTTTTTAAACCTCTGGATATCCAGGACTCACATTGTTGGTGAGAGATTTAAGTTTTTACTTGTTTATTGAATTTTTTTATGTTCTCTCAATTTAACTTTTCCAAGGACCATGGTATTACTGGTATAACATGGTAACACCATAGTTTTTGGATGCATTTGTTAAAATAACATCATTGAATCATTGTACTTCTGCAGTACACTCCAAAAAATGCTGGGTTGTTTCAACCCAAATTTGGGTCAAATATGGACAAACACAAATGTTGGGTTAAAAATGTATTTAAAAAATGTACAGTTGAAAGTGAAAGTTGAAGTTGGGTTAAAATTTAAAATTACATTTTTAACCCAACATTTGGGTTTGTCCATATTTGACCCAAATTTGGGTTGAAACAACCCAGCATTTTTTAGAGTGTACTTTTCTGAGTCTTTACGTTGAGCATTTACAATTTAATTGTAAAATTTACTTTTTAAATAATTAATAAAAAAGAAATAATTCTGAGAATGCTCATTACATATATTGATAATTATATATTTACCTAAAATTTCCATCTTTTTCACAGGATTTTCTACCTGCTGCGTGGCTTCTAGTTGGCATACCATGAGGACATGGAGGTTTTGTTCACTGGTCGTTTGTGTTTTGTTGCCTTTCATCAGTGGATTCCAGCAAGAGGACACTCAAGCTGGTTTGTTATCCTATTCTTAGTCTTATACTTAATGATATATTAGTCAAATAGTTTAAATCATTGAACATTTGAACAATATAAATGTGCCTTCAAGTGACACTCTTGAGGAATTTGTAGCTCACACAGGAGATCATTGCAGTAGCAACGTCAAGGTCATGGGTTCAATTTCAGGGAACACATGAACTGATCAAATGTACAGGTATACCTTGAATGCAATGTAAGTCGCTTTGGATAAAAGCGTCTGCCAAATGCATAAATGTTAGTGAATACACTTAAGTAAATTACTATTTATTCAGTCATTCTTGTGTTGACACTGTAGGGTAAATTCAGGTAAATTGAGCAACTCTTGACATTGAGATGTCAGAAATGGACAAATGTACCTGTCTTCACTTTACATTTCCTCTCTGTGTGCATGTGGACTCTTTGGGCAAATGTTTTCCTGGGTTTGCAGGTTGTAGCACAACTCCCAATGACCTTGCGTTCATCATCGATGGCTCCTCAAGCTTGGGGCTCCCCAACTTTGAAACAGCCAAGCGCTGGCTCATCAACATCACCAGTGGCTTTGACGTGAGCTCCAGGCACACTCAGGTGGCGGTTGTCCAGTACAGTGACACCCCTCGCCTGGAGATTCCTCTGGGAAAGCAACAGAACGGCCAGGAACTCGTCAAGGCCATCACCTCCATCTCGTACCTGGGAGGCAACACGAGGACTGGCCGCGCCATCAAGTTTGCCACGGACCACGTCTTCGGGATGCCCAACCGCACCACCAAGTCTCCCAGAAACCGCATCGCCGTGGTTCTCACCGATGGACGTTCACAGGATGACGTTGAGGATGCTGCAATAGAAGCCAGGGCACAGAATATTGTTCTGTTTGCAGTCGGTGTGGGAAATGAGATCACTAACTCTGAGTTGGTGTCCGTGGCCAACAAGCCAGCCTCTACTTACGTGCTACACGTGGAGGACTACAAATCTATTGCAAGCATATGGGACCTGATGGAGCAGAAACTATGCGAGGGTGAGTCGTGCTTGACTTTGAAGCATATTTTTTATAATCATTACAGGGATATAAACTTGGGGCCCAATACATTTGTTGACTCCTGAAGAGAGACTTGGTCATCATCTGCCATGACAGGATGCAATACAGACCATTGGAGATCTTTGGACTAGTGATTTTTTTTAATGCATATATATGGTTACGCACTGGCATTGGTTTTCTGTTGTTTTGGTCACTGTGTGTTGATTTGTTTCCTTTTTATTGCTCAACTGTTGCTCTTTCATGGCTGGAGAGACTTGGAGTTCTTAGTTACAACTAATTTCAAATAAAATTCCTCAGGAGGAACAAAAAATGAGAATAGCAATAAAATGAATGCGGATAGCTCCTCAGATTTGGTTTTGGAAGAATTTGTCTCCTGAAAAGTCCACATTTACTCTCCATTTAATCTCATTGCTGTTTAGGACAAATAGCTGAGATATTAAAGAGGTCTCATTAAATTAGATCATTCTTATTCTGTTATGGTTGTCTGGTTATCAAACACGTTCTGATCCAAAGCATTACACAACAGTTGAAGTGCAACTAGAGGCTGTGAGTGTCTGTGAATTGAGTGGCTGCATTCTCTCATTCACAGAATCGGTGTGTCCGACGCGAATCCCTGGGACAGTGAACGATCAGAAAGGCTTTGATTTAATGAGCCTGATGAAGATCGAGCAGGGGGCTCAGAAAGTTCAGGGCTCTTTGATATCAGAGAGAGCGTCACAGCTCAGCCCTCGCATGGACATCACTCATGACACCAGGTGATTTTTGCTTTGCAGTTTATAGCTTATAGATTCTTGCACATGTTGAAGTGCTTGAATTATGTCCATCTGATGTAAATGAGATGTTCCTGTGGTTAGATATTCAGGCTACTCTGACCTACACCTGATGTTCCTCACAGAGAGATCTTTCCAGAAGGCCTTCCACCAGCTTTTGTGTTTGTGGCAACTCTACGCTTGAAAAACCCAGCTCACTGGATGAAGTTTGACCTCTTGAGGGTGTTATCTCAGGACGGAGTTAAGCAGATCGCTGTGACTGTGAACGGACCAGACAAATCTGTCACTTTCTCCTGCACAAGCACTCTGAAGAAAGAGCAGACAGTCATTTTTAATGACAGAGGGATCAAGGTCTGTGAAATTTTTGAGTCACTTTTAAATCTCATTAAGATAAACACTGGCTGCATGCATCCCAGTTCACAATATATCCATCCAAATAAATATAATATTCATTTGTGGGTGAACTAACCCCTATAAATGAATAATGTTCATAAACTGCTGTTGATATACTTGAAACGGAGTAGTGGCTTGGACCCAGAAACATTATTTGATACATCACAACTTAACAATTGAATTGTGTAATTTATGTCTTAAACAATTTGTTACCTGTCAGGTGTGCTTTTACAAAATGGTAGGACGGAATGTGTATGTCTTTTAACAATATGATTTATGTCTCCATAGAGGCTCTTTGACACGGATTGGCACCAGCTGAAGTTCTTGGTGAAACCCAAACGCATCACTTGTTTCGTAGATGGCGCGTACGTGGAGGAGCAGCTCCTAGATCCAGTTGTTCCTATCTACATTAACGGAAAGACTCAGGTGGCCAAGAAAGTCAGTATCGAGACTACAGTCCCTGTGAGTGTTCCCAACATTTTAATGCTCTTTTTGACACCTGACTGATCACAAGTTTTAACGTGCCAAGTTAAAATGATCAGTAGACTAGTAGTTTGCTATCCCAATATTCAGATCAGATCATTACATTTCTGTGGTGTCTGGTGCTGCTTTATCAGATTGTGCTGCAGAAGTTACGGCTCTACTGTGACCCCCAGCAAAGTGAGCGAGAGACAGCATGTGAAATTTACTCTGTGGTAAGACCGTAATGTTATCTGCCACACTACTGGGCGTGTGCAACATGGATCAACATACTTTGTTAGTTCTGGAACAACATTCCTATTCAACAATCATAGCATTAACCTTATTTCTACCCCTTAAGCCCATTCATCCATTAACTTTTTAACCATTAACCATTAACATCCATTAAAAGTCTAGTTAATAAAAATCAGAAGGTAATGACCCTGCTGAAAAATCCAACTGGTTTTGCTGCTTAGTCCTGGTTCGGTGTTGGTCTTGCTTCACCATCAAAACCTAGTTGGTGTCAACTTGTTGATTAACTAAGGCATTCTTGCTGGTTAATTTGCATGTAGGTAAAAAAGCTCAGTAGGACACATCACATCAGCATCCAAAACACAATATATGTTGGTAATCAGCAATGCTGGTCTTTTCAAAAGAGTTTTGTTTTTATAATAATATTGTTTGAGCCTTTTACTCAAATCCTAAATTAACCATCTAATTGGTTGATAACAATGTTGTTTCAGGACCAACACGGATGTTTGACCCAGGAACGTGTCCGTCTAGTGCAGGGGTAGGCAAGTTCGGTCCTAGAGAGCCGCTGTCCTGCAGAGTTTGGCTCCAACACTGAAAAAAACCTCTCCTGCCTTAGTAATCCTGAAGACATTGATTAGCTTGTTCAGGTGTGTTTGATTAGGGTTGGAACTAAATTCTGCAGGACAGCGGCTCTCTAGGACCGAACTTGCCTACCCCTGTTCTAGTGTTTATCTGCCACCATTCATTTCCTTCACACTTTAATTGATCTTTCTGTGTTTGTTACAGGATGATGACAGGGTAAGTTACAAGTCTAACTATTCTTGCTTTTTAAAATGTTCAATGTGTAAAATTCAAATGTTCTTTTTGTATTGTGGATTGGTTTATTTCGTTTGTGTTTTGTATCTCCAGTGTCCTTCGGATCGCTCTCTTGCTCTTGAAGGTTGCGATTGTCCCAGTGGTAAACCTGGTCTGCCTGGTCTACCCGGGCCTATGGTAAGGCATTTTTCAACTGTGCATCCTAGTGGATGGATAGACAAACTTCCTGAGGTCTTTTGCATTGTTAATTGATTAAAACACATATTTAACTCTTCGCTGTTTGAACGCAGGGCTTCAGAGGGGAGAAAGGCAGAGAAGGACCTCCTGGCCCTGATGGTAAACCTGTAAGTAGAATTATTGTTACTGGTGTGAGTAGAATTATTAGTGGCTCAGGAGGTTTGGACAAATGTGTTACCGTCATGATTTATTCGTCCACCAGGGGAAACCAGGAGAGAAGGGAGCAGCTGGAGAGCTTGGTCGAGATGGACAGAATGTGAGTGAAACATCAAGAACATTTTCTGATATTCTCAAAGCTTTATGTTATTATTTTATTTCTCTATTTACAGGGTGAAGCAGGTGAACCAGGACAAAAGGGGGAGCGAGGACTCGAAGGACCCAAAGTATGTACATTTTGAGATTTTCATTGTCATTAAAATCAAAAATTATTTAATGGCTTGTATACTTTCCCCCCCAATCTTTTAACAGGGAGAAATGGGATCACCAGGTCCACCGGGGCCTTCAGGACCGACAGTGAGTCTCAAAATTTCTGATCATTTAATATTAATTTTCCTGTTGTTGTGTTTAAAGGTTTAGAAGCAAAAACTACAATGACTGAAATGATTCTCTTAAAATCTCCTTTAGGGCACTGGCTTTTCCACATTGGATTTAGATGGCTATGGAATTCAAGGAAGCAAGGTTAAAAAAACAACAACACATCATATTACATTAAATGATTACCAAACATTATATTTGCATATGCAAACTATCGTGGCCTTATAGGGAATCCCAGGAGAGACAGGGGAAATGGGACCACCTGGAATACCCGGACCAAATGTAAGGAATCTGCTTTTAGCATCTACTCATGAATGTTCATATGCATTAGTGATCATTAACAGATTTAGCAACTCTTCACAGTATTCTGTTTGAATGAAGATTGTAAAAGTCAGAATTTAATTCAAAGAGGTCTTATTTTCTTTCCCTTGCAGGGTGAACCTGGGCCGCCTGGTCTACCTGGACTTGCTGGTCCCAAGGTAAGACAGATTTCAGTCTGACATTGCATCCAAAACTGTTATAATTCAACTATCACTACTTCTGTAATCATAATCACTCACAACCAGGGGTTTTGTCCTGGACGTTATGGTGATGGTGCTTATTAAAAGGCTGTGGCCTCAAGCATTGTAAAAAGCGATTTTCTCTGTATGTCTTGTTTTCCAGTACAAACCCAGACATCTAGAAAGTGCCGGCCCAGATCCGGCCCAAATCTGGTACACGTTGAATCCACACGTACCAGACGTGGGCCAGATCTGGCCCGACACTATGTTGCTGTAGGAATATACAAACATTCTTAAATCAATATACATACTTGAGAATCAAGATGACATAGGAAATTAAGTCGTGTTTTCTGAAAAATATATTAAAATCAAGCGAGTTCATCCTTAAAATGAGCAAAAATATCTGTAAAAAGGGTAGGAAAAATAAACGTAAATTTTTCTTTACACCACTGGACTTTTTTTCTTCTTGTTTTAAAGGGTTCATACAGTATAATGCCATTTTTGTACAAGCTAATATGATTCTTTAGGGTCTAAATTAAAAGTTTGTAATATACTTTAATTAAAAATTCTCATTAGTATTGTAAGAAAACACTTATTTTACTTGGTCAAAAACAGCTCTGTTTTCAGCACGCCGTTTCAGTGCATATGACTTTAAATGATAATGAGCTTTGCTCACCCCGCCTCTCTGTTCTGTGTGTACACCGTTTGTAACACAATAACACAATAACCATAACGCGTTGTTCAGTATAAACGTGGGATTATGAATTATATTGAGAACGTCGTGTATAGAAAACATGCCGTAATGTACCCTAAGTGTAAACCTTAGACGCATTCATTGTGAAGCGTGCAGCTAGCGATTTGCAAAGATTAATATAAATATTAATATAAAGTTTAATAAAATGTTACACTCACTTCAGTTGTTCTAGAGGTTCAGCAGGAACACGAATAGCTGGTACCGATCCTTTTTTCATGAGCAGCTTCTTAGCAAAACCAGCTTTATACCTCCTGGTTTATAAAGCAGTCTGGTGTGTGAAATAATTCGCACAAACATGAGAGCATTGACGTTGCTCGTAGGGAATATTCCCTTCGAAAACAAACTCAGCCACTGCGTCTTAGCGGTTCGGATTTAGGAACATTAAAATGCTGTGTTCGTTATTACACCCAAGAACAGAACACCACAATCGCTTAGACGCCATTCTGCTCATAGACAGTGCTCCAGCATATCAACAATGAGCGCGCCGGTCCGCGCGGACTATGCTGAGACTATGACTGTGTTGAAACGCTGCTGTCAATCAACAATCGTGGGAGGGGCTTCCGAGCGTGTGACGTCACACGGTCGAACGGCTTGATTTGAGGCAGGGGAAAACAAATAAGGAGATTAAAACAAAAACACTGGATAGATTTTTATCATTGTATGATGGTTGTGTACAGGCACTGCCAACACACATTTCAGTACAATCAACTTGTAAAAGTGCATGTACCATTATATGAACCATTATAAAAACTCACTTCATTTTGATAAGTTTATCAGAAAACAAGACTAAATTTCTTATGTTACGTCACTTTTCTCAGGGAAATGTCACTAAGAATGCTTAGATCTTTGTACTGATTAGTTGATTGCATAGGAAGGAAATGCTACATCAGAAGTGCACGTCTTGTTTTCTGTTGATTTGTGCATGAGAATGTAGATGCACCTTTTTGTGGTGTATATTTTTAGGGAAAACCCACCCACAAATCTTTGGTCCTGTACCTCATGAATTCAAGTGATGTTGATGACTTTTATCTTGTTTTTGAAGTGCATGTGAATTAGTAGTTTTCCTGTTTCTATACACGGCATAAACAGGCAGTCTGAGTTTCAACATCACACCCAGAATTTCAAAGTATTTAAAGCAGCGCAGGGTGTAAACCATCAGATGTGTCAGGGATACGATCAGACGTCCTCTCACACGAGAAAGTTCTGGATTATTTTAAGCATAAGGGCATATTTGTGGCCTTGTCGTCGATCCTTTTTATCCTCTGACATTTTTCTTAGCATTTTGCCAGCAGCAGACTGCCGTCTTGCCCAAAGCTCTATATATAGCGACTTAAACGCCTAGATTATGATGGGTCAATGACACAGTACACATCATGAGCTGCTCTCTGCTCTATATGAATATAAGATCACATGCCAGCCTAATTACGGTGAGCTGGTTACATTTTACATCCGGTTTAGAATCATTATAGATGAATACTGTGGTATTATGATAAATAAAAGAAGAATGTTGCTTTTATGAAGTTTGTGTTTCATGGCAAAGCTGATTTTCAGCAGGATGTTGACACTTGTAAAAATAAAGTAGCAGCACATATAATATTTAAATGTCACTATGAATATTAAAAACACGCATGATGAATATTGTACACTCTTGGTGTTGTAGTTGAACCCAGATAAGAACTTTAGGTAACACTTAAGTTTAGGCCTCAATTCTATCTATTAACTTGCTTATTATTAGCATGCATAGGATATTGGCAGTTTATTAGGACTTATGAAGCACATATGAATGCTTTATTCTGCATGATCCCTTAATCCTCCCCAATATACCTAAACTTAACAACTACCTTACTAATTATTAATAATAAGCAGTAATTAGGAGTCTATTGTGTCAAAAGTCATAGTTAATAGTGAGAATTGGACACTAATTTAAAGTGTGACCGAACTTTATTGCTCAGATATTGCTCTTTTATAGTTCAGGGAACTTTCTGGAGTTTTGAGGAAGTTTCACCTCAAGGAAGCAAAAGCAGATATTTCTCTTTCAGTATCTTAAGAGAAATAAAAATAGAAACAATTTCGGACAAATGGTATGCTCAGATGATTTGGTTTTGGAAGAATCTGATGAAAAAAGTTTGAGCTCATATATTGAGATCTATGACTTTGTTATGTTGGCAAATCTGAGCAGAGTTTGAGACATTTTGATCTCTTTTGAATCTCTAGGAGACGTGTGAGATTACTGTGCGGGTTTCTTGAGAGAAACGTCTGAAAGTTAATTTAGTTGCTGGCTTAGAGAGATATTAAAGAGATAGTATATATTTATATACTATACCCCCAGATTTTTAGACATAAATTGTCAGTCTGTCGCTCAGATCTATTTTCAGGCTACAGCATCTGTCTCAGCATCTGTGTGCCGCCCTGCCATTTACTGCCCCATTAAGTCAAGCCTGTTTATCAGTGCAGGGCTTTGATTTGACTCTTGGTGGAGCTTAACGTTTATTCAGGTTAGGATGTGGCTCTGTTTAAAAGATGTGACATTTAGATTTTGTTCCACGAACCTATAAAATAACCTTTAAAAACGTTCAAAACTTGTTAATAATGTTCACTGAAATGATCTAACTTATAAAAATGATTAGAATGTATTTGGACTTGGTAAATCATCATGATTTAATGCTCAAATTAAGATCTTTTGGTATTTTTGATAGATTTTTGTAGTTATACAAGTCCCACATCTATAAACACTAGAGCTGTGCAGTAGTGCTTAAACGAAAGACATTTTCATGTTCAAACTATGAGTTTCTTCTGGGGTTTACATGCTTGATGCTTCACACAACCGGTGAAGCTGCTTGTATAAAGCGTGCAATGGTTTCAGATTCACGTGTTAGCTTTGTGATTTTTTTTTTTTTTTTTTTGCATTAGCTGTTGCAATATTGTGCATTTTAGCACTTTGATAAGAAATTGTCTTCCAGTTAAAGGGCTAGCATATGCATGATGAGACTTAAGTGAAAGTTGAACTGGGCTTCATTTCTCAAAAGCATTGTAAGTCCTTTTAGATCATAGAACCATTGGCACCACTGGTCTCTACGATCAACTTAGCTCACGATGCTTTCGCAGCCCTGGACAGCATCACTATTATAATGTTTGCTAGTTTTCCTTGTTAAGTCCTAGCCTTACCATTTTGGATCTGAGACAGAATTGCTCGCTGTATAGCGGTAACAGCAGGTTTCCCCAGACCACTGAGGGATGATTAGTTAACCAAAACTTGGTTTCATGTGGCACACCATAAGAGAGCTCCCTCATAAGGGTGGGTTTCCTGAAGCACTAGTGGTGCCACCAGCTCTGGAAACAGCCTTTAATCATGACATGATGCAAACATACATGCATATGGACTGTTAAAAGAAACTGAAACACACAAACCCCTAAACCCAAGAACGACTCGTGACTTGGTTGATTATGAGCTTATTTGATCAGAAATGGCTCATTACTGTACGTTTCACCTGCATCAAACATTAAGTGCATGCACAACAACCACCAACAGGTTAAAAGAGATAAAAGTCACGTGGAATCTCATAAATTTCTTTTAATTGGCCTTCTCCTGGATATAATTGCAGAGCGACGGTATAAGGTACAATTATTGTTTGTCGTGTTTTGAGAGCATGCTTTGTGTGAGGTCTTTCCAAATGTCAGAGCCTCAGGGTGAAGTATAAATGTGCATGTATTTGTGTGCATGGAAGAGAAATGCACTGGGAAATATACATTTTTACACTAACATTCAGTAAAGAATGAGAAGACTTTAGTATCTTGTAGCACAGCCCAAGTATTTTACATCAATACTGAGGGCAGTTCATTTAGGCATTAGGAATTGCACAGTATATTTTGCTTTAAAACATATATGAAAGCACAATATGCTTTGAGAAGTGATTCAAATTGCAGTATGCTACATTGTTAAGTGTTGACACATGGCCTACTTCTACATACAGTATATGAAATATAAGACTGTAAATATATTACAAGAAATATAAGTACTGGGCACATGCAACATCCACATATGTCGAACATTCACATATACTGTGAACAGAATGCATAATTAGTATGCAACCCTATAAAGGCAAATCTACAACTTAATGTTTTTTGATTGATTAAATATCAATATCTGAGCTTAGTCGAGTCAAACCCGTCTGTCTCGGGACCGATAATAATATCTAGAATATTTTTGACAAAATGTGTTGTTACAGTGTTTGCCTTTGTAGGGCAGTATGGTAGTGTGTTATTCCCCATGCCTCATGCAGAATGTGGGACATAACTTATTTTCTGTCAGGTGTGTTCCACCATACACAAATTACTGATCCACATGTAACCAGAAACATGCCATTTTAGAATTCACATGATGGGCAGCCGGCAACTCGGGAAAGGAGGACATTTCTGACCAGCGTTTACACATGTGTACGGCTTGTAATTTAGTACCTCAGAAAAGTGCAAAAAAGTCTTTAGATAAGCTCTATTTACCGTTGGGTGTAACATGTTTTGATTTTAATGACAGACCGTCTCAAATTTCATACTTACTTTACAAGATGTGTGCATATTTAACTTCTCTGCGCTAGATTTCTCTTTATGTAATTAGTATGTAAAAATGTAACCCAAATTGGAACTGCAAAACTCTAATTATAGCTGCAATTATTGGAATGTAGTATGATTATTTAAGGCACAGTGAGAGTCTTTACCTACAGCTTACCACATTTCTATTTCTAGAAATATGTGATATCACAACAGAAAAAAAGGTTTAGAATATCCTTTAAAAAAGTGTAAATGGGTGAGATAATATATACGCAAAGCAAAAATATTTATTTTTATTTTATTATAAATAATATTATGTAAATAATATAATACAATTCTTAACTTTTTTGCATTACAGTAAGATTTTATTGTACAGTAATTGTAATTTATTGTCATGAAAATAATTTCACAATGCATTTAATGGTCCTTTGTGGTGCAATATGATTTTAACAGCATTTGACCGCTTTGTTTTCATTCAGGGAGAGAAAGGAGAAGATTGCATTGCCGGATCAGATGGACAACCAGGAATCCCTGTGAGTTTATTTAACTTTATCTTAAATGTCTGTTCTTTGTATATTTATTTTCTATTCTGTTTTCTGCCACAGTTTTAGTTCACGACAAAACCATTTTTTAAGCCACTTAAAAAATGGTAGATGCTAGAAAAAATATACACTCACTGGCCACTTGATTAAGTACATCTGTTCAGCTGCTCGTCAACACAACTATCTAATCAGCCAATCACGTGGCAGCAATTTAGGCATGTAGACATCGAAATCGCCCCCTATAACCTTCAATAGGGCACTATGTGAGGGGACAGCCATTTGTAGTGGTGTCCGAAACCATAGTGGACGTTATCAAATGCACTCATTCAATTCCACAATGCACCGCAATAACGAGTGTATAACAGATGCACGCTCAACGGCTAGAGAATACCCATAATGCAATGTGACAGTGATGCTAAATGAATTCCTTCGTCTCGTCTGAAGTTTCAAATGATTATCAAACAGCGAGCAAACTATGCAAAAGCGGCAGCCCTTCCTGCACACTCAGTGTCCGAATTCACTCACTCGTTTTTATTCACCCTTCAAGTGGACTATATAAGGGGAGTAATGTAGGGAATAATGTAAGGTTAGGGGCGATTTCGAAAACAGCCACGGTCAAGATGATCAGCTGGAGTTCAAAGTGAGGAAGAAGGGTGATTTAAGTGACTTTGAACGTGGCATGGTTGTTGGTCCCAGACGGGCTGGTTGATGCTAGAGGTCAGAGAATGGCCTGACTGGTTTTACCTGATAGAAAGGCAAGAGTAACTCAAATAAACACTTGTTAGGTGCAGAAGAGCATCTCTGAACACACAACACGTTGAACCTTAAAGCAAAAGAGCTACAGCAGCAGAAGACACACCGGTGACGCTCCTGTCCGCTGAGAACAGAAACTGAGCCTACAATTCACACAGGCTCACCAAAATTGGACGATAGAAGATTGTAAAAACGTTGCCTGGTCTGATGAGTCTCGATTTCTGCTGTGACGTTCAGATGGTCGGGTCAGAGTTTGGTGTAAACAACATGAAAGCATGGATCCATCCTGCCTTGTATCGGGTTCAGGCTGCTGGTGTAATGGTGTGAGGGATATTATCTTGGCACACTTTGGGTCCATTAGTACCATTTGAGCATGGATTAAACACCACAGCCTACCGGAGTATTGTGTCTGACAGTGTCCAGCTCTTTATGACCAGTGTTCTCATCTTCTGATTCCAGCAGAATAACACGCCATGTCACAAAGCTTAAATCCTCTGGAACTGGTTTCTTGAACATGACAATAAGTTCACTAAACTCAAGTGCCCCCCACAGTCTCCAGATCTCAATCCAATAGAGCAGCTCTGGGACGTGGTGGAACGGGAGAATCGCATCATGGACCAGCAGCCGACGAATCTGCAGCAACTGTGTGATGCTCTCATGTCTATGGACCAGAATCTCTGAGGAATGTTTCCGGCACCTTGTTGAATCTCTGCCACGAAGGGAAAAGGGGGTCTAAACTGGGACTAGCAAGGTGTAGGGCAACCTAATGAAGGGGCCGGTGAGTGTAGTTCAGTTTGATTGATAAGGCACCAAACATCTCCAGTCACACTGTCAGGAACCAGTACAATTCTAGTTAACTTTTAGGAGCATATCATCAGCTTTTCTGTAACATAAAGATTTTACAGATCTTTGCTTTTTTTCTAAGATTCATGTCATTTTCATTATAGATGAAAACTCTCTAGTAAATCTCTAGGTTTCAGCTTGCTGTGAAATTTCTCTAGCCCACCAGATTAAAACTTTCTAAATTACACATTAACACAATAATAATGTACACTTTTAATCATATGTTTATGTTATGAGATTGACTGTGTAGTGAAAGGCTAAAGTTTCATGCATGGTATTTCTGGTGGAAAGGGCCGTGTCACATGGTTTGCATAAAGCCTCACAGATTTGTGGTGTGCTGCTAACTCGGAAATGATGAGGCCACAGTGTTTACTAATCCCCAGAATACATCACGGAGAGAGTAACAGATGATGCATATATATATAGTCAACAGCACTGTTTACAGTATGCTTAAAATGTTCTTTAAAATCATCCTGCTTCATCACCAATCACGCACATGTGGACTGCAACTCTCTGACTAGAGGAAGGAAAACGCTTCTTTGGCACAACAGATGGAGCCTTAATCATTCATGAGGTCTTTATAGGGTCCTAGCCACAAAGCAAACGGAAACCCTTTTGTTTCACATATGGGTTAATTATTATTCCTAATTATTATTATTCCTTTTTTTTTAAACCAGCTGTTTTAAAATGTAAAAGCCCAGCCCTGCTGACCTCTTTGAGCTGTGTACACACACATTTGATTTCTTTATTTGAATCCACCAATCAAATTTCTTACAGAAAGGGTTCAAATATTCTCAGAGATAACACAGCTTTGACATTCAAGGGTACATAAAGCATCTCTTACGCCACACAGCAAGGCTTCCTATCACAGCAGATATAGAGCAAAATGTTGCCAGCTGTTTAGACTTAGTGCTGTAACTAGGCACATGTTCAGTACTAATGTCCAAAGCATAGTTTCTCTGCTGCATTAACAATCGCAGTTACAACGGGCGAGATGTTAAAGATTTTAAATTGCCATGATGTGGCGTCTCTCGTGCACACGTCTCGTGTGCACACACACACACACACACACACACGCACACACACACTAACAGCAAGAACAGCTAATATGTATATTAAGAACAATCAGTGACTTATTTTACATCAGTGACATTCAAATGTCTTTGTTAAAAAAAAAAAATAGTTCTCAGTGTGGCATATGAGACGGCAGGAAGAGTGTGAAACAAACTGCTGATGCTGTGCAAAGTTTCGTGACTGTGGTTGCAAGGGTGTTACTTCTAGAGAATGACTTAATTATTTATTTTATTATTAGCTTCTTTCTAACACGCAACACTATTATTTTTGCTCCTCCTTCTGGTTAGTGGTTTGAACAGACCCAACCTGAAGTATTAAACTTCGACAACTCGTCCTGCGCAGTTCGGGTATGAATGGCACATCAAATCATGCGTATTGTTGAGGACCGGTGTGTCATTACTTTTGAGATGGAGACTTACTTTTATTTATTCATTTATGTATTTAACAGCTACAGCTTGAGACTTGCAGCTGTATATGTGGTAGATGGTTTCAATCCAAGGCTAAACTGAAGTCTAATTTCAGCTAATGACTTGAAGTGATGTGGTTTAGGCCTCAATGTAAATATTTAGATATCCTTGGCTTAGTTTGATATATTCATATAGTAAGTACTCCCTTTTGGGGAAATGTTTTGGCAAGCACACAATTCTGCCCGTTTCCAAGCCCAGATGCTAAGAGTGGCTGTATGGAAACTTAGGTAGACTGTGTCATGTGATATAACAGTTAATACACCCCTCCCTCTTCCTGAGGTTGTGGCGAACCTCTGAATGTTCTAACTTCTTTTTCTTTCCTGCGGAACCGCTTTATTTGGCTGAATCATGGACACAGCAGGTGGAGACAGAGGTGTTTCTAGTAGTAACCAATTCATTAATGTCAATAAATGCTGTAGTCTACTCCTAGACGTCAGCAGTCTTTCAGCACGGCCACGACCTCCGTCTCCTCGTCTTTCTATCTGTCTGTCTCTGCACTGTCTTTCATGTCTGCTGCCACATGCACTATGTGGAAACTTTGCTGTTTGATTGAACAGTTTTAGTAGTTTGGCCTGCTTCCTGTTTATGGCCAATGAAACTGGCTCATTTGAAAGAAAAATGTACAACATTCTGAGATTCCTGAAATCGTTTGGTGCAGGAAACGGGATGAATCAGCTGTGGCTGGTTATAGGTGTGGTGATGTATGCTTCTCTTTTATCTTTCATCATAAAACTCTTATGTAAACCGTTCTAATGGAAGAATATGTGCTTGCCAGTACATTGGATGGGTTACAATGTGGTTTGGCAATGAGACAGAAAGGGAGCACTGCAGTAAGCATGCAATAGTGGTAGTAAAACTGCTGCCAGCATGGTAAAGTCACCATGATATCCAAATTGACTTATCTTATTTTTTTATGGAATATTGCAGTATTTATTACAAATGATTTAACCGTGCACATCATTATTATTTTTTTTATTCTTAATCTTTAAAGCTGCAGCCCGTAACTTTTTTGGGTTAAAAATGATCCAAAATAAAATTAAGCAAGTACATAACCAGCCAGTGTTCAAAACTCTCTGCTTGCCGTAGCTCGATTCAAAACGGTAAGCTTGTAATAATGTTTTTAATTCCAGTGGTACTGGTGTATTTCCGCGGGAGATTCGAGCATGTCTTTGCGTCATTACGTCACATCTGTACACATGTCAAGTCAAGTCAAGTCACATTTATTTATATAGCGCTTTTCACAATACAGATTGCATCAAAGCAGCTTCACAGTGATAACATGAAAGTAGTACAACACAGTTCAATAATATTGTTGAATAGTAAATATCCCCAACTAAGCAAGCCAAAAGCAAGGCGACAGTGGCAAGGAACCAAAACTCCATCAGATTGGATGGAGAAAAAAACCTTGGGAGAACCCAGGCTAGTCAGGGGCCAGTTCTCCTCTGGCTAACAATCATAGCTTTACAGTAAGTGCATATCAGAAAGTACCTGGAAAAAATACATTTAGTTAATCATGTAATATTTAGGGGATAACATATCGCCGGCGTTGAGTCGTCTCTTCGCAGGCGTTGAGTCGTCTCTTCACAGGCGTTGGTCTTCTCATCACAGGCGTTGAGGCATCCGAAATCCCCGTGAGAGGCAGGATACCAAACTGGAGCCTACGAACGCCATTTTTTCTCGGGACAAGCGTCCCGAGATAACAGCAGAAAGGCAGATGGGAAAAAAATTAGCATAGCTGATGTTCATAATGATTTCCATTACACGGGAGTAGGTGTTAGAAAACCATAATCTCACAACTCTCCGCAACCCAAACTCTCCGCAACCCAAAGAAGAGTTGCGGAGAGTCACACATAAAGAAGAGTCTCGGCTAGTGTAAGCTATATTGCGTGTGAGGATGTTGGAGGTGGAGATTTATAGCCTTTTCTCACAGCACTTGATATAATTAAACTTATCAATTTGATGGCGGATCCAGAAAGGTTCAAACGACGATCACCAGTGACAACTAGAGATTCACCCGCTGTAAAATGCAAAAGACTTCGGACTTCGGAGTGGCTACAGAAAAAAAAAGAGATGCGAAAACAAGGATAAATATCGGAAGGACATTAAATACAGTCACGCAATGCTAATGTTGTTAACATTAACAATTTGAGAACAAAGTATAATTTGCACTGTTTGACGTGATATGATAAGCGATCGTTAGATTTAATCAGCGCGATTTTCTGCCATGCTTTTTTCCCCTTAGTTGGTCAGAACAAAAGTGGATGTTACTTACGGTACTTGTTCAGACATTTTCCGGTGAAAATTCTTATATTGGTCATACTTTCAAAATGTAGAATCTGTGATTCTGAATGACAGTCTTCACACTGGCGCGGTGATTGACAGCCGCACATTCTCCTTAAAGCATTGGATTCACTTGTGCGTGCCGAGGCACAACCATTTTTTTACAGTCTATGGGCACAACCCACGTAAATTCCGCGAATAACTGCAATTGCAGATTTCGAACAGAGATGGCGACAAAGAGGAAAAACGAAGGACTGCAGCTTTAACATTTTAATAAATGAAACCATTAAAAGTAAAGTGACGTGAAAGCAAAGTATGGTAACCCATACTCAGAATTTGTCCTCTGCATTTAACCCATCCAAATTAGTGCACACACATTAGGAGTAGAACACACACACACACACACACACACAAAGTGCAAGACGTAGACACATACTCAGAGCAGTGGGCAGCTTCACTGCGGTGCCCAGGGAGTGATTCGAGGTTAGTGCCTTGCTAAGGTGTACCTCAGTTGTGGGTATTGAGGGTTGAAGAGAGCGCTGTTCATTCACTCCAACCAACTACATTTTCCTGCCGGTATTGAGAAAAGGCCAAATGTAGGTGGTGGGAATCAAAATAATCACAAATTGAATAAGCAAAAATGAATCAAAATAACTTCTCCTCCCTCTTGCAGCGACATCTGTTCTCTGATAACATGTTTCCTGGCGTGTGGGCGGGGCAACCTGTCACTCACATGAGATCGACCAATGGAAAACCACAATGTTCCAACAATCCAATCAATTCCCCATGGACAAAATCAAGCTCAGTCTTGTTCAGAAGCCGTTTCACTCTGATATATGTCACAAATACTGAAGAAATACTTCAGAGTAGATCCATAATTGTGTATTTCATTATTAAATTTGCACAGATAGATTTGCACAGATAGAAAAGGGCTCATGGGATGCAAAACTGTACTGCTAAAACCATACACTACTCATGACACATTACTGCTTTTTTGTTTTTAGGGGATACGGGGGATTCCTGGAGAGATTGGCCCTGCTGGACCTCAAGTAAGAACCCAGATTAATCATAAATAAAGTCTAAAACTTACTATTAAATTTACTTAAAAGCTAATACTTATTAAAAAAAAAACTCTGTTTTTTTAAAAGAAATTAAAAAATGTATTCAGCAAGGATGCATTAAATTGACCAGAAGTGACAGTAAAGACGTTTATAATGTTACAAAATATTTCTGTTTCAAATAAATGTTGTACTTTTGAACTTTCTATCCAACGCAACTGTTTACGGTTGAATAAATGCTGCCTTGGTGAGCATAAGAGACTTAAAAACATTAAAAAAATCTAACCCAGCCAAACTTTTGAATGATAGTCAATGTTATTTTGAGAGTGTTGATTTTGTCATAGCTTTTGTGCTGTTGTATAACAAATTATTTTGACAGGGTGAGCGAGGCATGTCAGGACCAGCAGGCTTTACTGGACCAACGGGACATCAGGTATCTCATCATTTCAACAGATTGATATTTTGTTTAATGCAATTTGTTGGCTTGATGCTAAATTGCACTTTTTCAAGCAGTAGCTGTTTAGTTTCCTCATTAAGGCCTCTAATTTTAAGCAAAATGTCCAACATAAATGTTCCTAAACAAAATCATGCAGCTATTTTTTTTTCCATACTTTTACTTTAAAGGAGGGACTCAAACCATATCTGGGTACCAGAATATAATAGAGTTTTTGTGGAGCGGTGCTCTTTTGTAACCACCTAGCAGCCCACTCACAACACACCAACCACAAAGCAAAACCACGCCAACCACCCAGAACACCCTAGATCTGTGGTGCCACGTTTGGTGCACTTTTCGCAAAATGTGGAAATCTAGTTTCCAACAACAGTTGTAAATTATTTATTTTTTAAAGGTGAAACGTGCCCCAAACCCACGTCATTGGTTAATGTTTCCAGACAGAATGGTTTGATATGTACCACGGTGTTTGAACCTTTGGAGAAATGTATCTACGAATGACTTTATTGCTGTTTCTGCACATTGTTTCGGCATAGGCGAAGACATTTGAACAAAAACTGCACACTTTACATTAAAAAATGTGGTAACACTTTATAATAATACTGTATACAGTAATAAAGTACTTACAAATCATTTAGTTTAGTTAATTCATAGTTAATATATTGTAGTGTAGGTTAGGCTACATTGTTAATATATCAATAGACTATTTACAAACAGTGAGTTCTTCATTCATTGTCACTGTAATTTAACAAATTAATGTTGTTAAACGTCCTGTGAAATCTGTGCTTGCAAAGTCCGTATACATGAAATCCGTTCAGCACAATCTTCTAGTTTGTTAACATTGTCAGAGTCTGAATCAGGCTCGATTTGGTTTTAAATTGACATCATTAATATTTATATCTTGAGTGGAGCTCGCAGTTAAGAAGGGGCGGGACATTTCACGAACACGCGCTAAGCGCTGCCAATCACAACACACTGGGCCAGCTAACCAATCACAGCACATTTCGTATTTCAGAAGGAGGGCCTTCATCGAAAACGACGCGTTCTGACAGACTGTTGAGAGAGGAGTTGTAATAATGTAAAACGTGTAAAATAATGCGTTTTTTAAACAATCAAGCATGAAAACATATTATAGTACACCCCAAAAAACAAAATCAAGACTTCATAAAAGGGCACCTTTAAGCCTAGTCCCAGACTAAAATGCATGTTTGAGCTGTTTTAACTGAAAGCAACTCACACTGATATATCTTAAAATGTATTGTTTTGTCTCAAGGTGCACATTGAATTACTGATATTTGCTGCTTGTCTTATTGCAAACATATCTTTTAATTTCAGGGACCCCCAGGCCCAGCTGGCCCACCTGGCATAGACGGTCCTCCTGGTCCTAAGGTAATTCATCGTAAATTTTTTTAAAACATTTCTTTTGTTTTTATTGAGCAATGACACATTTCATTTATCAAAAGTATTTTTTTTATATCACTTCTTAACATCACTTTACCTATGTCTTGATTATAAGTATGCTTGTTATATAACATTTTATTGAAACTCTTGTTTGTTGACAGGGGAATTCTGGCTCCCGCGGACAGGATGGGCTCCCTGGTGCACCTGGTACAAAAGTGAGTGAGCTAGGGGAGGGGGATTTCCACACATAAAGGTCTGACAATACGATATCATCTCCTTTAGTGACATACCTGCCTCTTTCTCAGACAGCTTCAGGAAATAAATTTGAGTAGCAGATGCTATATTAAGCCTCCATCAAGTCATAGTGTGAGAAAGAAATCTCAACTCAAGATGAAAAAAATTGCAAAATGCATTTTACAGAGTGTGAAATGGCTGCAATTTTCAATTCAATCCATTCATTGCACATTAAGCAAAAGAGCTAAGTTTTAAAGTGATAGTTCACCCAAAAATGAAAAGTAGTCCATATTGTGCACTATTCCAGGTCTTCTGAAGCATACAATAGCTATATGTGAAATTTATGTCTTTATTCATTGGGATATTTCTATCCAGGGTCCCTGAAAAAGTCTTAGAATGTCTTAAATTGAGTTTGATCAAATTTATGGCCATGGAAAGTCTTACATATCCTAAATGGTATAACAAAAGTCCTAATTATAATTTTTAAAGGTCATAAATTTGGAGACCGAAAAACTGTAATTGCAATCTGGCCTAATGCCATTACTAAACTTCAAAAAGCTGATGGGCTGCCCTGTCACAGGAACGAAAGCTAATTATTTGAACACATTAATTCAATATATAGATTTCACTATCTGCACAATAATCTGTTTATTACATGTCTTTATTATTTTAAAGGGTTTGTTCTGAATGGACATATTGCATTAATTTTATTTGAGCAGGTCTTAAAAAGTCTTAGATTTGATTTCAAAGACTCTGCAAATACCCTATAGCCAGTGGGGTTCAGTGTCCCGTTTATTCCTTTATTCAAAAAGATAAACTAACTAAATGATACCTGTTAGTAAGTATAGCAATAATGCACAAGTGATTAATCTTATAAAGGTGTATGTGTGCATGTGTGTATCCACAGGGTTCAGACGGAGAGTACGGCATTCAAGGTCCCCCTGGCATTAGAGGTCTACCAGGGTTCAAAGGTCATAAGGTACGTTCGTCTTTACTCTTCAACAGTGACAAACCTAACCTGAATTAGCATCTGCCTTGCTTTAGACAGGGAGTAGACCGTTGTCAGATGCTTTAATAAAGATGTCCTTACTCTGATGGACTCATAGGTTGCATTACAATTAGTCATTATCTGTCATGTTGTTTTATTCAATAATAAACTATTGTAATGGTTGGAATTTTTAAAGTCGTAATGAAACAAAGTAGAAAAAGATCTTTTCTTTTGTACTGTAACATACATCCAAGTGTCACAGATTATCAAAAAAGGAAAAATATAGGGAAGGGGCTTGGTTGTATGCATTGATTGTTGATTGGATTTTGAGATGTCAATAGCAAAAACGCAACAGTCAACAGAGAGAAGTCTCTTATTTTCACCGTTTTATAACATTTGGATAAAAAAATGTCAAGGTCAAATAAAAAAATAAATAAAAAATAAACATACATGGATGAATCATTCACACACAAAAAATCTATAACATGCATTTACAAATTAGACGGAATGATTTCATGATCATTGACTTTAATGTGACATTTGACATCACAAAAATCACTCATTTGTTGACTTTTCCCCCTCTTCCCACCCTTACAGTGTGAAAAAGAAACTCGATTCAATGAACAATATCACATGAGTCATTTCTAGACATTTTCAAATTCTCACTCACATCTTTAACCCGCTCTATTTTCGTGGTGGCGCTTTAAAAAATTCTCCTCTTTTATTCACTTTGAATTCTTATAGGCATCTTTTGCAGTGGGAATGATTCTAAAAGAATCAAAATAGACAATTCTTGTTTTTTATGGAGTATTGCAGTATTTATTATTAATGATTTATCTGTGCACATTCTATTTTTTATGTGCCCTCCCTCAACGACGACGTGTTTACTGGCGTGAGGGCGGGACAACCGAGAGGCTGCTCGACCCAGAGCCAATGGGTGGAGCTTGACTTCCAGTTTCCCCTCGCTGAACGTAATGGGTGGAGCTAGACGGTCCAACTACAACCTAACACAGGGGTAGGCAAGTTCGGTCCTAGAGAGCCGCTGTCCTGCAGAGTTTGGCTCCAACACTGAAAAAAACCTCTCCTGCCTATAGCCTTAGTAATCCTGAAGACATTGATTAGCTTGTTCAGGTGTGTTTGATTAGGGTTGGAAGTTGGAACTAAATTCTGCAGGACAGCGGCTCTCTAGACTAGGACCAAACTTGCCTACCCCTGCCCTAACACAACCCATAACCCTATCACTAAACGTAACTCCACCCATTAAATCCAGAGAGGAGGAGCTGGACGTCATTTGGCTCTGCAGCGAGCACCATTTGGGACACCCTTTCAATCCCGAGACCACAGCAATAGCAAACCACAACCATCCAATCAATTCTTGTTCAGGAAGCCGTTTCACTCAGAATAAATACATCACGATAGGGAAGAAAAGACTATCACAACTTCCATGTCATGCTGGCTTTCACACAAAATGATAAAAGAGTTGAATTTTAAATTTAATTCAGCAAATGACTATTCTTGGTTAACGCCCGTTTCACACATACCGTTTGCAGTGCGTATGCGGTGCTTATTTTTTTCCGTACCCATGTTAACAGGTTAGAGCTTTCACACTGCACGCGGATGCGGTCCGTCGATCCGTTCCAGGTGCGGTGCGTATACAGCAGTGCAGAGATCGTTTACGCACCGAGTCTATTTTTGCTGTGTTGCAAACGCTAAATTAAAGTGACAGCGCACGGTTCGTGGTCAAAATGAACACAGATTGACCTGAAAATTTAGTAATTTCATCATAAATGCATTTAATTCAATAAAATGTAGTAATCTCACCATAAATGTATTTAATTAAATACTACTTTTCATCTTTTTACTTTAAGACCGGGGTTTTAAGCAAGGAAAACGTCAATTTACCTCAACAAGGACATAATGAACGACACTCGTCTCATTCGTGGAGGTGGAAAAACAAGTTCTTGTGACATGCAAGATTTATTGTATAAAAATTTAAATGCAAAAGAAAAGGCATGAGAGTCGGCTGTTTTTGTCAATTTTAAGTTTTAATTGAAAATGTTTGCGATTTTAATATAAGTAGGCTACATGGTTAAATATTTGACCACTTATAGAAGTAAAGCATGGAATTATAGACCTCTGTTGTTTAAATTGTGTTTAAACGTGCATTCAACATCCATTCAAGTTTGTATATGTGTACAAAGAGAATCGCAATGCTGACAAAACTTTTTTTTTTAATAAGTTGCTGCATAACTTCTGTATTTGAAATAAAAATAGTGAGTATGTGTTTGTGGTACAGCCGCGGATCAGTTACGCACTGCAAACGCAGCATATGTGAAACGGGCTTATGCAACCTCGGGTCGGACTGTAAACTTTTGCACTTGAATGTATTTTTTCGCCTGCCCATCCAGTCTTAATAGTTCATGGTAAACAAACTTGGCTTGCTGTCCTCGGCTCGAGCTCCGAGCTCAACCTGTAACGCTACTAGAGGGACAATGAGAGAAATAGAGGAGTAGGTTGATGGATGTTGGAAGAATTGTCACTGGGATGGCGCTGTGACTGCTGCTAATATACCTTCATAATCACTGTTAGCACGTTTAGCACTGTTAAAGGTATCTTATATGCTTGATTACTTTTGCAGGGTGACTCAGGATCATCTGGACCGAGGGGAAGTCAGGTACTGTGACTGCTCAGTGATGACTGACATCTGTGACATTTTATTTCACACCGACTGTGGAAAAGAAACATGTTGATAGAGAGAGAAAAGAGGAAGTAAAAAAAAAAATGTGTTACTGTTTTTTTCTCACAGGAATTACAACCTACAGACCACACACACGCACATACACCCACATTTTTATTCAGCATATGGAGTCAAAAAGATTTAACAAATTACATGTTCTAGTCTTTTGTATTGGTTAATGCTGATCTGCTGCTGGTCTATCTTGTGTTTGAGAAAATTCATGATGTTTACTAGCAAAACAAAGCAAATTGGTTGCAGAAATTAAGACCAACTAATGTTTGCTGGTCTTTTTTTGCCATGATACTGTACATTTTTGTTAGAGCAATATCAAGATTTTTATTATAATAAATAAATCTCTCATTTCAGGGCGAGAGAGGAAACCAGGGAGAACCTGGAGTCGCTGGAAAACATGTATGTAACAGTCTTTATGCTTTATTAGTGGTGTTGCTAATACAAGTGTTCTTCTGGTTATGAGTTTGAACTAACCCCTAAAACCTACGTAATAAACTTTGACACACAGCTTGCCCCACATTGCTTGTGCAATGGAAATTAAAACATCCCACACACTTGTTTTGAAGGAAGAATCCAAGTATCATAGAGACTAGTAAGAAAGCACTTAGCGACCATCCAGAAGACCCATGCAACCACATAACAATGCACTAAAAACAAATAGAAACCATATAGCAATGCTCTGGCAACACCTTAGTATCCTGACGATAAGCTTTGCATTAGAAAATGTGGGTAACACTTTACAATAAAGTTTCATAACATTAACAAAGATCATTAAGTTCATGTTAGTTTATACATTAACAAATGTTAACAAATAAGACCTTGTTGTAAAGTGTTACCTGAATTTTTTATATGAAAAAAACAAAAAAGTTATATACACAGTACTGTTCAAAAGTTTATGATTAAACTTTTTCTCTTTCTTTCTTTCTTTCTTTCTTTCTTTCTTTCTTTCTTTCTTTCTTTCTTTCTTTCTTTCTTTCTTTCTTTCTTTCTTTCTTTCTTTCTTTCTTTCTTTCTTTCTTTCTTTCTTCCTTCCATTCTTTCTTTCTTTCTTTTTTTATTTTTTTTAAATGATTACTTTTATTCAGCAAGGACATATTAATTTGATCAAGTGACAGTAAAGCCATTTATTATGTTACATTTCTATTTTAAATAAAAGTTGTTCTTATGAACTTCCAATTCATTAAAGAATCTTTAACAAATGTATATCACGGTTTCCACAAACGTTGTCAGCATTGATAATATTAAGAAATGTTTCTTGAGCATCAAATCAGCATATTAGAATTATTTCTGAAAGATCGTGTGACACTGAAGACTGGAGTAATGATGCTGAAAATACAGCTTTCAGCTTTCATTTATTTCATAATATTATGGTTTTACTGTATTTTTGATCAAATAAATACAGCCTTGGTGAGCATAAGATGATGTCTTTAAAAAAACTTTAAAAATGATGCATGTAAATATCTAAATGCTTTGAAATTTCTTATAAAATGTCTGGATATATAAATGCAAATTAACTGAACAGCACCTAATGTGTGTTAAAAATGATGCATGTAAATATCTAAATGCTTTGAAATTTCTTATAAAATGTCTGGATATATAAATGCAAATTAACTGAACAGCACCTAATGTGTGTGTGTGATGTACCTCTGTCATTCTCAACAGGGTGAACCGGGTCTGAAAGGGAACAAAGGAGAGGTACTAACTACTCATAAAACAAAACTACTATTGTCAATGTCTCACAACTATTTCCTGATGATCTGAAAGTCTCTCAGTTTCCTAGCAAGGGACTAATACCTTCAATGTTTTGAAACCAAAAATCATGTTTCCAACTCCATCACAATTTAAAACACTTCACGTTACTCAAATAAACAAATGCGCACAAAAATTGAAGGATTAAAAAAAAAGATTAAGTATTTTTTATGATACTTCTGAATTCATTCTATAACAGTGATGACACTGTTTTGAATTGTTCTCCCCACTCCCTCTCAGCCAGGTGTAGCCGGGGATCCTGGGAGCAGAGGGGCTGATGGGAAAAAGGGAGATGTGGGTCCATCGGGTCCACATGGATCTCAAGGCTTTCCAGGTCTAGATGGGTTACCAGGACAACCAGGAGTTCCAGGTTACCCAGGGAAACCGGTGAGTGTGATGCTTATGAGAATTTATAAAGTAAGCAGGATTTTGTTGGTCTTGTTCAAATGTGACACCCTGTGTTTCAGGGCAAGCCACCTTCAGAAGATCAGCTAATGAAGATTTGTGCTTCTGTGCTACAAAGTAAGTTTTCATGGTTTGCACTCTTAAGAATTGTGAGTCTTTTGTCTCGTTTCAATGGCAAATACATTTTGTGAGGTAAGACAATTTTTTTTTTTTTTTTATAAAAATATGCTTATGCAACCATTACTATTACTATTGCTCATACTTTTGGTTAGAATTTGAACAAACCCTTAACCGTAAGTATTAGATTTAGTCATATATAACTCATACTTCTTACACTTACCAAGAAACTATCACTAGCAAGGAAAAAAGTGCTTAAAAAAACACCATATAGCGACACCTTAGAATCGTGTCAGTGACTTTTGCAATCTCAGAATCTAGTATTGAGATATGTCTCTATGTCTTAATGTGCATTTTACTTGTCTGCTAAATTTTTTTTGGAAGAAAAGACAAAAGTTATTTCCCAAATGATGCACTTTACACTATGCACTTGTATGCTATGCATTATGTACTCAACCATGTATCAATTTTATAAGGTGTGTTGTCATTGAACATTAGAGTCTGATAGCCCCTCCCACTCCTCTACAAAAGGTTGAGTGCATGAAGTGTCCGACATTCCTCACTTATTTAAGTGCATCACCTGGGTATTTAAAGCACACTGTTTCTTCATATATTTATAAAACATAGAATAGTGCACAAGCATGCGAATTGGGATGCACCTAAACTCCTGAAGAATAGCATTTAACTCTATGATAACTCTGTGATAAGAGAGTGTATAGAAGGGTGTATGCTTGCCTCTTGGTCAGATAGCTAAAAACATCCAAAGTGGTTGGAGCAGTGATGCAACTTTCAGTTCTCTGTAAAAAAGAAGAAAAACATATAAACAGTTGAGAAATCAATGTGTTGAGCGAGAAAAACGCTATTTTTAATATTGGCGAGACTGTCACAGACTGCACCCCTTCTTCACCACACTCCTTAAAAGTGTGCGGAGTCCACAGTGATTACGCTTGTCGCATGCACACACTAAGGGATAACGGACAGCCAGATTGCAAAATAATGATCACGATGCCAGTGTGAAGCATTTGTACATTATCTTTCTCATTGCACGCTATTTGGCAAATTAATAAATGCATGAATAATTTATTATGTGAGAATGAAAGATGTGAAACTAGCACAGATATGTAGGAAATGGTTGCCAGGGACAGTGTAAAATGTTCAGTTTGAGTTTAGCATTGTTATACAAAAATGTTTGATAGTAAAACACAGCAGTTGACCAGAATGAAGCATTCGAGAGAGCCATAAAAAAACACTGAACAGCATTATATCCAGCAACTGCGTTTGCAGGTGTGTATGATAGTCTGTCATATTAGAAAATCCAATTTAAGCATTGAGTACTCAATATTATATCAAAATGTTTTGATATAATATTGTGACGTCCATCACCTCATTAGCTGTTTTTACAACCGGAATTCCTTATTATTGCTGTTAATATAATTGTTGGAAATAAATATACATTTCATAATGAATTTATGCATTATATATATGTGTAAATGGACTGGTAAATGGACTGCATTTATATAGCGCTTTCACAGACCCAATGGCCACCAAAGCGCTTTACAATTTGCCTCACATTCACCCATTCACTCACTCATTCATACACCGACGGCGGTGTCTGCCATGCAAGGCGCCATCCAGCTCGTCGGGAGCAGCTGGGGTTAGGTGTCTTGCTCATGGACACCTTGACACTTGGTCAGGTGGAACCAAGGATTGAACCACCAACCTGGTTCAATCCTCAAACCAATGTGTGAGTGTATTCCCTCTCTGCGCTTAACTTTAAAACTTGCCGTCTCTTCTTTAGACCTCGCATATATAGTCGAATTTACCTAACATATCTACTATTAAACACATTTCTTACCTATGAAACTTTTTTAAACTTCATATGAAAAATGTGTGTAAAATATCACAAACAAAACATCTTGAATTATTTTGTTTATACATTAACTCTAACTCTCCCACCATCTAGCTTTAAAATTAATTGTGAGGATTCGTCACCCTAGGTCACATGACCATAAACGATAAAATCTTGTCTTTCCATGAAGCCCTTACCTTACGGACTCGTGGAAGGGCCCTTTGTGGAGGAATTCATTTGTTCACTTTTGTTTGGAACGCCTCTACAAATTTCAAGGGCGCAAAAACAAAATTTGGAATTCGCCCATTATGTTTTTTTATTTTGATTCAATTCTCAAAACTGTAATTGTTATGTGCAGGAAGCGATGTCTAGAAACACTGCTGATATTTGAAATGAACCCAAACAAACACGCCCCTCCCTTTTTTGCTCCGCCTCCAAAATTCATGGACACGCAATGCAAAAATAGTCTCTTTATCATGAAATGAAGTAAAAATGACGAGCAAGAAACAAGGAAGAACAAAAACTGAACATACAGGACACAAGAGCCTGACAGCAACATATTGTCGGCCCCGATCTGGGCCACGTCTGGTACAACATGTGGATTCCACGCAACCGCTGTGTCCGTTTTCAGGCCGTTTTCCTGTTTGGGTCTCTCCAGCGCTAGAAAGCTTTTCTATAATTAGCCCTTTTTAAAGAAGACAATCAGAAGATTATTGCAGAAGTGAAAGTAAAGCATAAAATAAAAGCATAAATAAGTTTATTTCATACAATATATATATTTTACATTATCATTTGGACACTAAAATTCCTAGAAAATCAAAGCCATATGTCTAACCAAGTTGTGTTCAAAATATGAAGTAAATCTAGCTGCTAAAAGGCTAAAAATGCTAAAAATGTCCAATTTCGAAACGGTTTACATGTGATAAATTTTGTCTGTTTAAGTCCTTTAATGACAACAAATTTATAACGATTTCTAAAATATGTGATAAAAAAGCATGCCAAGTGTCCACCCACAGGTAATATGAAATTTCTTGGAAAACTTGATATACGTGAAAAAAAAAGGTTATTTCTAATCAGGGAAATCTGAATAAAAGTCATAGAAATTGTTCAATATAAATGTTTCTAGTGCCCTGAAATATGTTCTAATAAATTACTGTTTGAAAAATAATTAAAAGAAATCCCCATAGTGACGAACTACTAGACTATAAGATAAAACGTGTAAACCCTGAAGAAGTTACAGTTATTTAAACTTCTGGAATTTAATTGTTTTAATTATCTAATGATATATTTTTTTAAATATATATATTTTTTTAACTTTTTGTTATTTGAATAAATTGGCACTTCTAGTTTAGTATCATATAGCAGTGAAACAGGTTGAGAAGAACTGCTTTATGTGTTCCTTCAAAAGGCCAGCTGCCACAGCTCCTGCAGGTCATGGGCCAAACAAGTTGCCAGCACTGTGAAACCAAACAAGGACCACAAGGCGATCCAGGTCCTCCAGGCCCAACAGGCCCCTCTGGACCCCCAGGGTATCCCGGCATGGCAGGGTCTCCAGGCTACCCAGGACCTCAAGGGAGGAGGGGACCTGAAGGGGTGAAAGGTGAGACTTATATTAAGCTGTTTTGACGTTTATTTACTGATTATAAAGTGACATTACTAAAGGGAAAATTCTTACACCTGTTATTCTTACAGGTGATATTGGCCCAATGGGAATGAAAGGTGCTAAAGGACAAGGGGAAATCGGGTTGCCAGGTCCTCCTGGCCCAGCAGGTAAAAAACAAATGTCTATATCCAGAGCCGCGTTTCCACTGCCGGGCCAGGGCCGAGCCGTGCTAGTGCATGCCAGAGCCAGTCGCGTTTCCACTGTCACTTCCGGGGCTTGATCGGGGCTTACTCAGGGCCAACGGCCAGGATTTCTGGCCCGTCGAATACCTTGGGCCAAAGCGAGCCAGCTCGGGCTAGAGGCGTGGTCAAGGTAAAAGGCGGAGTTTATCGGTGTTATGGAACGTTATGATCTGAAGCAAGATGCACATTTCACTTTTTTATATCGCGCAAAATAATCGCTGCTCGAAATGGTGAATCGCCTGTACTGGTCTGTCGAAGATACCAAAGCTCTTCTGAGCATTTGGGCAGAAGAAAGGGTACAACGTCAATTTGACGGCGTGTGAAGAAACGAAGACGTTATAAAAAACATAGATGCTGAACTTTCTAAGCTAAGCATTCAGCAAGCAACGCTTCAAGTTCAGGGGGGAAAAAAGTTGCGGGCGCAGTATTGTACAAGGCGATTCAAACGCACAATGGACAAAGCGGAGCTCAGATAAGGGACTTTCCAAATTCCATGGTTCGACTTGATGGACGGTGTGCTGGGTCACCGTCCCTCTGTTAGTGGCGACTCGCGAGACAATCTGGACACTATTGCAGGCTGCAGCCACGGCCGGTGAGTTAATATACATGCGATCTTCCTAACTTAAAAAATAAATAAATTCATAATACCCGCTGAAATGGGTTGGGTTGTATGACGTTTGATCCAGAAAGGCGTGTTAGGGGCGGGGTTTAGGGCAGCGCTGCGGGGCTACTGGCCCGGCAGTGGAAACGCAAGCCCGGTGCTTGAGGCCCGAGGCCACTGACTCGGCTCGGCTCGCTGTTAGCCCTGGCCCGGCCCTGGCCCGGCAGTGGAAACACGGCTCAGGGCTTGACATTAACTTTTTTGCTCACCAGCCACTGTGGCTAGTGCTTTTCCTAAGTTACTAGCCACTCAGCATTGTCACTGGCCACAATTTTAACATCGATTCCATGGGGAAAAACTGCCATATAGATATTTTAATATTATCTCATTATTGGGCAGGAGGTATATTAGACCTGACACACTGATCCATTATTCTGTTACACATGTGTTTTCTTTCTCAGCTGTTTACGTTCACTTAAAACATAACTGACTGTGTTTATGTAAATACTCACCAAGACCGGCATTTTGGCATTATTTTGTGTGTTTGACTGTTTAAGCGCAATAAGAAGTGAAAAAGAACTTAGTTTTTGTACTGAGAGGCGGCATTATGTGTGCACACTTTAGGTTTGTGAGCACAAAATATGTGGGAATTATTAAAATTATGTGCAATACACGCAATCCCACAGCGTAGTTCAAACCCAGTATTATTCATCCGGAGCAAATGAAACGAGTGAGTGAGGGGAGGCGGGTTTGTGTGTCACTCGCTGTCCGAGAGATGATGAGAGAGAGAGAAAGAGACGTGCATCTATTCTGCGGAAAATGGGTATTGGAAGCGTTTCAGATATTTCAGTCTCGATATGTATCAAAATATTGATATTTTTGACAACACTACATTGCACTTAGTTTATTTTATCAGATACCTTTTTTAAAAGACTACAATTGAAAAATGAACATATAAAATTTAACCTCTTAAGGCCCAAGCTGATTTTTTACATGCATTTTTTAATTCTCTTTGCTATTTGGGCTTATCGGAACCTAATTAGAATAAAAACTAAGAATCATCTTTTGATATGATGTACTTTTAGAGAAAAATGATGTCCACATATGTGGACTCATGGTCCGAATTTCCATAAAACACAATAAAGTCACCTTTGTGTAATAGAATGAAAAACCCTTTATTTCTGCCTTGAACACAGCAGTTTTTTTCCTGACTGCTTTTTAATGTATTAATAACACATACACACATATTTTGAACATGTTTTGACTATCAGAGAGTAAAAACAATATGGAAACATTGCAATATTTAAAAATGTATACGATGGTTAATAGGGAGCCAATGCAATGTTGACATAACCGGGCAATATGGTCATACTTCCTGGTTCTGGTAAGAACTCTAGTGGCTGCGTTTTGAACCAGCTGAGGTTTGTTTATTAAGCGTGCAGGGCAACCACCCAGTAGAGCATTACGATGATCTAGCCTTGATTTAATGAACTAACTGTTCCACATTTTTCATTGAAAGCACATGACGTAATTTAGATTTTTTAGTTTTAAAGTTGGTAATTGCTAGTCATCCAGTTTTTATATCAGCAATGCATTAGGTTTTTTTGTATTGGCAAGTTTCGTCGGGGCGTGAAGAAATATAGAGCCGAGTATCATCAGCAAAACAGTGAAAACTAATGCCATGCTTCCTAATGATATCTCCCAAGGGGAGCATGTATAGAGTGAACAGCAACGGTCCTAGTACTGAGCCTTCTGCCTTGTGGTACACCATACTGAACTTGTGATCAATAAGACATCTCTAAGGGATCATCGTTATCAGACACATCCAAATCTGTGTTATCTCCATCAATTAACCCAAAGTAGCTCCAATGCTCTTTGCACAGAAAAACGCTCTGGAAATAAAAACATGATAAAATCAAATACAAATTAATTTAATTTATGTAGGTTTGCATTATTTATTTGTTATTTATTCCAATGGGATAATATACAAGCTAATTTACATGTGCACATTTTTACTAGCATATTACATTTTTACTAACATTTTCAACCCAACTAATTTAAGTATGTACGTATGTATTTAGTGATTTAATTGTTATTTATGTCATTGGGACCATGTGCACCTTTTTAGCTGCATCAGAGCTAGCTTTTTTCCCATTTTATGTTTGTGCATGTTTACTAGCATATTAGCTGTTTCGAGGAGCTTCAGTCCATAAGTACACATACGTGTACTTCATGTTTAGCGACCTACAAAGTTGGTAGTTTTGCACTTTTTTTTTCAAATTTGCATGTCATGACAAATATACAAGGCTTTTATAAATATCTAAATCAGAATAAGCCATGAAATATGACAGAACTTCTTAACTGGTCGACGTTTGTGTATGGAGCTACCACTTGAATCTTTCCTTGTGTTTGCCGCCATTTTGAATTTTGACCATAGTGTGTTATAAATTTCTGACACTACCAGATGGCAGTATAAGTACCCCCATACGTGTCCATAACACCACCAATTCAGCAGTGAACACAATTGTGGACATAAGAGCAAAAATGTGCTGTCCACGTATGTGGCCACTAAGCCCTATTAAGCCGCCGAAGTGTCTAGTAGGAGTGAATGTGTTACACGAAACTGCAATTTGGCGAGGGTTAATGTTAAGCCCTGTCTATATCATACTCATGCATGATAATAATAATAATAATATTTTTTTTGTCTTTGTAAGCACGACCTTAAGTAACTTTCTCCTCCACAGGTTTGCAGGGCCCGCGTGGGGATGCTGGTGAGGGATATCCCGGGCCTTCTGGTCCAGCAGGGAAACCTGGCACTCCGGGCACCCCAGGCAAACGTGGGCCCCCAGGATCCATGGGGATTTGTGACCTGTCCTCTTGTTATCAAGCCTATGGCTTTCGGGACGATCCATTTAGAAAAGGACCTAACTTTTAGTTTTACTGATTCTGTACAGTCTTGATGAACATTTCTGGTGCTCAACATTGACCTCAAGAACTCTTAACCTCTGAAGAACGATGTCATGATCTTGACTTTAAATATGTGACGTGTTTTCCTGTCTGAGAATCTTGAATGTGGTCAAATCTCTAATTTGAACGAATCCTCACTTTTTTTGCCGCTCGGCTTCAAATAATGACACAACTAGCACTATAAAAGTGGTCAATACAACTCATTCATTATATTCCATGTCTTCGGAAGCCTTTGTGCGAGAAACAGTGTAAAAATTACATCATTATTCAGGGAAAATGCTTTTAAACACCATGCATATGCGTGTACTGTATACATACATCATTCTCACGTTTCCTGTTATCAATTTAATTTAAAATTTCAGTTTTTTGTTTTTGGGTAAACTGTTCCTATAAAGAAAAATGACTATACTGTATCATCTGCACTGCCCTAGCCAAGCTACCTCTGTACAGGATGTGAAGCATTTTCCACGGGCTATACATTGAACGCTTATGTTAAAATTTAAGAATACTTCTGCCTAAGGGCTATTTGTACTGCTACAACATTTTTTTATTATTTAATTATACTTTGATTGTTTGATATTTTGAACATGTCTTGTAGAATTTAGCAGTCCTCTTAATAGTGTAGTTTTGGCATGTCTATCTGTTTGACCTGATAGATTTGTGCAAAGATCAGCAATTAACATCTATTTATTATTTAATGTTCCCTGTTCATGTTTTTTTTTTTTTGTCTTTTTTTATGCACGTAAGGTTTTAGTCTTGTCATGTTTTTTACTGAATTTATCAATTCATTTGTGCAGCTGACATTCCAAACTCTTTAAATTACAATAAATATTTTAAAATGTTGAATTAAATTGTTTAATTCTTAATCATTTAGCTTGCCACTCTGTCCACTTCTCTTTCTCTCTCTCTCTCTCTCTAACAAAAAAAAAGTTAATCATTTTACAAGACATTTGACCAAAAATAGTGATTGTGAAAGCGGTTTTGCGTAGTGCTGACGAGGTGCTCAGTATTTAAAGGCTCCGTACAAGTTCCTCGTTCAGGATGTGTGCTGAGTTCTTCTAGTTAAGCCACAACATGTTTGCGTCAGTTCTACCACAGCTGCAGAGTGTTTCACACACTTCTTTACCAAAGGCACAGGTGAGTGAAACCAATATTTGATGCTCAGAATGAACCTCAATAGAATTTCTTTATTAACTCTGTGTATTTTCTCTTGTTTGATTTTATTGCAACAGAATCTGACCTCAGGCACCACACACCCAACAATGGCTGAGTATCCTGATGATTACCTTTACAATTTTTTCAATGACACCAGTCCCATAATACCAGACAGCGTCGTAAACGGAGAGGTTCCTTTATGCAATAAAGGCAATGTCATCCAGTTTGGCGCAGCATTTCTCCCAGCCTTCTACTACACCAACTTCTTGCTGAGCTTGGTGGGGAACGGACTGGTGCTGTACATCATCTTCAAATATGAGAAGCTCAGCACGGTCACCAACATATTCTTGCTCAACCTCGTCATCTCGGACCTGATCTTCGCCTCCAGCCTTCCCTTTTGGGCGGTCTACCACAAGTCAGAATGGATCTTTGGCAAAGGCCTTTGCAAGTTGGTGGGAAGCTGTTACACCATCGGCTTCAACAGCTCCATCCTCTTCCTCACTCTCATGACTTTCGACCGCTACCTTGCAGTGGTCCACGCCATCTCTGCAGCCCACAGGAGGAGAAAAACGTACGCGTTCGCGTCGGCCGCCACTGTCTGGGCGCTTAGTGTATTTGCTAGTATAAAGGATATAGTTCTATATGATGTGATGGCTGGTTCAAATGGTTTGCTGTGCGAAGTGACTGGTTACCACCAGAATATCCTCACAAAGTGGGAGCTGGTTGGCTATTATCAGCAGGTTCTTCTTTTCTTCCTAGTGCCTCTGGTTATCATCCTGTACTGCTACATCCGTATAACCATCAGGATCATGTCCACACGCATCGTGGAGAAGTTCAGGGCAGTCAAACTCATCTTTGTCATTGTCTTCACCTTCTTCATCTGCTGGACACCTTACAATGTGGTCATTCTGTTAAAAGCCATCAAGACGTCATCTGGAGACCTGGACAATTGCTCAGAAGCCCTCGACTATGCGCTGTACATAACACGTAACTTTGCCTACCTGTACTGCTGCATCAGCCCTGTTTTTTATACCTTTTTGGGGAAGAAGTTTCAAAGCCATTTTCTGAAACTCCTGTCCAAGCGTATACCTTGTTTGAAGATCGATACCTTGATGTCAATGCCAAGTAGTAAAACCACATCAATCAGGAGCCCAAACACTGATTACTGACCATTTATGTGACCTTTACGTTTTGTTCGGAAATTTGTTGTTAAGAGGACACCAATTAGAGCGCCAAGAGAAAGAAAAAAACATAGAATCCAAGATGCAATGTTTGACCATAAAAGTATGTTCAATAATTTCTCATTTATTTCATATTAACGAAGTGTATGTCTAATGAGCTCCATCAATTTTACCAAATAAAGCAAAAGTATTCATAAATATCCCTTTGGTGACGTAAAAAAGTAAAAAAAATGTTTCCAACAATTTTTCATTTAATGCATATTAATGAATAGTGTCTAATGAGCTCCATCAATTTTACCAAATGAAGCAAAAGTATTGATACAAATTTAAAAACAATTGAAATAATGTCATATTTTACAGTTCATTTGATGTACATATGTAAATATTCCTTCATAAATATCCCTTTGGTGACATAAAAAAAGTAAAAAAGTAAAAAAATGTTTCCAATAATTTCTCATTTAATGCATATTAATGAATAGTGTATGTCTAATGAGCTCCATCAATTTTACCAAATGAAGCAAACGTATTGATACAAATTTAAAAACAATTGACATATCGTCACATTTTACAGTTCATTTGATGTACTTATGTAAATATTCATTCATAAATATCCCTTTGGTGACATAAAAAAAGTAAAAAAAAAAATCCAATAATTTCTCATTTAATGTGTATTAATGAATAGTGTATGTCTAATGAGCTCCATCAATTTTACCAAATGAAGCAAAAGTATTCATAAATATCCCTTTGGTGACGTAAAAAAGTAAAAAAAAAAAATCCAATGATTTTTCATTTAATGCATATTAATGAATAGTGTATGTCTAATGAGCTCCATCAATTTGACCTAATAGAGCAAAAGTATTGATAAAAATTTAAAAAACGATTGAAATATTGTCAAAGTTTACAGTTAATTTAATGTACATATGTAAACCTTCATATCCCTTTGATGTAAGTAAAAAAGTTTAAAAAATATAATATTTCCAATAATTTCTCATTTAATGATGAATAGTATATGTCTAATGGGCACCATTAATTGTACCTAATTGTGAAAAGGCATTTAATACTATACTTATTATTATTAATAATAACTTACATATTTTACTGTCCGATACATGTAAATATTTCTTCACAAATATTGCTTAATTAAAAAAAAAAAAACTTGTTATCAATGGCTTCTGTGATGAAAGAGCATCATTGCAACATATTGTTCATTGTCTAACCATAGCCCTAATCTATGTGTTCTTTTGCAACATATACAGTATCTCTCCTTTCTTTAAGGAGTAATGTTGTTTTGTGTAAAATATATTGTTGTAAATAGTTATACTGTTAGTAGTAAATAGTAAGATTGTATATTGCTGGTGTAACCTGTGCAAAGAAGTAAAATATTAGTGACAGGAATTTGTCATTCTATTTGGTGACCTGATATGAAACTCACAACCCTTTAAAGTTCTTAGAAATGACTAAACTTCCTGTCCTGTCAACATCTAAATATATCCTGTTCTGATCTTCATTTTGAGCATGAACTCAGTCTCTGCAATGTGTTCTTTTGGTTCTGTAATAACTCATTTTAATGCACGACAATAAATATTCTAAATAATCTGTTTGATTGTGGTTGTCTTTTAAGAAATAAGTATCATTCTGTTATATGCATTGTTTTTTATCCAATGCAAATTTAAATTTTAGCTCTCTTTTCATTGCGTTAAATAAGGCGATCACATGACCACCATCAGAATCCAATCAGTGTTGTCATCACATCACTATGCATTTTTACACGCTTTTAAATCTTTGTCTGGAGAATGCATTGGCTAATTGAATATTTTAGACAAAAAATATAATAATTTGATCATTTCTTATAGGATACACCAGCAAAATAAAAGCGTGAATTTGCCCTATTTATAGAATCAGGCTAGTCAGTGTGAATCGGTCAGTTGCTTTAAAGGTAAAATAAATCCACCAGACCTACCAAACAAGTATTTTGTACAACATTTGCAACTGCTTGAATTGTGTCTTCTATTACATAGGGACTACTGACCAGACATTTAGACATTTATTTTAAAATGCGAAGTAGCCTATTGAAAATCAAAATAAAGCTCTGTAAACACTTGCATTTTTGGAACACTATAAGTGTGTGCCATCTGATAATCAAAAGTTGTACACACACTTGCAGTCTTCACACCCACTTGGGCCATAATGGGTCATGTAGACAAGTGGTCAAGAGCAAAGACCGCAAGTGTGGTAGGGCCTATGAGAGCAATTACATCCAATCACACCCGAGCACAACCATACATTCATCCAATCACATTCGTCACAATAGGGACGACCAATCAGCAGCCAGTCGCTATCCAGACATCCAGTCAGCGTCCAGACTCTCAGTGCGGAAAGCGCGTGCGTACGTGCGCGGGTGGGGTGGATGACGTAACCACGGTCATAACTGGAGGAACAAAAAACAGAAATCAATCTGACGGAGCGTTTCCATTGGTTACAGGCTCCTGGTACCCAGGAAAGAGGATGTAGCATCTCCTGCGGTAGCTTAGCAAACAGGGCAAATGTGAGGAAAGGGCGGCTGTTGTGCGGGTAAACATGGGACGGATAATGGCCATATGAACGAAAAGGTGATGATTCACCGGCAGGTGATACTGACCCAGGTGAGTGTTAGTGTATACACACTAATGTTCCCTAGTCAGGCGTGTTTTGAGATGTCTGTAGCGAGAGGCAGTGGGTGACAGCACGATAACAGTCACTGGGCTTCAGCATTGTAGTGCTCTGCGATATAATGCTGTTTTAAAAAGCTGTTTTGTTTTATTTAGCGTGGCCTTTTTTTCAGTTGATGTTCAACATCAGTCGCGGCCTCGCGCGTCTTTGTGTGGTGCGCGCGCGTCCTTTTGCGTGCACGTGCGTGTGTATTTGGCCCAGATGAGATGAGCATCATCTTTCCTGAATCCTGCACTCGACACTTAACCTTAAACCCATATCGACACAGTAACACTACACCTAAACCCACCCTTTATTCAGTTATTGTAGTAAATTGTGTTAAAGATTTTGTAAGCATGTATTGTATGGTTGTGCTTGGACTGAGGCAATTGTTTAATTTGTGATAACGCAATGAAGCGTTCCAAATTGTGTGGATATAAATTTTTGCTGTCGTACTTTACCAAGTTTAGGGACTTGTTCTTTCCTCATATTTAATATATATATATATATATATATATATATATAAATTAAATTCTCATTTTGATGGTTTAATTGAACTTGTAGGGTCATTGAAATATCCCCTAAAATTGGATTAAAATTGGTTAAAAAAACAACAACAAACAAACTTTCAAATCATTATTTGGCAATTTGTAAATTCAAAAATTATTTTAGGTCAACTTTTTACAAAAATAAAAAGTCAAATATCCTGAATGTCACTGAATAATTCACATCTTAAACCTTACAATCTAATCTTAAACTACACCTGATACTAAAATGTTTCTTGCACCTAAACCCCAATGTATTGGATGCAAATAAGGTTAAGATGAAATCAGACAGTCATAGATCGATAATCATTTTAAATTATATAATATCTGTTCATGGCTGTATTGTATAGCACTTCAAGAACTGCTGAAAATATCCACATAAAATAAAAAGTAATTGTCTTACTTCAAATAACATTCAAATGAAACTCATCAGAATAATGATGCCTTATATGAGTAATAAATAAACAAACAATTAACATAATAATGGAGTTAAAAGCTGATATCTGGGGTGGTTGATAAGCATTGTTTAGTTGGGGACATGTGTTCGTTACTCAGGGGTTGTTAAGAGCTTAGGCAAGGAGCAGAGATGGGGTAGATTAGTATTGATTCACCTGAGACCGGCAGTCTATTGATCCGCTGTAAAATCAGCATCAAGGAATGGAAAAGCTTAGAAGAGGAAAAAAGGGCCTTGTTCCTTTGCAAGCAGAAGTGCTTCCTGTTAAACGACCTTCACATGATGACGTGGATGTTATTGAGTGAACTGACTTCATAAGTTTTTATTTATACATGATGTTTACCGTAGATGAGTTCCCAGAGGGTATCCCAGAGCGATTATGTAATTTCACCATGTATTATTTCCATTAGTATGTCTTATAGGTTGAAATAAAAATATATTTTGATTCCTGTAGCAATGTAGAGCTTTTCTAAGGAGAATTTTTTGCTTTTGCCTTTTTTTTACCCATAAAACAATTTTTTTTATTCATTCAATATTTGTTATTTATTTAATATTATTTTATTGTTGTTATATTTACAGTAGAATACTCTAATAATATAATATACTATATATATATATATATATAATTAATAATAATATGTGAAACATCATGCAGTATGGCTGTGTCGAAATCACATACTTCCCTATTATATAGGCCTAGTAGGCGAATTTAGTAGGCTATACTAAAGGGATAGTTCACCCAAAAATGAAAGTTCTGTCATCATTTACTCACTCTCTGCTGAACACAAAAGAAGATTGTGTGTTCTTTTAACCCAGAAGAGTGAAGATTGTCGATAACCAAACTGTTGATGGACCCCACTGACTTCCATAGTATTGTTTCCCATACTCAATGGGGTCCATCAACTGTTTGATTAACCATTTTCTTCAAAATATCTTCATTTGTGTTCAGCAGAAGAAAGAACTTCATACAGGTTTGCAACTACTTGAGAGTGAGTGAATAATGACAGAACTTTCATCTTTGGGTGAACTATCCCTCCCTTTAGTAAACTAAATTGATGTCACATTGCACTTTTAATACAGTTAGTTAGTGGCATCCGGTTATGATCTCAGAAATAAATATGATTATTTATTTTGCATTTGTATTCCAGTTTTGGCTGATATTGGTTCTGGTTCATTTGTCATATTGGAATTTCTTTAGATTGAGCACATTGCATTGTGGGATACAGTATCACACAACGTGTTATCTGGTTGTATACTGCACATTTTTGGGAAATGTCAATTAAATGCATCCAGGCATTTAATGCATGCAGATTTGCATAATTGCATTTACATTTACATGCTTTTGTCCAAAGCGACACAATACGTTTTTTTCATAGAGCCAACTATATTCGTAGAATACAATTCCAGAATGCTCATGGTAAACTAACTGAGATGCAAAAATAGTAGCATGATAGTATGCCATTAAAACTAAATGTAAACCTCCAAGATGTTAGCGGATTTACTGCCATGTTCTGTGCCATGCTAGAGTCTATTCTACGTCACAGAGGAGATTACATACTTCAGGTCTTCTTGGTAACAGAATTGTGGCTTGATCTCTGTATTCTGGGGAGAAATATCCCGCTTCCGTAGGCCTTCACGCTCCGTTATGTAAGTACATTAAGATTCTGAGGTTTCATTTTGGCACGGCGAGCCTGACTCTGCTCGAGCGAATGCATCTCATCCTGTGCGACACGCAGACACTCACAGTGGGATTGAATGGAGTCTGCCCTCGGGGCCTTAATGATTATAATTAATTTATCTGTGTCAGTGTGATTGCAAGGTGCGCTGTTAAAGCTTCCTTTCGTCTTGTAAACACATATTTGCCCAGTGGAAGATTCAATTTGTTTTGTCATGTCACGATGATTCAATCAGCATCTGAATTTGCATTCCAACTGTTTTCCATCAATAAAACGGTGCAAAGAAATTACCTTGTTATAAAAAAAAAGCTTCTATTGTTATCTGCCCTTTCGTTAACCTTTAAGAGGATCACGTGTGTCCGCATCGCTGGAGGTCTGCTAATGATATTGCTTTGCTGCGATCGGTTGTGACCCCTACGGCCTTCTGGCCTGTGGTGACCTCAGCAGGAATTCACATCCCTTTTCATATAGACGCATTTCAGGAACAGTGCAATGCAATTCCAGACAATCTTTCGCTAGTCAACATGAAAATAAAGTACTGTATCCCTATTATACTTTTTCGAATATTAAATTTTAAGCAGGTATGTTCATTTTTTAAAACTACTTTTTAAATAAGTAACTAGATAAGACAACTTGGGTGTAAGTGTGTGCAGTGTACGTTGTAGAACAAAACGACAAAGTATCGTCAAGTTATGTTTACTACAGGCTTTATTTTACTCATAAATTAAGAAACCCCATTATAAAACCCCATAGGAAAATCTTGAAGGAACCAGCGGCGAATTAGACATTTCTAGGTTCTAACATCATACCTGCACCACTCTATTAAAGTATTAATTTCTTTAAAAAACAAAACATACTAACCTTAAGCTTTTGAAAAGTAATATTGTAATTTTTTCGAGATGGTCCTCACTGCAGAACACGAAATCCAGGGGGAGGAGTTGGATCCAGATCCAACTCCTCCCACCTAACCTAACCCTAAACCTACCCATCTCCACCCCCTGATCCCTAACCCCACCCCTAACCCTACCCATCTCCACCCCCTGATCCCTAACCCCTCCCCTAATCCTACCCATCTCCACCCCCTGATCCCTAACCCCTCCCCTAACCCTACCCATCTCCACCCCCTGATCCCTAACCCCACCCCTAATCCTACCCATCTCCAACCCCTGATCCCTAACCCCACCCCTAATCCTACCCATCTCCACCCCCTGATCCCTAACCCACCCCTAATCCTACCCATCTCCACCCCCTGATCCCTAACCCCACCCCTAATCCTACCCATCTCCACCCCCTGATCCCTAACCCACCCCTAATCCTACCCATCTCCACCCCCTGATCCCTAACCCCATCCCTAATCCTACCCATCTCCACCCCCTGATCCCTAACCCCACCCCTAATCCGACCCATCTCCACCCCTTAGATCTGGATCCAACTCCGCCCCCTGGATCTCGTGTACTGCAATGAGGTGCTACTGATTTTTTTAGATAAACTGCAATAAGCCACAAGTGCTGTCGATTTTGCTATTCAGAGCTTACATAACAGCAGACAGATGTTTATATTTGCCTCCCTGAAGTTGCACTAGGGGTGTAACAATATATCGTTCCACAATATATCGCAATACAAAAATGCAACAATATGTATCGTGGATCGTTCCCCCAAAATAAAAATTACTGTGAGAGAATTTTTTTTAAATTTTTCAGAGTTTTAGTGTCAGTACTACATTAAACTACTATACATAATGTTGATTATAATGTATAATAATACACTGGGGGAATATTTGTGTGTCCTGATAATGCCAAATGTCTTATGTTACCAGTAAAAACTGTCCTACATTATTTTAAATATATCTAGTCAGTGACAGAGTGCAAGCATATTCGTCTAAAATAATTCTGTATTTTCAGCTTCAGAATCATGAATATTTTTATTCTGGTGTCACCATTGTCCTTGGGTTACAAGCACCAAGTCCAAGCCTATTCATTTAAACCCAGAATGTAATATCAAAGTTAGCATTTTAATCAACAGTACATTTTTTATTAACCTTTTATCATATGTCTTGGAGTATCGCAATAATATCGTATCGTGATATGTATCGAATCGTGACATGAGGGTATCGTTACACCCCTACTGAACACCATAGCTCAGCTCAATGTGTTGGACTACAGGTTATATTTTTCTGAACGGTTTTTCTTTGGTGGAGTCTGTTGTGACATTTTTCACTCGTTCAGTTTCCTGGTCTGAATTCTAGCCACTTTTTTTTAGCATTATCTATCTTCTAAATTTGCTAGATTACCTCAGTCGAATTTAGGAAGTAGAAATTGCTGATGATTGTGGGTAAAATTGGATTTGCTGCATGGGTGTCCTTTGTGTGGATTAGTCTTGTCTACAGTACATCTTTTGCAGTGCAGTTTTATGCTGTTTAACAGGGGCTTCAAGTTCATGTTGTGTGAGTTCTGTTGTTCTGCAGGCTTCATGCAAACTGGGATGGTGAGGAGGAGGAAGTGAAGTCTCGGCTTATGCTGTGATTCTGCATTTGGTGACTGCACACCAGGGTTGCAATAATAACTGATACATTTGAGTTGTTTTTCTTTATTGCGATAAACACTGCGGGTCATTGTATCACTCGAGATGACTTCATCAGACTGCACCTGTCACAAAAACATGACTCATCAACACTGTGATTTTGTTCCTTATATTTTTGTTAGCCTATAGCAGCATAATGTTGTAAGAAATATTCTAGATGTGCGTTCTGTGGAGGAACATTTTTTTTTATTCCATTCCATCCTTTTCCAAAAGTCATTGAAAAACAAGAAACCTGACACATCATGTATTATGTTGCAGTTATAGCTTTCCATGTTATTGAGTTACTCAGTTATACCATATTTACTCACCACACATTCATATTTTGACTAAGACATTTTTATATACCGTAGGTTTTAAACTGTATATCTTTTGTCATATTTTTTGCCTTCTTTCCGTAATAAAAACAAACAAGTTATTTATTTTTGAATTGAAATAATACTATTATTACTAAAATTACTGTTTTTTTTTAATCAAATAAATGCAGCCTAGGTGAACACAAGAGACTTCTTTCAAATATATTAATAAAATCGTATCAAAGTTATTTCAGTTAGTTTATGTCAAATGATACATTTAAATGTAGTGACATTAAGCCTATCTGATATATCAGATGTTATATAGTGCCATTGTCATGTTATGGCTTATGAAATAAAAAATGTTTAACAGTATAGTCTATTCTGTATAAAAAACTGAATTTGTGTTCTGTGGAGAAACAAATGTTAGTGTTTTTTCCAAAAGATATTAAAAGACATGAAATCTGACACATCATAGTACTATGTTAAAGGGTTTTCACCCAAAAATTACAATTCTGTCTTCAGTTTCTCACCCTCATGTCGTTCCAAACCTGTAAGACTTTCGTTCATCTTCAGAACACAATTGATCCTTCTGATGAAATCTTGAGAGCTTTCTGTCCCTCCTTTGACAGTCAGCTACGCAACTAATTCAATTCAATTCAAATTTATTTGTATAGCGCTTTTCACAATACATATTGTTTCAAAGCAGCTTTACAGAAAGTGCATTTCAGAAATGTACATAGAAAAATACAGTTAGTTAATCATGTATTAATTTAGGGCATAACATATCGCCGGCGTCGAGTCGTCTCTTCACAGGCGTTTAGTCATCTCATCATCGCAGGTGTTGGGGCATCTGAAGTCTCTGTGAGAGGCTGGATACAAACTGGGGCTGACGATAACAGCAGAAAAGCAGATGGGAAATAATTAGCATAGCTGCTGTTCATAATATTAATGCATTCGATTTCGATCTGATTCAACAGTGGTAACTACCACTTTCAAGCCCCAGAAAGGAAGTAAAGACATCATTAAAGCAATCCATGTGACTCCAGTGGTTTAACCTCAATTTTATGAAGTGAAGCGACTGCTTTGTTTGCGGAAAAAAACACATAATTAATTTATCACTTTATTTACCAAATTTAATCTCCAACACACGTTCACGCAGCAACGTCTGCTCTCGTGTCAACAACACGCATGTGTCGTGGTGCTCTCGTGAACGCGCATTGGAGATTAATGTTCTGTAAATAAAGCGGTAAATGAACAAGGTTTGGAATGACACGAGGGTGAATAATTAATGACAGAATTTTCATTTTTAGGAGAACCAATCCTTAAAAGTTATCGAGTTACACAGTTATACAGTATTTACTCACCAGTCACCACACATTCATTTTTTGCCAAAGATAGATTTTATTATTTTATGTTGGTTTTAAAATCTATTCCTTGTCTTTTTTTTTTTACTTTCTTTTTGTTATGAAAACATAACCATGGAAAGCTATTTTTTTTACTCTCATTTGGCCCTTGACGAATGTTAATTTTGGACCCTGTGTCCGTCTGCATTTGTACATAGAACAAAAATGAAAAATATGTGAAATCTTCACATTTTAAAATGGTTAAAGGTGTTGAACTTATTACAAAAGCATTTTAGCATGTGGACAGTCCTACATTGTATGCTGTCTGCATGCTAAAACCCTTCAGAGGAAGTCATGTCTCGAAGTTCATCTCCTTTAAAACAACGCTGCAAAACAAAATCTCTTGTTAAAATCTGTAGTTGACCTCACGAATTGACTAAGCAGTTGTTGGATTGACTAGTTAACCACTCCGACCCATCCCTGCTGCACAGAAAACCATTTTGGGGTCCCATAGAGAAGTGTAAGCCGCGCGCTTGTGTTCGACGCTACACATGCATCTGCGAGTGTCCCACCACATCTGCTAATTGTTACTTGACTGCCTCTTGCTCTTCAGAGACGTAACATGAAGGAAATGCTGTCTTTAAAAAATGCTTGTTACTGTGTAGACAGATGAGGGAGAGGATGTTGTGAATAATTCAGGTAAATAAATAACCCTATTTATTTATGAGATTTACATTACGCTTATATTAAATTAATTAGAGATGAAAACAGGACATCCCTCGCTGAATTAAACGGAATGAGGTCATGTGACGTTTTACTACAGTTGTTGTTATTTTTTGTTAAATAGCTACTCCACACTTTCTCATGAACAATTTTTTTTAGTAGTAGACACTAGGCAGTATGCAGGGTTGGTTTTTAACTTTGGTTTTATTTTATTTTCAGTTAAGTTTAATATCTGTTAGTTTTCATTCTGTAACTATTAGGTTTTAGGAGAGTTTTATATCATAGCCTATTCTCTACCTACCGTTTTAAAGTTTGGGGTCAGTAAAATTTGTTTTTGAAAGAAATTAATACTTTATTCAGCAAGGATGCATTAAACTTATCAGAAGTGACAGTAAATACATCAGCTTTACTTTTTAAAATATATTAAAATAGAACATTTTAAATTAAAATAATATTTCACAATACTGACACCAAACTTTTGTTAGTATATATTAAGCTATTTCAATCATTTTATATCAAATGATCTCATTTAAATAGTGGCATTAAATATCTGAGGTCCGTTGAGTGTTATTGCTAGGGTTGTCTATTGTGTCGTTTTCATGTTATGGGTTATGAAATTAATCAAAAAGTTAAATTAATTTCTGGTCATTTTTCTATTTAGTAAGATCTGGAGTCATAAAAAAAATATTTTAAGTTTAGTTTCAGTTCTTATAATTATATTAGTTTTTTTTTTTAACAAAAATGTTTTCATTTAAGTTTAATTTAATTTGTTATAGGGGTTGTTTAGATCACATCGTTTAACTAAAAACTATGTAAAGCGCTTTGAGTGCCGAGAAAAGCGGTATATAAATGTAATGAATTATTATTATTATTATAAAAACAACTAAAAGAAGGAAAACTAATTATGCGTTTTGGCTGGTCATTTACATGATGACAGCGTTTTGGGGGCCTGATAACACTTTTGAAAACGATACCGTTATCATCTCCGTGTAAACAAAAAAAAGGTGAATTTGTGAAAACGTTGAAGTCATGCACATGCGCGTTACATGTTTAGTCTATACACTACCGTTCAAAAGTTTGGGGTCGGTACGATTTTAAATACTTTTAAAAGAATTCTCTTCTGCTAACCATGGCTGCGCTTATTTGATTAAAAATACAACAAAAATCAGTTATAGTATTAAATATTATTCCAGTGTAAATCAGCTGTTTTCTGTGTGAATATATAGTAAAGTGTAATTTATTCCTGTGATCAAAGCTGAATTTTCAGCATCACCAGTGTCAGGGTCTTCAGTGTCAAATGATCCTTCACAAATCAGTATAATATGAGGATTTGATGCTCAAGAAACATTTATTATTATTATCAATGTTGAAACAGTTGTTGGTCTGTCAGTTGTACAGTTTTTTTGTTTGTTTTTAGGATTCTTTGATGAATAGGAAGTTCAAAAGAACAGCATTTGTTTGAAATAGAATCTTTTGTAACATTATAAATGTCTTTACTGTCCTTGATAAATAAAAGTATTGATTTCTTTCCTCCAAAAAATAAAAATAAAATTCTCACTGACCCCAAACTTTTGAACGGTAGTGTATGTGTGAGTGTAGTGTTTCTTTCCAAAGTGACATCGCCAACTACTGGCCTTAGTCGTTTTCGTTTTCTCTGTACCCTACTCTGTTTTTTTTTCAGTACATTGTTGTTGTGTAAACGTGCCCTTAGTTTGGTTAATAATAGTACCTATGAATAGTACCCATCTAAGCTAATTTCATTCTTGCAACTTTGCCGTTGTCTCAGATGTCAGCAGGAAGCACAGCGTTCTAGTTAAGCACATGTGTGTGTTGCATATTTAGTATGCATCCATTTTCGACATGTTCAATACACGCATACAATTTTCTCTTTGAGAAGAGTCTCTCAATGCAGATGTTTTTTGACAGCTGAAGTAGATGTCTTGCACTATAGAACGATCTTCTTGGTCCCCTGTTGGTGACGTAGTGTCTCAGCCGCTGTTTTCCCCCTCAAACATGTCTCGACCTGCCTCGCTCACAGCGGTTTTGTCTTTTCTGAGCTGACCATGAAAAGTCTGCATTTAGCACAGCATCTCCAAGACATGAATGTTCGCAGGACAGTTGGATTCGCACACCATAAGTTCCCAAAAAGCATTTGCGGATAGCAATGATGGGATACATCCTGATTTACTCTTGCCTCTTGATTTTTCCTCAGAACTTGTACCAGAACAGGTTTCTCGGGCTCGCAGCAATGGCCTCTCCATCTCGTGCATCTCATGGCAGGAGGCGATGTAAGGACCCGATTCGGCACAGTTTCAACCCTGAGCAGTTCCCCAACGTGGACTTCCAGAATGGCGTTTCTGAGGAGCTGGCGGCGGCCGTGCTGCGCTCCACCAGCGACACTGACCTCGTGACCTCCCACTGCCGCTCCACCCTCACCGTCAGCACCTCCAGCTACACCATCGGTCAGACGCAGGACATCACCCTCTGCTGGGACATCAAGGAGGAAGTGGACGCGGGCGACTGGATTGGCATGTACCTCATTGGTGAGTGTGTTTCTGTTTGGTCGTGTTTTATGCTGCTGGTTGAATTTTAAGACTCCGATTTAATAAATATTTCATTCAAATGTTTGGAAAATTATACTGGTCTCATATAATCCTTCAGAAATCATTCTAGGTGTTTTCCAGTTGGTCCTTTTCAGGGGTCTTATCTCGGTTCGCTGGACTTTTGGCACATATGTGAACACTCGGGAGGTGGTCTGAGTATGCTTTGCCTTCAGCTTATGGTTCACTAAAAATGTGCATTGTGAACACAAATCGCTCCAGCTCACTTCATTTTTTACTTTCACAAACTCTAATTATTAGTTTGGTCATCATGCCTCCATCCATACAAATCAGCTTTTTAGCATGGCTGCTTTTTACTGTCACTTTTGATCAATTGAATGCATCCTTTCTGAATAAAAGTATTAATTTCTTTAAAAATATATATTATACTGACCACAAACTTGTGAATCACAGTGTATTCTTGAAGTTATAGATTCTTCAGAGCTGTGTATTTGGTTTCTGGGTTTTGGAGCACCGGTACATAGATGGTTTTCTACTGCATACACATGGTTAGAAACAAAAATGATTCAATGTAAAAGGCCAGAAACATCACAAGCTTTTAAAGCCCATTTCTACCTCAGTAACGTAAAATGACTAGTTTATTTCTCAGAATTTACTACTTTGTTTTTCATATTTGCAACTTTATAACTCGCAGTTTGACTGTATTTCTAGATAAATGCAGCTTTATTTCTTGCAATTGCATCTTCATATCTCACGGTGTGACTCATGTTAAACTTTCGTCTTGGAATTACTTTTTTACTCTGAGGTGGATATGAACTTCCATTGATTTGATGTTTAGTATAACATGCACTACTACACTTTGGGTGTATTCACACCTGCCTTGTTTGGTTCGATTGAGCCGGACTCTAGTTCGTTTCCCCCCTTGGTGCGGATCTTTTGGGCAGGTGTGAATACAGCAATCGAACTCGGGTGCGGACCAAACAACCGAACCGAGACCCAGCTGAAGAGGTGGTCTCGGTACGGTTCCAAACAAACTCTGGTACGGTTCGTTTACGGTGTGAACATGAACCGACCCAATTGCAAGAAAGCACTGCGCCTTTGAGTTAACAGGCTTCCGTAGTCGGAGTTGCGTTACGGGAAAGTGATTGTAGTCTACTACATTACATCTGTTGCGCGTCTTTCTGCGCGTCGTGTGTGCATCATTGGAATGGAATGAATGAATGAGTGTGTGCATCGGGACATTCACATACAGAGCGTTCTCTTTAGTCTAATCGCGCATAGATTACAATACAAGGATGATGCTGCGTTAATTTACGTTAAGCCTTTTTTGCACTTCCTAATTTCCCTACTTGAGAATCCTTGTCCAATGAATGGACGACCTTAGCACAGGTGTGGTTTTGTTTACAAATTTTGGTTCACTTGCAAAAAGAGCAGTGTGAAAGCGAACCGTACCAAAAAAAAAAAAAGTATTTGGTCCGGGCCAAACCAAGTGAGCTATCGGACTTTCCTGGTGTTAATACACCCTTAGAAATGTTTCTTGCATATTCATCCTGTTAGAATGATTTCTGAAGGATCATGTGACACTGAAGACTGGAATAATGATGCTGAAAATTCAGCTTTGCATCACAGGAATAAATTACATTTTAAAATATATATTTAAATAGAAAAAATTATTTTAAAGTCTAATATTTCACATTATTACCCCCCCCCCCCCCCCCCCAAATAAAAATTATTATTAATATAATCTAAATTATTACAAACTTTTACTGGTGGTGTAAGTTATTTAAAATTTATAACAAATACAATTAATTGGTAAAGAAATCATATGTTTTGGTTTAACATAAAAACATGATATATGTGTGATATGTGGTATATTGTATTTCAGATAGACAGGGAAAATATAAAGTGGCTGGAGTAGCTCTGCAGCGTGGCAAAAATAAAAACAAAATAAAGTCTGTCCCTCAGCTGAAGGCCACACATTTCCATGTAGACTACTCTGGATTATAATGAGAGCGATATAGTTTTGTCTCATGTGTCTGGTGTTATAAAGGTTCTCTGATGGCCTTTAAAAGCTGTCCTTGAATTTGAGTTCAAAAGCTTTCTCATCTTTTAGAACTACCATGAATGAATAATCAAAAGATGTGAACTTTCTGTATGCCATAATTGTGAAGAATAAGATAAGATAAGTGGGCTTTTCTTTTCTCTTTCTCGTAGATGAGGTTCTGTCTGAGAATTTTCTGGACTACAAAAACAGAGGTGTGAATGGCTCCCACAAAGGTCAGATCGTCTGGAAGATCGAGGCCAACTCCTACTTCGTTGAACGTATGTGCAGTTTTAACATCACAATGCAAAACATTATTATTAAATAATGCAGCATTATAGACACTTATTTCTCACAAACAGGATGCCATTAGCTAAGATTTGCTTGTGGCTGTAAATGTTAATGGCTGCTATGGTAACAAACACACCAAGACAAACCACTTTCATACTAACAAAATGTTCAAAGATGTTTCAAGTCAAGAAGTGTGAAGAGAAATTAATTTAGGTGTTACACTCTCATTTCATAGCACTCAAAAATACATTTAGTTTTAATATAGTGTGTTTCATGAAAAGATGTGCGTGTGCTTGTATTAATATAAAGCACATCCCTCAGCTGTTTGAAGGTCATGTGTCATGTTAGTCTACGCTGTCTCTGCTTGACGGTCCTTAAATCATTCTCATGTATTACACTGTGAGGCCATATGAACGGTGGCCGAGAAAGCTCAACGCGCTGCAACTGAAGAAAACACATGCAAATAGAAGAAAACGCATGCAAATAAAAAAAAACACATGCAAAAAGGAAAAAAACCATGCAAATAGAAAAAACACCCGCAAATTAAGAAAACATCTTTATCAGTTTCACAACACACGTGAGCTCCAAATACTCACAACACCCCAAATACAGAAACGCGCTGCAAATAACACAGACCACAACGGAAATGTTTCCAGGGGAACCAAATGAGTGACGATTGACGAACCCGGCTGGGACGTGCTGGTGCTTACAGCTAAAAATTCGACTTTATGTATTTATAAATTTTTGCAAAACATACAGCGATTACATTTTTATGACATACACCTTGCATACAATATACAAAATGTATTAACAATATGTTCAATGTCATCAGAATACAAATGAGAAAAGAACAATGAGCTGAAAACTAAAATAAATAAATAAAAAAGATAGAGAAGAAGTACAAAATTCTTAAACTGTACAAATTGTTTCATGTTATGTTTAAATTTTCATAAAGAAAAGTTTCATAAGTTTCACGTTTTAAAGTTGAGACACACATACACGGATATTTTAAAAGCTTTTTTTGTAAAGTAAAAATAAAAATGTATTTGCAACCGTCATTATATTTCTGTGGTAAGAACAGGTCTTCAGCTGATGGACGCCGTGCTTTGTTGTTATGGGAACATCCCAGCTGTAAATATGAGGAAATTACGTTGTCTTTTGTAGCTCCTTCATCAAGTGCGTTCCACACGGCTACATAATGGCACACTAGTGTCCTGCTCACTCCAAAGTCCCACTTCAAGGGCTCTGCCGTCTGCCCTTCGAAGGGAGTAGGGCATAGGGAAGCTCACGAGCAATAAGCACGTCCCAGCCGGTTCGTCACTTATTTGGTTCCCCTGCAAACATTTCCGTTGTGGTCTGTGTTATTTGGAGCGCGTTTCTGTATTTGGAGCACACGTGTGTTTTGAAACTGATGATGATGTTTTTTTTAATTTGCAGGTGTTTTTTTATTTATTTGCACGTGTTTTTTTCTATTTGCATTGCAGGTGTTTTTCTTTTATTTGCACGTGTTTTTTTCTATTTGCATGTGTTTTTTTCTATTTGCACGTGGTTTTTTCTATTTGCACGTGGTTTTTTTTCTATTTGCACGCGTTTTTTTCTATTTGCACGCGTTTTTTTCTATTTGCATGTGTTTGCTTCAGTTGCATCGCGTTGAGCTCTCTCGGCCACCGTACATATGGCTTATATGCTTTCTTTTTGCTTTCTTTTGCTTTCTTATAAGTTTCTTTTTTTCTATTTATTTTTGGCACTTTTACTGATACAGATACTAGAAAGAAAACAGATTCAAACTAAAAAACAATCAGTTTTAAAATAGATCCGTTTTTTTTTTTTTTTTTTTTTTTTTTTTTTTACAAATTAGTGATGAAGTGGGGTTCATTTATTTCAGTAATTCAACTTAAAAGGTGAAACTAATATATTATACAGACTCATTACATGCGACGTGAGATATTTCAAGCCTTTATTTGTTATAATTTTGATGATTATGGCTTACAGCTTATGAAAACCCCAAATTCAAAATTAGAATATTGTGAAAAGGTTTTCATTGCTGTAAAAATAGTAGTATTTAATTAAATGCATTTATGGTGAGATCACTACATTTTATTTAATTAAATGGATTTATGATGAAATTCATTGGCATGTCAATCTGTCTTCATTTTGACCACGAACCATGTGCTGTCACTTTAATTCAGCGCATGCAGCACAGCAAAAATAGACTCGTGAACGGATCGCCAGACCGCATCCGCGTGCAGTGTGAAATACCGCGTACACAAATATTGATCTTGACATTGTTGTTAGCCTCTTGTCTTTTTACATGTCTTACACTGTACATTTAACTTAAAACATTGTCTAGTCTAAACATTGAAGCGCATGATCAAGATGGCCAGTAAGATCATCGGACTTGACCAGGTGTCGACAGCTCAGCTGTACAATGAGCTTATTTTTAAAAAGACTGACCAAATCCTCAATGACCCCACTCACCCTCTCCAATATAAATTTATGAGACGTAATAGGTCAACTGGTAGAATTTTACAACAGAGAATTAGAACAGAAAGGTACAATAAATCATTTGTACAGGATCAGATTGTATAATGATCACATTTTTAGCTACCTGATAATATTAGACTTTTTTAACGTTAGATGTTCGATTGTGATTGTCATTTCTGTAGTATTGTCATTTCTTTTATATTGTCATTGTTAATTTCTGTCATTGTTATATATACACACGTTTATCGGTTTGATTGTTGTGTTTATGTTTTTGGAGAATATGTGGGGCGCGTAATGAATGACCATATGAATTTCCCCCTGTGGGATAAGAAAGTTTACCTTGACCATGAAGTCAAAACATTAAAAATCGAATCAGTCTTTTAAAATTTAATCAAATAAAAAAAATGCATATAATTTCTTTAGCAACAGAACATTGCATTCATGGTGTTTTAAAGCAGGTCAGATGTCAGATGTGAGAATATCTTGTCCTATAACTTAAAATATATTAAAAGTAATATTAAATATTATAATATTGATTAATATATGATTCATATTAAAATATAAATTCAGGCCATTATTTGGCAAATAGCAAGACTTTTATCACAGTCGTTTCTTTCCTGTGTCGATGTATTTCTTATTGAAAGAGGAAGTTGGGGTGGGATATATTTAAGGGCCCTTTAAAAAAAAAAAAAAAAGAAGGAAAATAACCACATTCAACTATTTTTACCTTGAACGAAACCAGTGACGAACATTTCCAGACACTTCCTTCGCAACCAAATGATGGTTGGGGGCCTGAAAAAAAGTAACCAACCAATACACAGATAATGTAGACTTGCTATTTCTAGCTGGTGACAGCATTTATAATTCACTAGGTGGGCTGGAAACTATTTATCACCTTCTAGACAGCTATTATTGCCCCCTGTTAACAAGATGAGTTAAGCATATCTGGAAGAAAAAGAAAATGTAAATATGTCAAATCTGCAAAGAGTTTCCTTGCTGTGACCATTGACGTTTTCTGTGCTTGGCTCTTTTTCAGTGGAGACTAAAATCTGTTTTAAATATTATCATGGAGTGAGCGGAGCCCTGCGGGCCACCACACCATGCGTGACCGTGAAGAACCCGTCCGCACCGGTGAGCAAATCAAAAAAGAAACATCTATTTTTGTCATGGTTTAAATGCCTTTAGTTGAGCAGTGGTGAGTAACATAAGTGTGTAGGGACCAGTCATGTGACCTGTTTTATCTTGCGTCACATTTCATCAAGAGTTTTTCAAGAGCAGAATAGTCCGTGCCATCTGTTTCTCAGAGGATTAATGCTGCAGATAATCTCAGGTTATCATTTGATGGCTTAATACAGGCCTCCATACCTCCACAACCACAGAGTAAACCAAACTCTCTTTTTGTTTCTTAAAGGTAAAGTGTGTTATTTACAGGACACAAGTCATGTGTTTTTCACCTTTATTTGCACATGTGAAAGGAACACTTTTTTATTAACTCCACAGAAAATTAGTTTTCCCCACACTTAGGTTCACATTATATCAATCATTTTCATTAAAGTGCCCCTATTATGCTATTTTTAAGATTTATTTTTGTTTTGGAGGTCTCCTACAATAGGTTTACACATATCACAGGTCAAAAACACTTTAAATTTATCATAATATACACTGCAGCATCACCCCTTTTGCAGGCCTCAGCTAACGGGTCGTTGCCCGCAGGCAGCCAATGAAGACCATAGGCTAGCATTATGCAAATTTGTTACTAAACCGACGCAGGTTCGTGCAGGAATTACTGACGACTCGTTTTGGCAGTTCAGAATTGGTTCTTTCTTTAGGGAGACAATAACTCTATTTATCATGCACTTTGAACTGTAAAACATGGCAGACTTTTTATGTTCACAAACAGTTATTTTGCACACTGCATGAAAGGTAATATTCAGAAAACAAAAGCATAATACTGTAAGTGCACTTTGAACATTTAATATTTTTGATCATTAATTTTTCAAAGCACTAAAGACTTAATCATCCTTGATATCTTTCTCTCTTCCTGTCAGTTTCTGTCCCACCGAGTGTCAGCACCTGCTTGCGGCTTTTTGAGTTATCAGCCAAATGAATGTGTGAAGAACATATTTCAACGCTTTGGCGTTAGTTACTAACCTGTTGGCTGGTTGCATTATTAAGAATGGTAACGTCTGACCTAAAAGAGTCAAGTCAAAAATACAAATGCTTTACAAAAGAAAATCTCAATTGTTGTGGCACATTTTTAAACCTTTGTGAAAGATGAGGAACAAAATGAGTACATTACAATGTTTTTTTTTTGCTGAGAACTGAGAGATTGTCTCAAATATGATGCTGTGAGACTGTGAGTGATTTGCCCAAAAGGCTGTTCTGTCTTCATTTTTGATCAGGATATGGCTGCTGATTTTATGCACAAGGTGTGTGGCTGTTTTCAATGAAATCTGACGCACTGAACTTTCTGCCGTCAGGTGTTTAAGCCGGTGGCCACAGATGACGTGCCTCAGAGTCAAGGCAGAAGAAGACTCATCAGCTTCTCTCTGTCAGGTGTGTGTTTCCATAAAAACTGGTATGACCAGACAGTGGATCATTAAGCTTTATCAATATGGGGCTTCTATATTTAGTTTATCCAGGGGATTTCATTATTGATCCAATGCTTGCAGTCTGCTGTAAACAACTATAGGAACATGTTTACCTCAATTACTTGTTTCTTTCCTTACAAAAAAACACTTCTGCAAGGTACTTTTTGGAAACCAGTGTTCATCAAATTTAGCAGATTTTAAGATGCAAATTTGGTCCTGGTCATGTAATGATAAATAGGTATGGTCTATTCTGTTCTAATACTCTGGATTATTCTGTTTTCTTCTTTTCTCTTATTTTGTTCTATTCTGTTATTTTCTACTTTTTGTTACCTGTGATTATGTGTTCTTTCTGTTCTGTTTTGTTCTATTCTCTTTTGTTTTGTTTTATCTTGTTCTATTCTGTTTAGTTTGTTCTGTTGTATTCATTTTGTCATTCTTTTTGTTTTGTTTATTTTGTTCTATACTGTTTTGTTTCATTCTGTTCAATGCTATTTTGTTCTGTTTTATCTTGTATATTCTTTCTGTTCTCCTCAATGCCTGTTTTGTTCTGCCATGTTATCTTCTGTTCTATTGTATTCTGCTCAATTCTCTTCTTTTATATGGTGGTCTGTGTCTGTTTCTGTTTCTTTTAATGCAGTTATATTCGGCCTGTTCTGGTCTAAAAGACACTTAAAGTGGGTAATGACACGTTTTTTTTTGTTGTTATTTTAATATGGTTCTTGGAGTCCACTAATAATGTTAATGAAAATTTTTTGCACACATAAAAAACAAATATATATATGCGGGGAAAAAATATTTGCAACCTTGATTCTGACCCTCTGTCTGAAATGATCCGTTTTTAAGGCGCGGCTCCTTTAAGGCTTGTCAGTAAACGGCCACTTTTATGATTGGCAGTATACATTATCCCTATAAAACTGTCATTTATAGACAAAGCATAATGAAATCCTTGACCTTCATCTTTCAACAAAAGTGTCTTTGCGAACTCTCCTTTACACTGTGCCTTGTTTACAAAATAATATATAATCCTCAGATGCGGGGCGCTATTAAAATGAACCATCCACTTGTTCCTGACGCTGGGATCCTTCTGAAGTCTGTACAGAGATGCAAACAAGCTGTTTAAACTGGAGGTGTCAAAGCAAACTTCTTTCACTCTTTCATTTGTCCTGTTGTCAGCATCACATCCGGTGAAGGCAAAATGTCAGCCGTTAAGCAACTGAAGACCAGTGGGCGGGGCCTATTCATTTAATTCATTTCATTTATTATACAGGAAAGGTTAAAAGTAACATTAAGGTACAATTTAAACAGGCCTGACTCAGTTTAAAAATTTGGTTTCCAGCAGGTATCTCTATGGTGCAATGCTGTATACTATTCGTCAGTGTCTTGCTCTGGAGGCAAGCATATGCAAATGTATTTGTCCGTGTGATGTCACAAATCCCACAGTATCTAAACAAATTATTTTTGGAGCTTGATTAAATAAATGCTTTAATTGTTTGTAATGAGAAATACGTTTTATGCTATGAAACTTATTTATATTTTATTTTAGTACAAAGACCTCTTATATGTCAAAAGTTCAAGGCCAATTTGATTTCTCATGTCATGACCCCTTTAATATCCAGGAATATTATTGATTTGACTGACAGTAAACTTGAAAAACAAAACTTGAACTGAATTAATCTGAATAATGACAAATTTCTGCTTTATATGTGATTTTTTTTTTATTTTTTTTTTTTTATCAACATTGTTATTGAACTGATTTGAATTAGAACTGAACTGACTGGAGATGAATAACATCATTACTGTCTTCAGTAGAGCTGTTTATAGCTGAATTGAACTTGTTTCATATTGAAAGAACTTTACACAGTTATTGAACTGAATTGAATCAACGCTGATATGAATTTAGCTGAATGATGACACTATTATCTTCCTACAGCTGCTTTACAGCAGTATTTGAATCTTTCTCATATTTGATGCATAAAGTTTGCATCATTAATTCTGTTACTTTCCTGTTTATCACTGTGAATCGGCTTTGAAACCATTTCTATTGTATAAAGTGCTATACAAATAAAGCCGACTTGACTTCTAATTCTAATTCATCTCTCTGTCTTTATGTTGTGGTCAGACTTCCAGGCCACCGGGCTGAAGAAAGGCATGTTTTTTAACCCCGACCCCTACCTGAAGATCGCCATCCACCCCGGCAAGCACAGCATCTTCCCTGCCCTGCCTCACCACGGCCAGGAGAAGAGATCAGGCATCGTCTGCAATACCATTAATCCCGTTTGGCAGAGGGAGGTATGGGAAACAAACAAGCACATACACACTCTAGATTAAACATGCTCATATATAAATCCTTATAAAACAATATCTGGTCCCACTGTTATTATTCACAGACGTTTAACCCAACGCTGCCCTTCTGTGTTTTGTTTTCCACATGGAATTTGTCATGTAAATCCTTCATTCTGCAAATTAACTTAATGCGTCACTGCAGAATCCCAAACACGGCTCACTGTTCACTGACGGACCGGATTTAGTTCAAATCTTTTTCTGTTTTCATTAGACCGCATGTCATCTTTGTTGGGCTGGGAATTGAGAACCGGTTCTATTTATAAACAAATATGGGAACTGTATGATTTGAGTCACAGACAAAATCATTGGTTTAAAATGGCTCGCTCACTAACAGACACAATTAGAGAGAGGAATATAGATACACAGTTATATAAACACAGGTATATAAACAATGTACACTACCTTTCAAATGTTTGGGCAGGGTAAAAACATTTTTCTATTGTTTTTGAAAGAAGTCTATGCTCACCAAGGCTGCATCAAGATACAGTTCAAACTGTAGTATTATTACAGTATTATAATAATGGTTTTCTATTTTAACAGCTTTTAAAATGTAATTTATTCCTGTGATGCAAAGCTGAATTTTCAGCATCATTACTCCAGTCTTCAGTGTCACATGATCCTTCAGAAATTATTCTAATATGCTGATTTGCTGCTCATTAATTTAATGTTGAAAACCGTTGTGCTGCTTAATATTTTGGTGAAAACCATGATTTTCAGGATTCTTTGATGAATAGAAAGTTCATAAGGACAACATTTGTCACTTTTGATCATTTTAATACATCGTTGCTAAATAAAAGTGTTAATTTCTTTTTAAAATAAACCCCAAAATGTTTAACAGTAGTAGATAGTATGTGTAATTAGGATTAATTATTTTATGCTTTATCAAAAGTATTTAAAGGGACAATGTGTACTTTTTTTACGTATTTTATTATTTAAAATCAATATTTTTTATTCATAAATATGTCCTCAATGGTGTACAAATACCTCTGCCAATTATCTGACTTATCCTCGTAAAGGAAGAATTTATTATCTTTAAATACATGGGACGGGTATGTCCATGGAGGCGTAGTTCCGCCATCTTGAAAAACTATAATAGCAGAGAGGGACAAAAAGTACAAGGCCAACGCGTTTCCACAAGATTACAAAAAACACGAGTTAATGTCGGGGTAGCTTTTCCAGGTGGATAGAGCTAATGCAGGAGAAAGATTTCAAAAGAGACGCTGAAGTCCTGCTTTCTTCTCGACAGGTTAAGTCAATGTTACAGTCTTAATTACAAGCTTTTTTTTCATTGTTTGGTTGTGTATTTTATCTTATAGACAGTAGAACATTTATAGTTAAAAGTTGATGATGATATCTAACAATGCATGTACTTTAGAAAATATAACGAATAAAGAAGGCATAACTACTTATTACAATAGTTCATGTTTTTCACAGTCAGTAATTCATACTGTAACATTCGTTTGCTCGTTGTGTCAAGTAGTTGCTGTTTGTTTGAAATAACAAACCTGTTCACCCGAAGGAACACTCGACGAAGTGCTATTAGAAGACATCCTGTCATAGCTTTTTGGTACATAATGGCTACCGTAGATGCAACGCGCATTTGAAAAAGCGAGGCGCTGGAGAGCACAATTCGTTAGAATGGAAAATACATTTTCACCGCTAGATGGGAGAAATTCCTACACATTGTCCCTTTAAGAAACCTTAAAATAACAATAATCTTTAAATGGGTTGAGAATCAGAATCGTAAAATTCCTTACAATTCACATCACTACATCTTTTTGGTGCAGATGAGATGAGATCACCTGGATTTGATGAGATTGTTTTCATATTGTAGAGTGGCTGTTTCTGGATGATATTGTCCTCCGCTAAGTGCTCTTATTAGATTTGTGATGAGTAGAGGAGATCGCCTTACAGCAGAGGATTGAAATAGGTCAAGAGATGGGGAATGAATGATGGAGAGCGTGTTTGTTTCCTTACTAGAGGTGTAACGATACCCTCATGTCACAATTCGATACATATCACGATACTGAACTCACGATACGATATTATTGCGATACTCCAAGACATATGATAAAAGGTTAACAAAAAATTTACTGTTAATTAAAATGCTAACTTTGATATTAAATTGTGGGTTTAAATGAATAGGTTTGGACTTGGTGCTTGTTGTTACCCAAGGACAATAGAGACACCAGAATAAAAATATTCATGATTCTGAAGCTGAAAATACAGAATTTTAGACGAATATGCTTGCACTTTGTCACTGACTAGATATATGTAAAATAATGTAGGACACTTTTTACTGGTAACAAGACATTTGGCATTATCCTGACCCACAAAAATTCCCCCATTGCATTATTATACATAATAATCAACATTATGTATAGTAGTTTAATGTAGTACTGACACTAAAACTCTGAAAAAAAATATTTTTTTCCTCACAGTCATTTTTATTTTGGGGGAACTATCCACAATACATATTGTCACTATCCACGATACGTATTGTTGCATTTTTGTATTGCGATATATTGTGGCACGATATATTGTTACACCCCTATTCCTTACTATCAGTTTTTGAAAAGATTTGAGTGAGACCCTTTGGTTTGTGCTTTATCTTTTATAGGTGATCATAATAGCTGAACTTCAGTTCTTAATTATTATAGGTTAAATTAAATGAACCTAAAAACTTAATGTTAATCTTTTTGACTAAAAAACTAGAAGGTCAATACATGCTATGCATCAACTGCCCATACAACTTTATATATTAACATTTGGAGTGCCAACACAGCCAAGCTCCAAATATTTACACATTATGACCATTGTATCTGTTCATTTAGTTTTTCTACTTTTGAAAATAAAGACAGTTTCCTGAACAGTGTCTTTTACTCCAGCAGCATCCATCTACTGTACGATGAAGAATGACTTCTCACATTGCATTCACATTTGTAAAATGCGCAATTGCTTGATACCAACAACTTTAGAGGTTACAAGTTCTTCTTGAAATGATTGCAGTCTCTTCCTCTGTGTCTTTGTGTTTCTTTCTCGTAGCGCTTTAATTTTGTGTCTCTGCCCACGGATGTGTTGGAGATTGAGGTGAAGGACAAGTTTGCCAAAAGCCGACCCATCATAAAGCGTTTCTTGGGCAAGCTGTCCATGCCAGTGCAAAGATTACTGGAGAAGCATGCTATCGGGTACGTACTCAAAGAAAATCAAACCTAAACTAAACTGAAAAAGAAAATTTGTTATGCTATTGAGTTGAAATACTAATTGCAAGGTGCTTGCTTGTGTTTTTTAATAGTGATCGAGTGGTCAGTTACACTCTGGGTCGGAGGCTTCCAACAGAGCATGTCAGTGGCCAGCTGCAGTTCAGGTTTGAGATAACCTCCTCCATCCACCCAGGTAATCCCAGTTTTTATTCTACCTTTTATTAAACAAAATAAATTCTTAAAGGGTTAGTTCACCCAAAAATGAAAATTATCCCATTATTTACTCACCCTCCAGCCATCCTAGGTGTATATGACATTCTTCTTTCAGACGAATACAATCGGAGTTGTATAAAAACAAAAATGTCCTAGCTCTTCCCAGCTTTATAATGGCAGTTTCTGTTTTGAGAAACAGACTTTATCGACTAAAATGACTAGCTTTTAGTCCAGCAGATGCCTTTATTAACCCCCCAGAGCCGTGTGGATTACTTTTATCATGGATAGATGCCCTTTGATGGACTTCAAAACAGAAACGACCATTCACAAATTGTAAAAAAAATAATAATCTGGAAATCATGATTTTTTTTTTTTTTATGATTCTTTGATGAATATGAAGTTTTAAACAGCATTTATTTGAAACATTATTTATTTTGTAACATTATTTATGTCTTAACTGTCAATTTTGATCAATTGAATGCATCCTTCCTGAATAAAAGTATTCATTAATGACCCTAAACATTTGAGCGGTAGTTTAGTTGATTATCATGAACCATCATATTATTAGCTTCTAATACTGGTTTAATCAGACCACTCATGATAACATTAAAAAGTCATATTCTTGCCAGTATTGTGCATCTTTACTAGACGGTATTGTCATGTATGCATTGTACCATGTAGGTCACAGATTTCTGTCCTCTCCACAGATGATGAGGACATGTCTCTTAGTACAGAGCAGCCAGTGGCAGAAGCTCAAGTCCAACCTCAAGCAGAAGACACCATAAGCTTAGACCAGGAGGCCCCAGAGTTGCCCTTAGATGGAGATACAGCTTCTGTAGAGATCCCCATGGACGTTGAATCCGGGCAAAACTGTGCAGCTGAGGAAGATGCAATAGAGGAAGAGCCTTTAGAGACAGAGCAACAAATGGAGCACGGTGGACCCAACATGGAAGTAGAAGAGACGGTCCAAGAAGAGGCAGAATCTGATAGTGCCTTTGTCGATGAGCCTGCAGACTCTTCAGGAGCTACTGCTGGAGTCGAAGAGGAGGCGATCTCGGACCCGCAGCCAGTTTCAGAGGAACCAGAGGTGGATCTGGAGGAAGGCTGCTCGCTCAGGATCAGAACCACACCGAGACGGAAGCCACGACCCTGCTCTCTACCCGTGTCTGAGCTGGAGACTGTCATCGCTTCAGCCTGTGGCGAACCCGAGACGCCACGCTCCCATTACATCCGAATCCACCACCTGCTGCACAGCCTGCCATCCACCCAATCTCAACCAGGAGATGCAGCTGGGCTTGCGCCCGACAGGCCGCAGGGCGTAGAGGAGGAGGAAGAGGAGGAGGAGGAAGAGGGTGCGACACTTGAGCCTCATGCTTTAACACCCAACGGCCCCCGCAGGACGCTTCCCCGCAGCCGCTCACACGAGCGCCTGTCCGACCTCATTCAAATGCTCGACGGAGATGGGCAACCAATCGGGGCTGAGGGCCAAACCGGAGTTCAGAGGTCACCAGGGGAAAGCGAATGCGATTTGAGCCCGGTCCCCTGCTGCAGTCATATGGCACATAGGGCCTCGGGCCCAGTGCGGGCGCCGTCTCTAGACAGCGCACGTAGATCGGAGAGCACCGTGTTCTCCTCACAGGATGACGAGGACGAGATGGACAGGGTGAACGGTATTCTGGGATTTGAGGGAGAGACCGGACAAGGCGCTAAGAGCCGGGAGCCAGGGGATGGAAGCTGTCAGTGGGAGGAGGCGCCAGACAGTCACGTCCAGAGCCCGCATGGCATTATGGAGAATGGAGAATCACCTGTAGCTGGTCCAAGCAGCAGGAGTGAGTAGACTGGGTTTCATGCATTGCATACAGTAGTTCACGTGTTGTTGTTTTTTTTTTTTTTAATAAGATCTAGGTTTTCCCTTTAGCAGATACTCTAAAGTATCTATGAAGAATGCCCTGGCTTGTGTTTGTGGTATGTTTAGGAGAATGTCCTTTGCCTTGTAACCATCCTGCAGTGAGCCAGCTACCAGCACTGCGGCCCGACCCACATCACTATCCCACCATAGACGAGCCGCTGCCCCCAAGTAAGTTCTGCTGTCTCATCACGCACTGCAATTTATTCAATGTATTACAGGTGATTCGCCTATAAATTATACATAGTTATCAAAATAATAATATATATATTAAATAAATTAATACTTTTATACAGCAAGGACACATTCAATTGATCAAAAGTGACAGTCAATGTTACAAAAGATTTCTATGAATGCTGTTGTTCTTTCTGTTTATCAATAGATTCATTCCACAGTTTCCACAGAAATATTAAGCAGCACTACGGTTTTAAACATTGATAATAAGAAGAAATGTATTTGAGCACTAAATCAGCATATTACAATGATTTCTAAAGGATCACTGAAGACTTGAGTTATAATGCTGAAAATTCAGCTTTGACACTGGAATAAATTACATTTTAAAATTACATACAATATTACTTTTTTGCTGTATTTTTCACCAAATAAATGCAGCCTTGCTGAGCATAAGAGACTTCTTATAAAAACATTAAGAAATTCAGATACCAACCTTTTTGAATGGTAGTGCATGTAACTTTTTTATATTGCATTAATTTAATAGATTTTTTAAAAATGGTAATTTATATATAAAGATTTTCAAAAACCTCAATTATCACCAATACAATTTTAAATGAATAATATGAGGTCCTATGTCTATTACGAAACATCAGAGACTGTATGAGCAAAATGTTACTTCACAAAAATGTCCATAGCATGATATTAACCCATGCTTTATTTATTTGCAGAAAGTAATTTTTTTTATACATTTTGTTGCCTTTTAAATTGGAAGTTGGATGGAAGTTCAGAAGGAACTTCAATTGTTGAAATTGCTAAATATTGCATCATCAAAACTGTGAAATCCATCCAAATGTTTCACTTTCTTATGGTTCACCGTCCTTCATTGCATTTCAAAACCATAAGAGAGTCAAAATACAACCACTTGGACGCAAACAAACGTTCTTGTCAGACATGAGTATTTTCAGTCTCACTCTCACTAACCCACACTGTGAGATATTCGGCACAGATTACTGTAACGCCGTAACTCAAACAAGTCTGCTTTCAAAGATATCAGACAGACAGCTTCTGTCTGTCTCTTCATTTTCATGCTGCTGGGGTGTGCGTGTTTGTGTAGTTGTTTACCCAAAAAATGAGTCAAATCTGAAACATCCTACATTGAGGGGATTTTTGAGGTGTTCTAAATAATGACGGCACTAAATAATACTAATTAAAGTAAAAAAAAATAAAAAAAATAAAAGCAATCAAACTTCAATACTCAAAAACCAAATACTTAAATATTTTTGCCTGGCAGACCAGAATATCGACTTGGGCATCAAATGTGTGTTTGTGTTTTGTTTGGCATGCTCAGACTGGGAGGCCCGTATCGACAGTCACGGTCGTGTTTTCTACGTGGATCACATTAACCGGACCACCACATGGCAACGGCCCACGTCCGCAGCCACGCCGGATGGCCTGCGCAGGTCTGGTTCCGTCCAACAGATGGAGCAGCTCAACAGGAGGTAAACAGCTCTGTTTATCAGCCGTTCCACTTTTAACAGGTTTCTGACTGAGTAAACCAAAATTTTACACTTCTTTTACAAACAATCAGGAATACAGATCAGTTGGATTGCATTTATGGTGCATCCTGTGATGTCCAAATTTTTAAAATAAAATGGATAGTTCTGCACAGAAATGAGCCAGTGTACTCTATTAATTCACCAACTTGACCCTTGCCTTGACAATAGTAAACACCCTATATTTAGGCTAATATTACTTGATGAATAATAATTCTTTCATTTCATTTTTATGCATGCTTACTGTAAAAAACCGTAACAAACTTACCCAGATAACAAATACTGCCACCAAAATAATAGGTTTGCCTACTGCAAATCTACATGAACTAAACACCAAAGCCATCACACGTATCGCTCATGTAATATCACTGGACTTTACCCACCCACTCAGCCGATATTTCTCACCCCTACTAGGGTTGCCGCGGTGAGGAAAATTTCCCACCGGTTAATCGACGTGTCACAACACCGGTAAACCCGGTGTCACCGTGGGGGGCGGGGCGGGGGGGTTAAATAGCTTTTAAATGCGTGCGCGTTATACTTTCACTTTCGAAATAAGCGTCAATTGGCAATTCAGCATCAATTGCTTGAATGGACAAAAAACAACAACTCGGCTCGCTGATAATAAAACTTTTATTTATAGACAGAACTTTTATTAGCATAACGAACGAATAAAAATAACCCCATGCATAGGCTGAAAATCGTCAAACTGTGGGCCCAAACAAATAAGAACCATAACACGTTTATTAACGAATAAGAAAATAAAACAGGCCTAAATAAATTACACATTCCGCCATTATCTTGCTTTTCTGTAATTTGACTCGTTCTCATCTCCACACGTGCTAAATGGAATCCTGATGCTTGCTGATCTGTGACGTGACTGGCTCTTGGCACGCACTGCGCAGTTCAGTTTTTAATTATAATGTATGCTCTCTTCTGAACTAAATAATTGATAATTATTATTTTTAATTAATTCAAATAAATATTTTAGCAAAAACGAATACTTTAAAAAAGTCACGACATCGCGGTGTCACGGTGGGAAAGTGATGTCACCGGTGATGGGGCTTAAAACCGGTAACACCGTCAACACCGTCTATCGCGGCAAGCCTAACCCCTACCCTCTGGCAGGAGGTTCAGAAGCATAAGATGTAACAAAACTCGCTTCAGCAGAAGCCTAATCCCCTTAGCCATCCAAACACTAAATAAGACAAAGCCACCCAGATAAAATGAATTGTATGCAGTGAAATAATATGTTTTTTCCCCCCATATATGGCTGTGTCAAATGTCTACTGTGGATGAAATATGTATGTCTATATGTGCCGAGAATATATATATATATATATATATATATGTATGTATGATGCAAAGCGTTTTCTGGAAATGTGAAAAAGATTTTCCCTAAAGGGACAATACATACTACTATTACAAATGTATTTATTGCACATTGGTGTATTTTATCATTAAGCTGATTTTCTTACTCATTTTTGAACTCGTATATTTGTCTTGTTTTTCAGTGAAAATATCTAAGCATTCTCAAGTTTATTTACTTGAGATGCAAAATGACATAAGAAAATGTTTAAAAAAAAAATGTTGCTCTGTCCCTCACAGCATCCTTTAACTGTGGTAAAATCACTGTATTGGTCAGCATCAAGTGGTATATTTAGCACTTAAGGGATACTGTTACTGCAGTTAAAAGAAATGGGCACATAACATAAGTATCTACAGCAACCTCAGTAGTAATTGCATAATTCAAAGGCAATGATTCATTTTCACACCTCTTGGGTCAAATGCTGCTTTAACCACAGACTCTGTCTGGAGTCTGGACATTTCTTTTTTCTATAAAACAAGTAGGCTATGTTCACATGGGCTTATAAACATGCGCTCTTTTGCCACCTACAGGACAACAATATAGGATGTTGGCAGAAGTGTGTGTCAGGTCATGTTTCCACAAAGAATATAATTAAAGGCTGTTTATTGTTAGTCCACAAGCAGTGGATGACAGATTTAGATTATTCTTAAAGCACACAAAGCTTTACTGTACCATTTAGCAGCATAAGGGTTATCTAAGTGAGGGTATGCGGGTAGAAATAGTTGGAAATGATTTTAATGATGGGAGTACTGTACTGATGTACAGGTTTAAAATAGCAAAATAGGTTTGCTGATACTTACTGTACTGATGTTTGTGACTATAGCAATACTCTTGTACACTCGTCAGGTATCAGACCATCCAGAGGACGATGGCCACTGAAAGGAGAGATGAGGAGTCAGGCAGCCCGCGCAACGAGAGAACAGCCAACACTGAAACCGACTCGCCTCCACAAACAACCGGTAACTTCATAAACATTCAATTCTATTCAATTCACATTTATTTGTTTAGCTCTTTTCACAACTAATATTGTTTCAAAGCAGCTTTACAGTAATCTGTTGTTATCAGAGGTGACTCAAAGTAATGTCTAAGTTCTAAGATATTACAAATCATGCATTTAGGTAATATGATGTATTCATCTAGGCAGAAACAATGATCTCATTGAAGCAATTATTACAAGTTGTGATCATAATGATTACAATATATAGAAAATTTGGCAGTGGTGCATGTTGATTCAGAGTTGGCGTCATCTGAAGTCCTCGCAGGAGTTGGCGTCATCTCTTCAGAGGTGTTGGGTCATCTGAAATCTTCGTAAGAGGCTGGATCCAAAATGAAGCTGGCGTGCTCTCTAGTTACCTCGGGATGAGCATCCGGAGGTAGAGACAGAAAAAACAAATGGAAAAAAATAAGCGCAGCTGCTGTTCATAACATTTCAAGCAAAAGATATTCATGTGCATTTCATCTGATATAACTGGAGTACAAGGTTATGAGATGCATTATGTGAATGCTGGGCTTAAGAGATGTGTCTTTAGTCTAGATTTAAACTGGGAGAGTGAGTGTGAGGCCCGAATATTACCAGGAAGGTTATTCCAGAGTTTAGGAGCCAAATGCGATAACGCTCTCCCTCTTTTAGAGGACTTCGATATCTTAGGTACTACCAAAAGTCCAGAGTTTTTTACCTTAAAGAGCATAAAGGATTGTAGGGTAATAGAAGATTGGTTAAATACACAGGAGCTGAACCATTTAGGGCCTTATAGCTCAGTAGCAATACTTTTTAATGTAGAGATGATAAAATTGGGGATATACTGTAAGATCATAATTTCTTGACTTGGTAAGAAAGTCAGCTGTAGCTGCTGCATTTTGGACCAATTGTAGCTTGTTTATTGAGAATGCAGGACAACCAGCTAGTAATGCATTACAGTAATCCAGTCTAGAGGTCATGAATGCATGAACTAACTTCTCTGCATCAGAAACGTATAATATGTTCCTTAGCTTAGCAATGGGGTGGAAGAAGTCTGTTTTTGTAGCATATGAAATATAATTATCGAAAGAAAATGTGCTGTCTAATATAACACCCAGGTCTTTAATATAAGACCCAGGTCTAATATAACACCCAGGTCTTTAATATAAGACCCAGGTCTAATATAACACCCAGGTCTGTTGCCTTTGGCTTGCTCAGTTGGGGATATTCAAATTAAATGACCCATCATATCACTGATCAGCTCTACCAAACTTGGATGTCTTTTCCAGTAATAAACAAACACTGTTAAGTTGTTTTGATTGATACTGTGAAGCAGCTTTGATACAATCTGTATTGTGAAAAGCGCTATATAAATATATTTGACTTGACTTGACTTGACTTTAACTTTAACGTAATACCTCAGTCTTATCCAAATTTAATAGAAGAAAATGACTGGTCATCTTTAACACACTCTTTAACACACTTGGATAATTTAGAGATTTCATCTGGTCATAATGTGTATATATACACTCCATAATTTGCTTATGTTAAAGGCACACTGTGGAATTTTTGGCCACTAGGGTGCGCTCGACCTGTAATTTTCACGTCTAGTGCCCCTAGAGGCCACAAGCGCCGCAGCATTGTCGCAAAAGTCAACAAACAGTCAACCAGTCAACCTCCCGTGTCTTTATGTGTGTGCAGACGGCATTTGATTTGTATGTTGGAGAAAGTTAATCGATTCACTACTGACCAAAATAATAATATAAATATAAGATTAATAATATAAATCCTATAAAGAAAACAAATTGAATAAAAGTAGAAAACAATGTCTGATCAGGTAAGTCGCATTGACAAGGGTTGCCCAATCCTGCTCCTGCCGATCGTCTGTCCTGCACAGTTCATCTCCAACCCTAATCAAACACACCTGAAGCCAACAATTAACGTCTTCAGGATCTCTTTGCAATGGGTTGGAGATGAAATCGAGTAACGTTAGTCGGGAAATCGTGTAACAAAACTGATATAACTCACTACATATTTCCGTTATTTGTAGTCTTCAGTTTGTTTTTCCTTTTACACAAATACAAACATATATGAGCTGAAAGGAAAAAAAAACATTTACATTTGTATACGGCAGTATGTTGTGACTGACTTATATCAGTTTTGTTACACGAATTCGCAGTAAATATTACATTATATATACACTTTTATGCCGATGTTTATTTTAAACTCTCCCTTTTTCTTTTTTTGGTCTCCTCTGACAAAATCTTTGCTTTCTTCGCTTTCTTCCGAGTAGCTGTTGATTCAGCCATGACGACAACATACAGACGCCGGCAATCAAACGCGAGTTGAGCTCTCACGTTAGAACTTGAGGAAGTTGTGGTGGTGGGGGAAGTGACGTATGCCGTAAAGCGGTCGAATTTTGTAGTTCTTTTTGTGCTCGGGTTCCTACACGAAGTTACATAGTGCTAGTAAAAGCGATACAGACACCTTCAGGCTTCGGCAGACGTGTCATTCAACCTATTGTAAGTCGATGTACCATCTCAATGGGTTTTGGTAATATATTATAAAGGTTGAAAAGTTCCACAGTGTGCCTTTAACTTGGATAATTCCCCGTTTAAATAAACAGAATGGTAACAGTCAGATAGGCACAATCTAGACTACCCTAATGCCTGTCCCTGAATACCGGTGTCATTTTGTAATCGATCTAAGAGTATGTCATGATCTATAGTGTTAAACGTAGCACTAAGATCAAGTAAAACTGGTATTGAGATGCAGCTTTGGTCAGATTTGAATGAGCACAGTGTCTGTGCTATGATGGGGCCTGAATCCTGACTGAAATTTTTCATAGATATAATTTTTTTGCAGGAAGGAAAACAATTGAGCGGACACAACCTTTTCTAGTATTTTAGACATAAATGGAAGATTTAGCTCGCAGCTTTTAGAGAATTTTTATAGCGGGACATACTGTCTTTCCATGCGATTCTAAAGACCTCTAAATGAGTTTGTCTCTAGGTAATGAGTTTCTCTCTTGGGAGCGAGAGTAATACTGTTGTACCATGGTGCGGTACTTTTCTCTCTAACCTTTTTGAATCTGATGGGTGCAACAATTTTTGTATTACTGTATTATGTACATAGATAATCACAATGCTGAAAAAGTGTTTTCAGTAACTAACTATGTTTGAATTTGAAATCAAAACAATGAATAGATGGAGAAATAATGCTGTATTTGTGGTATACAGCCACAGATCAATTGCGCACTGCAAAGGCTTCTTATGTGAAAGCACAATGAGCCCGTCCTGCTTCTGCACTGCAAACATACCTACATAAGATCTGCGTATGCACTGCACACGGAGTACCCCCAAAAGTGAAAATCATTTGCTCACCCTCATGTCAGTCACAACCTCTTTGTTTTAGTCTTTATTTACAAAAAAAAAAGTAATTGTTCTGCACATAATCCAATGCAGAATGTTCTTTTCCAGGCCATTTGATAATGCGTCCAGCTACCAATTAGAGTATCATTTTCTTAGCTTCGTTTAACACATTTTACCATGTTTAAATCCATTTCCAGAATTATGAAGAAAAGAAAACCCTGTAGATTCCATCAGGGCTTGCTCATTTGCATGTAACAAATGTAGAAAGTAACCAATATCTGTTCTAAAAAGTACAAAAAGTGTCTTAAATATATGCTACATGTCAGGTCTTCATATCAGGCTTTTGATCAAATTGAGGAAAATTGATCATGACTGAAAATCAAGTCGTTAGTAACTTAAAAACTTGCCTTCTGTCTTTTGAAATCTTGTGTGTTCATGTGAGATTGTTGAGATTTTTTTGCATGCAGCCAAAAGCAGAGCACACTAGACGTAGAAAGGCGATAAGAAGAAACTGCACACAGACCTCACATATCTTGTGAATGTGGCAGTTTGACCATGCAGAAGCATAAATGAGATTTGAGAGCTGGGTCAAAAGGAATGATTTTAATTTTGGGTGAGTCGTCCCTTTAAATTATCTTTCTTTCATTTAAGAGTTGAGGAGAGACGCGCCATGTTCTCCGGGTCATTGTCAGAAGATCACTTTACTACTACAGAGTCCAGCAGTCAAATTCATCACTCACCCAGAGTTCTTCACTGTGCTTCACGCAAATTATGTGAGTTGCTACCACAATACACATTTATTTATTTTCTAAAACATTAATTTTCTATCTATAGAGAAGACTATTTAATTTACACCACCGTTATAAAGTTTGGGGTCAGTAAGTTTCTTTTTTTAATGAAATTACTACATTTATTCATCAAGAATGCATTAAATTGATCGAAAGTGACAGTAAAGACATTTATAGTGTTACACAAAAGATTTCTATTTCAATAAGTGCTTATCTTTTGAACTTTCTATTCATCAATGAATCCTGAAAAAAGTATCATGTTTTCCACAAAATTATGCAGCACGACTGTTTTCAACAGTGATAGTTAAAACAAATGTTTCTTGAGCACCAAATCAGCATATTAAAATGATTTCTGAAAATTCAGCTTTGCAATCACAGGAATAAATTACATTTTAAAATATATTAAGATAGAAAACAGTTATTAAATTGTAATAATATTTCACAATATTACTGTTTTAACTGGATTTTTGATCAAATAAATGCAGCCTTGGTGAACATAAGAGATTCTTTCAAAATCTTACAGTCACCAAACTTTTGAATGGTAGTGTATGTTGTAATTAAGAAGTTTATGCCATGTTATGTTATGTTAACTTCCTCTTTTTTTATATAGGGAGCGTATCGTATGTTCACCAACAGCTCGTGTCTGAAACACATGGTCCTGAAGATCAGGCGGGATGCTCGAAACTTTGAGCGCTACCAGCACAACCGTGACCTGGTGACCTTCTTGAATAGGTTTGCTGATGCTCAGCTGGAGCTGCCGCGTGGCTGGGAGATCAAAACAGACCCACAGGGGAAGGTACATCACAGCACGCAGTTCTTAACAGCTCGCGTCAGTGCCATTATTTCAGCTGTTCGTCCTCCACTTTTCTCTGCAGTCGTTCTTTGTAGACCACAACAGTCGTGCCACAACCTTCATTGATCCCAGGATCCCCTTGCAAAACGGCAGATTGCCCAACCACCTGACGCATCGCCAGCACCTGCAGAGATTACGCAGCTACAGCGCAGGAGAGGTCAGACACACTCACAATCAAGCTAGAGGAAATTACTGTTACGTAATATTACAATGTTTCTTAGTTCATTTATTCGTTTCCACATTCATTTCCAGGCATCAGAGGTGTCGCGCACCCGAGGGGTGTCTTTGTTAGCCAGGCCTGGAAACAGCCTGGTAGCAGCTATACGAAGCCAGCAGGAGCCAGTACCATTGGGTAAATTACACTCAGGGCTGGATGACGTTGCTTGCTTTCTGTACTGGTTTTTAAAAAAAACAATACATATACTATATGTATACACTCCCATTTAAAAGTTTGAGGTCAGTAAGAGTTTTTTTACCAGCAAAGCCACCATTTTTCCTAGCCTGGATGCCAGCCCGAACCCCGCCAACAACATTTTTTGGTCGGGAAGTTCGGTCTGGACTCGATCCATTGAGGAGTAATTATGATCGGTTCAGAATTAGTCGGGCCAATCAAATTGCCCGGGCGGGCTTTATACGATGATGGACAGATGATCTGCAGTTACGTAATCATCACGTTATCAAAGAGCGCTTGGGTTGAACTGGTTTCCCTCAAAGAGGACTGCAGCTGGAGAACTGAGATGTATAGATTCCGCTATTGCGTCTGTTGTAAAAGAAATCAACAGCGCATTCATTTTAAAAGACGAACAGAGAACTGCAATCAAGGCATTTGTCGATCGGAAAGATGTGTTTGCCGTCCTTCCTACTGGATTCGGCAAACGTTTATTTTATCAGCTGGCTCCGATGGTCGCTAAGAAGATGGGACGCAATGAAAACCCTGTGGTCGTTGTGGTTTCTCATTTGGTCGCACTCATGGAGGACCAAGTAAAACACTCATTATTTTACTTCTGCTTCCAGCGTGCGTGCAGTTGAGTTCTGTTGACAACTTTGCGTAGCTCATAAAAAAAACACTTACTGCGTTGCTCTGATTGGTTTTAGGTCTATCCAATTGAGTGCAGAGTTTTTTTTTTTCCTGGTTCCTTTAAGACACGCCTCATAATCAAAGCCCTATGGAGCAGTATCAGACTCACATTCTGTCTAAAATATGAGTATGACGAAGTCAGGCTACATTTTTCCACCATTTTGAATTGATCAAAAATGACAGTAAAAAAATGTATCACAGTTTTCACAAAATATAAAGGAGCACAACTGTTTTCACACTGATTATAGTAAGAAATGTTTTCCTTCTGTGTCCCAGCCTACAATGATAAGATTGTAGCATTTTTACGGCAACCAAACATCTTTGAGGTGCTACAGGAGCGACAGCCGAGTCTGGCGAGGAATCACTCACTCAAGTATGACGCTCCACCTTTCTCTGTTATTGTAATGAAATGCATCATTAGCACTTCCAAGCAGTTCTCAGTTGTTCGGGTGTGTTTATGTCTAAAGGGAAAAGGTGCTCCACATCCGAACCGAAGGCACACAGAGACTGGAGAAGCTGTCGTGTGATGCTGACCTGGTCATGCTGTTAAGGTAAAGCACCCAACAGATTGGCCACATTGAAAACAAATGGACCCGTATAAGAATGCAAAGATTTCCTGAGCTGCACAAGGTGTGCATTTGTATTTTTATAAACTGTCACACATGCTTTCTTCAGGATGTGTTTTGATTTGCTTTTCAGTTTGTTTGAGGAGGAAATCATGTCTTACGTTCCTCTCGCTTCATTTCACCCCGGGTTCAACTTCTCTCCGCGCTGCTCCCCCGGTTCTTCTCCACAGAACTCTCCAGGTGAGTCGGCCGAGAGCTTTAACCATAGGCCTCAGATGGTCTGCAAATGACATTATATTATTTAGAAGACAACTTGATATGATAATTCCCAATTCAGGCCTCATTTGTATCTCCAAGTACTTTTCAAGACGCATTAGCCCGTATACATCAGTATTTAGCACTGGGATAGGATCTGAGATGGCTATTAAAACCAGTTATTACAGAGCTCTCTGAAATGCTTGATTCTGATTGGCCAGTTGTGACATTCCGAGGTCAGTCGATAATGACTGTTGCCAATAGCGAAGCTGTAGGATGACGGCTCATCTGGGCATTTGAGGCCGGCGCTTCCTTCGCTCATATCATACCGCGGATGGACGCCGATGCCATCTTGAGCCTCAATTATTGACTCTATATTTACTGTCAAATGAAAACAGATGACTTCAATTTTAATAATAGCCCTATGGTGATATTGTTGAATTGTTTGTCTTGTTGCACAAATGATTATTTTGTACACTTTAAAATCTTACCTGTTTGTTATATTATAATCCATAATATAATTACAATGGTTCTTCTCAAATCAATATTTCCATGTCCAAAACAGCTTTTCTCCACAAATAATAATTAGTAGCACTACTATAGATTATCACTTAAATGTCCATCTTGTTTGAACTTTTTTGTTCATCTAGGCTCAAAGCTGATTGCTAGGAACTGTTTATGTTCACGGAAGCTTTGCGTTTAATGAGCTTATAAAATATTTAAACTCAAATCAATATTCCGTGTCTAATTATTCACTGTGGCAAGTAGCCGTGGAATTAGCAGGATAATGTGCATCCAACCGGTGGTTATTGCAGAATAAACCCGACCGGGTGATCAGGACCCTGACACGAAGCGGACTTGCATAAACCACTTCAGGCTGATACAAGCGGCACATTAAAGTGATTTATTTTCATGAAGATCCTTGAGTTTGCAAGGAAAGTGATAGATTATTCACACGCACTCTGATTTACTCTGATAAAGGCTTCCTCGAGCGAACTCCTCTCGTTCCAGTCTGCTGTCTGTCTGGTGAGGGCTCTCCAGGTCAGCTGCTCTCAAGCCTTTAATACTGTCCCCACCCAGCTGCCCCTCTCTGTGTCATGATGGACATTTCACAGACCCTAAGCCTGTTTTGTGTGAATATTCAAACCTTTGTCCACGGCTTTTCCTTATTCTGCCCATAAAGTGGTTAACTAACTAGTCTTGTTTTGTATACTTTCATTTTGTAAAACTTGACCGTTGTGCATGTTTGGACACTCTCAAAAACCGGACAAAGAAATGAAAAAAGGATAAAACTGTACTCCGGTACATTATCAAAGATCCTTGTCCTGTAATATGTCTTTTACGTAACGAAAGGAACAATCATCTCACCCATTCGTGTGTTTGTTCTCGAGGTGAACAATCTCCTCTTTCCTTTGGAGTTGTTTTATGGCCTTCTGATCCTCGACAGTCATTCCCTGATGGTTGATATTTGAAGTAAGCTGGAGTTCACATCTGTGGTGATGGTTTGGTCTTTTCTTTAGGGACCCAGAGGGCTCGGGCACCAGCGCCCTACCGCAGAGACTTTGAAGCCAAACTGCGCAACTTCTACAGGAAGCTTGAGGCAAAGGGCTATGGGCAAGGACCTGGGAAGATCAAGTGCGTTAACACTGACAATTTATATACAGTGCCGTTCAAAGGTTTTGGGTCTGTGAGATTTGTTTATTGTTTTGTAGTCTCTTATGCTCACCAAGGCTGCATTTATTTAATCAGAAGTACAGTAATATTGTGAAATATTATTAAAATTTAAAATATATTCAAATTTAAAACGGCTATTTATTTCTGTGATGGTAAAGCTTAATTTTCAGCCTCACACAATCCTTCAGAAATCATTCTAATATGCTGACTTTCAAGAAACATTTCTTATCATTATCAATATTGAAAACAGTTTAATATTTTTCTGGAAACCATGATAGTTTTTTTTTCCAGGATTCTTTGATTAATAGAAAGTTCCAAAAGAACAGCCTTTATTTTGAAATCTTTGGCAATATTGTAAACTTTTGATCAATTGAATGCATCCATGATGAGTAAAAGTATTAATTTCTTTGTAATAAAAAAACCTTACCGACTCCAATCTTTTGTGTGTGTTTAAATATGCTGCTTATAATATTTAAAGTAAGATCAAGTGTAGGCCATTAAAGTAGTATCAGTAAGATAAATGCCCTACACTTCTCACTTCATCTTATTTTTTTTAGACTGATTGTCAGAAGAGATCATCTTTTAGAAGGAACGTTTAACCAGGTCATGGCCTACTCCCGTAAAGAGCTCCAGAGAAACAAGCTCTACATCACCTTTGTCGGAGAAGAAGGGTGAGGCTCTCAAATGGTTAGTGTTTAAGCAAAAGTCATATGTGGTTATATCTGAATTCTGCTCTTCTTTCCAGACTGGACTACAGCGGACCATCGCGAGAGTTTTTCTTCCTGCTGTCTCAAGAGCTGTTTAACCCTTACTATGGCCTGTTTGAGTACTCCGCTAACGACACGTACACTGTCCAAATCAGCCCCATGTCTGCTTTTGTGGAAAACCATTTGGAATGGTAAGGTTCTTTCCACTTCCTGCCAAGGAATTTGCACACTTTCTGTGTGGTATGAGAAATCATACTGAATAGCCATTGACAGATAAATAAATAGTTATGTCATTGGCTGCTCTCACAGACTGCTGTTATTGCTAGAATGTCTGTTTTTGAGCTTCTTGATGTGACGTGTGTTTTCAGGTTCCGTTTCAGTGGTCGAATTCTCGGCTTGGCATTGATTCATCAGTATTTGTTGGACGCTTTCTTCACCCGCCCATTTTATAAAGCTCTTCTCAGACTGTGAGTGGACCATAAAGCATATACATGTAGAGTTCGAAGATGACAAAAAATATTACTTAAATTGTAAATGTCCTGTGTATTTTATATAAAGGTCTTTATTGAAAACACAAATCTAATTGATTTGTGAATTTTCATCAGGCGTTACTCCAGCCTTCAGTGTCACATGATCCACATGATAAACTGATTTGCTGATAAAGAAATATTTCTTATTTTTTATCAATGTTGAAAACTAATAGACATGCTTAATTTTTTTTGTAAAAAACATGATAGATTTTTTTTTTTTTGCAGGATTCTTTGATGAATAGAAAGTTCAAAAGAACAGCATTTAATTGAGATAGAAATCTCGAGTAACATAACCAATCTCTTTACTATCACTTTTAAACAATTGATGCATCCTTGCTGAAGAAAATTATTCATTTCTTTCAAAAACAACAAAATCTTACTGACCTAAATGTTAATGACCCTAAACTGAGGTGTAGTTTATATTTGCTTCCACATTAGTGGCTGACAGAATTTGTGACAGGCAACAGGAAGCAGATATCTAGATTTATTTGATTTAGGGTTAATTATGGTAAATTCACCTGTTTTTTGACAGAAATCTCAAAAATGGTCCTTAATTCACTCCAATGCAATTTAACAATAAATAAATTAGAAATCAAAATTAAAACAGCTTAAATTGAATTTTTTCCTATTTTTAAAATTCGCTAAAAATATATTTTAAAAAAACGGGACCTACACAATGGAAATTAATGCATCTGTTAATTTCAAATACCAGTATATCGGTCTAGGCGAGCAATTATCAGAATATCTTATCCTCTGATGTCTGAACTGTAAAAGCACTTTGCATCATTGTCACCCCTGTTTGCAGATCCACAGATCTCAGTGATCTGGAGTATCTGGATGAGGAGTTCCACCAGAGCTTACAGTGGATGAAGGAAAATGACATCACAGATGTGCTGGATCTTACCTTCACTGTCAATGAGGAAGTGTTCGGCCAGGTGGGAGAAACCCTGAAACAACATCATGAAAATGCTTTCTCATTGTGCATTGTTATGCTTTCTCAATTCTATATATACGTATGTATAAAAAAATTAATTCCTTTTTCAGAATACTGAATTTTAAACATTTTTTGTAAAATCCAAATAAGCTTTACTGATTTTTAATGGAAAGAAACCAATGTTTTTCATGCATTTTTACACATGCAAACTAACAGTGAACTGGCGAAAGTAAATTAATGTCACAGTTCCAATAACTGAACAGAAAGAGACCTTTCTACTGACTTCCCAGGACTCCCTGATCACCTGCGTGAACATTTACACGTAATCACTTGCTTGGAAAAAAGCTTTTTTTTGCCAAGTATATAAATATATTGCACCAAATTAACATGTTAAATCTAATATATATTAGGGTTGTTGATTTAACACATTAATGCTTTTAACGCACCCCAACCCAGGGGTGTACGTTATCTTACATTGCATGCAGTTTAGTCACGAACAATAATAATAAACAGCAGCCTAAAGATCCCTATCTTTTAAAAATTCAGGGAATAATATTTTTCCTAAGATGGGGTGTGTGTGTGTGTGTGTTAGGTAACAGAGCGGGAGCTGAAGTCCGGCGGGACAAACATGCAGGTTACCGAGAAAAACAAGAAGGAATATATTGATCGGATGGTGAAGTGGAGAGTGGAGCGAGGCGTCGTCCAGCAGACTCAGGCTCTGGTCCGAGGCTTTTACGAGGTAAGCATGCTTGTCATCTGATTTACTCTCTGTCTGTCCGTGTGACCACCATTTAACCTTTAACCTGTGTGTGTGTGTGTGTAGGTGGTGGACTCTCGTCTGGTTTCTGTGTTTGACGCCAGAGAACTGGAGCTGGTTATTGCAGGAACAGCAGAAATTGATTTAAACGACTGGAGAAACAACACAGAGTACAGAGGAGGTCAGAACACACACTTATGCCTATATAGACACAAATACATACACAAATACACAACACAAATGCAGTCAGAAATCTTGATATTAGGGCTGTGCCAGTCAAATCCATACGTGTTGAAAGATGACAATATTTATCCGGATTCTTTTTCTCACTATATTGTATTGTCACTTCAAGACCTTGTATTCATTATGCATTCTATGTGTTCATTAATATAATTTTCCGACAGTATATTTCCTACCTGCTTGATTAAGGAGGTGGTTGATGTTTCTCAGTGCAGTCAGATCTGCTTCTATGGAAAAAAGTGAAATGTAAAATTCTAGTTGTAGTAAGAAGGTTGTGTATATTCATCATCAGGTTATCATGATGGGCACATCGTCATCCGGTGGTTCTGGGGAGCGGTGGAGCGCTTCAATAATGAACAGAGACTGCGTCTGCTGCAGTTTGTGACGGGCACCTCCAGCGTGCCGTACGAGGGCTTCACCGCCCTGCGCGGGAGCAACGGCCTACGGCGCTTCTGCATCGAGAAATGGGGCAAGATCACATCGCTCCCGAGGTATAGTGACACACCTTTTCATCTTTCACAAATCTGGCTTTGATTTGAGCTGGTATGCGAAAGCTTTCAAATGAATTCAAAGATGCAAATATCAATAATGAAATAATAAAAGGTGCAAGTTTTACTAAAAATCTCAGTCAGCTGACAACTGTAAGCATTCGATTGATCTTTAACATTGCAGAAGAAACTTGGATAAAACGTTTAAAGTCAACATATTACAGCATTTACACACCAGTTTACTTCCATTGTATTTGACGTAAGACATGGATCATTATCAAAATTTTACACTTGTCCTTTGTCTTTTCAGTCAGGAAAGAAACTTAAAATAGTCTGTGTAACTTAACATTCTGTGTTAAAGGTGTAAAAAAATATTTTAATATGAAAGGGTTTGACTGACATATTAATTTTTGTTTTACAAAAAAAAAAATGAATTTAAGTGCCTTCTGTTCTGTTAGTTGAAATAAAGCTGAAATAAAATAAAATATAAATATTAGTTGAAAAACATTGAACAATAATTTTAAATTCTATTATTAAATAATGTTCATTTCAAATTATTAGAATTATTGCCTCAGTAATAAACTGAAATAAGTTTAAATAAGTTTGAAGCATTAAATTACTGGAAGAAAAAAAACTAAAATAAAACTAAATTAAACATAAATGGCAATATTTATAAAAAAGAAAGAAAAAAAAGAAAAATGACAAAAGCACATTTACAAAATTCCTAAAGATTTAATTAAAATTAACATGAAAACTACAACAAAAAAAAAAACTAATTCAACATATTAATAAAACTAGAATAAAAATTAACAGTATTTAATAATGTAAATAATTGAAAAAGAAATGTATTTAATCATATAATTTAAAATTACCATTAATTAATAATATAAATAATTACAAATTATCATTAACAGTATAGTTTAAAATCAACATTAACTAATAATATAATAAATCATTTAGAATGATCACTTATTAAAAGTATAATTACAAATGAAGTGTATTTAAAAAAATATTAATAATTTAAAAAGAAAGATTGTCCCCTTTGATTTAGTTTTTTCATACATGTTAAAACATGACCAGACCTAAACAGATTGGCCACGATTCTAGAAACTGATGACCAATCCATGAGATCAGAAACGTGTTTTCAGCCGGGCTGATGGATGTCATGTCTGGTTCCTCAGGGCGCACACATGCTTTAATCGTCTGGATCTTCCGCCGTATCCGTCCTACACGATGTTGTACGAGAAACTGCTGATCGCTGTGGAAGAAACCAGCACTTTTGGCCTTGAGTGAGGACTTCACGTGACTTTCCCGTGTACACTGTATTTACTTATCTACTAGCGTGGATCGTATCCTGTGTTCGTTTCTTTGGTTTGTTCAGGACACCACTGCATGCATCAGTCACCTGCGCGGGTGTACAGTGTGTAACGGGTATGCAACAGTGAAAGAGAAGCCTTCAACCTGCTTTAACACTCAGGGCCTCGACCTCCGCTGGAGTCGCTCTCAGTTCGCACACCATCATTTCGCCATAAACCGTCGTTTTCTTTTGGTGCATTTTGACAAGAATTGTAAAGTTAAAACCAAATACACTCACAGAAAACATCTGATTGAGGTGCCGTAATTACTGTAAATGTGTCTCACCCAACACGTCATCATCACAGGAAGTGACCTCACGTCATGTCACTTTGCAGGAGTCAAAGACAGACTAGGGGGAAATGGCAAGTCTAAACCTTGATTTGACACTTTCGATGTATTAGTATATCAATCAATACATTTTAATATTAAAATGTTTTAAGCGTCAACGATGTTCAAGGATGTTCAAGGCTTCATGCTGTTTTATGTTTTGTCTGTAATGTTTGAATGAAATTTTTAGTGTTGACACATGATTGCTTTCAATTAATGAATGTTTTTGGGTATGTTAAAAAAATCCCCACCCCAACCAAGAATTTTTTCTTTAAGGTCATCGCTGAAAGTGAAAATGCTAAACAACTCAACAAATCCAGTTAGAATATGTTAATTATACAGCTGTGTGGAGTGAGATTTTGAACCAATGAGATTGCACTGTGGGCGGAGTTACCCAGCGGAACAAAGCAAAAAAAAGAGACTGACAAAATTGTGGCAGTTGCTTTTGGTTAAGACACTGTGCAAAGGTGCATTCATGGTGACAGTGATTTATAGCGATTTGGACATGTACTTTATGTAAATGAGCACTGCCAATAGGAGTGAAGACATCTCAGTAAGTGAATGCTCACAATGAGCAGTTTTACTGTTCATGGTGTGATTCTTTATGCACTGCTGCAGCTTATATACAAATTTCCCTTTAGCATGTTCATTTTTAGTGGCAAAAAATGTATTAGTTGTCAAAATGGAATGATTTATTGTGTGGTTGTTTGTTTATCATGATTTCCGATCAGGTGGGCGTTACTGTCTGCGCTCCCATTGGCAGTTCATCGTGGCTCATTTGCATATGATTAAATCTCCACGGTCACTTAAAATATACTTAGATTTTCCTGATGCCATGATATGCACTCATTTTCCCCAATGTTTATAAAATGTATAATCTATTTATATCTATTTATATGGTGTCTTTTTATGACTTAAAGTGGTAAAGAGATTGTAAGAAACTACAGAAAAATGTGTGTGCCACACTTCATGTTCACTTGAGTGTTTCAGCTGTTTGCGTGTTTAAGGTGAAGATAAGTGAGAAATTCTGAAAGTAATATATTTATTCAAAAAGGAAATTGGTTTCAATGTCAGAAAACATTTCTTTGGAAGGTCAGATTGGTTCGTTCTGTGGGTTGGTTTATTGACGACTAGATTCCTGTGCTGAAGTTTTGATTATCGTTCATGTTTACATTTTAAAATGACGTGAATGTGTGTTTTATACATTAAGATCGTCATAAATCATCTTAACTTGATGCCATTTAAAGGTGCATGTGTTTGTGTCTAATCCACACTTGATGAATCAGTCTTTTATTTTTATCTCCTAATATTTTCATAAAGGGATTGTTCACCCAAAAAATGCATTGTTTGAATATGCAGAAGATTTGATCGCAACAATGGTTAATTTCCTTTATTAACAGAATAACATGAGGGTGATGATTTTTTTTTTTTTTTTTTCATTTCAGTTTAATTTTAGGTGTACTCTCCCTTTAATGTGGTGATGGAGAAGTAAAGCAATCAGGCTTTGATAGTCTCTGAAATATAATTCTATCTAAAATCAATTGCAGCTCAAAATGAACTACACTTCAACTCAGCTTAAGATGTTAGGAATGTAGGGAAAGTGCATTTGTATTATTTATCCCAATTAAGAAATTATAAAATGTCTGTATATCAAATGTGTACATATTTGCTTGAACAGTCTATGTAAAATCAAAATTTTAAAATGTGATTAATCAATTCAACAGCCAACAGTTCATCTTCTTTTTTTTTTTTCTTTTTTTTTTTTTTAAACATGTCTTCGTACTTACTATTGACATAATGTTAGTTAAAAATGGTTTTCTCAAATGTATATTACTATGCATATTTGTTTGCAATTATAAGAAATCCTACTTATTTGGCGGTTGTGAAGGACGTTTCTTCATGTATCAAGACTCTCGCAGCCCTGAAATGAAAATGTGAGAGAAATAAGGAGAAGTTTCTGGAACACACTGCCTCTCTGTAAACATGTCATTCTGGGAAATGCTGAAAGAGTTGGCTCCTGCTTCCACCTCGGACACATACACTTGCCTGCTCATGTATTTTTACACTTTTAATCTATCTGTATGGAAGAGAATAAGAGCGGACGTGTACAAATGTTAATTTGAATTGTGTTGTTGAGGTCAATTATAGCGCCTCTCTCAGGCTGAGATCTGTAACTACAGCATTACACTTAACGAATGTCAATAAACAATCACTTTCTATCTGAATCTGGCTGTCGCTCCTGTGTATAATACATCATGGTCTGAAATATCGCTGACTTGTACAATATATTTGTAACATATTAAATTATATTCTGTGTACAGAACTGCATATTACCAAAAATGTTTTATTATAGAAAGTCACAGCAATTATTTCTATAATAATAATGATGATAATAATAGTATAAATAATTATTATTGTTATAGCCAGACAGTCAATACTCATTACTCTTTGACTGCAGATTGACCAATCAGAATCAAGTATTCTACATATTTTAATTTGAGACTTCAAACATGTGCCTTGAATTAGGCTATGTCTTAGGCGTTTAATTTAAACCGGGTTTAGCTATTTATAGAAGGCATTTCACTCGAAAATATTGCACATTGAAGAAGAAAAAAAAAAGTTATTAAGATTAATGTGAGGTTTATAGGTGTTTTGCTCGCCCCTAAATATACCCAATCTGGTGTCTTCAGTCTCAATTTTTTTTAGCCCTGTAATATTCAAGAGAATCTCAAGCCAGGAGAAATGTGCCAAAGCCAGACTGTTACTGTGAACATAATCTGCAAAAATAAATCAATAACAAAATATAGCCTAAACACGTCATAACATTTAATGAAGAATTTATAGCTATTTAATTTGCTAAAACACTGTGATGTAATATAAATATATTGCAAAATCAGATCAGAACAGATTGGAGGAAGTATTCATATGGATGTTTTGGCAGATGAACGCGAGGACAGATGGTCGCCAGAGCTCTGTGGAATATGAGGATATTTCTGGAGCAGGAACAGGGTGGTTTTGGGGGATAACACTGGGATTTTTGAAGGGATTGAAAGAAGGAAAGTTTGAGACATGAAGCCTCAACTTGGTCTGGAACGAGATTTAGTCAGATTCAGAACAGATTTAGGAGAACTGAAGAAGACTTGAACAGGTCACTAGTGAACTGCTTCCACACTGTAGTTTGTATACTGTTTCCTTTGATCATTATTATTATTCATGTAGTATGCTGCGTTGCTGCATCTTTGAAATACAATGGCATAATACTGTAGCCTTCTCTTCCTTATTTTTGTTATGTGGTCGATATTCTGATTAATTGGTCAGACGTGAAAGGCCAAGCTGAGTGCATTGCATTATGGGTTAATAACGCATTATACAATGCACTTACTTATACTTATGCAGTATGTATCCGTTTAGTGTGTGAATTTTATACGGTTATTTTGTCATTCCACCCATTCTCGGAATTTCTCCGAAAGCATTTAACCCATTCAAGTTAGTGCACACACATTAGGAGCAGTGAGTAGTGAACACACACACTGCAAAACGTGGATATACATTCACTCTATATATGTACACATATAAATACATTTAGACCACTTAGCCTAACTTAGTGATTGCTATAAGGATGTGAAGAGACTTTCAACCAGCATTACAAAAAAAAAATTCTGGAACAAATTGCCTACCCTGCCTTTAATGCAATTCAATTATTATTATAGCTTTAAGTGTTTATGGATTCTTCAGTTTAACCAGTCTTTTTGGGCGCATCTGTGGATGAAATCTGCTCACTCTTCTGAATGTTGATTTTTCATATGTAATGGTTATGATGAACTGAGCATGGTTTAAATGTCAAATGAAAAAAGACGTACCAAGGGAAATCTTTCAGTACATGGTCCAAAAAAATCAACCAATCTATGTAGTTTTATTTCGAGTGAACAAAGAAAAATTAAGACAGATTTATTTTTTGAATGGCACAAAATTGTGTCAAGTTTATACTGACCACATGACCTGGAGCACTCTAACAAAGTGCACTTGTTTTTCTGCATATTTCGAAATTTCTCTCAAAATGAAACAATTGTGACTGTTTTGACAGTCATGAGAAACTTGTGATTCAAATTTCTGAAGTTACTGAGGCTTAATGTTTTACTGACTCCTACTGGTAAGATTTAGTAACTACAGTGGTACTAGACAAGTCATGTCAAATTATCCAAATATCCCAGTGCTTGGTATAAAGCTGTATTAAATTGTAGTATGTTCAAATTCACATGTTTTACACACATTTTTAGAAAGTCAAACAGATATAGGTTATTATTCCTGTGACTTATTTATTTTATGCAACCCTGCTTTTTCAATATGATCAGATATATACTGTTAATAAATAAACATGTTCAAGAAAGTATTTCAATACACACACACACATATATATACTGTATATAAAGATGATAAAATGCATAAAATTACAGTGTATGACATCATCCATCTTTAATGAAGCACATAAACAGCAAAAAAACGACTAAATCACAATTTCTCCAAGCTACATCCCAGATAAATATATATTAACATTTCAAGTAGGCAAATATATGAAAATGCCATAATCACATGTGCTTAAAAAAAGACATGCTGTCAATCATCTTTTGTACAGGGACTCTCTGACCGTCCATTGGCATTAGTCGTCTGTTCAACATTGATGCAATGCTTCTGTATAAAGTTACTCTTCAGATTCCGTCTTGTTGAAAATCTCAATGGTTTCTCCTTCCCTCAGTTTTAGGAACACTTGCTGGAGGAGCCATCTAGTGACGAAAGAGGTTAAGATTATTTTATAATGTAACATATCTATTAGCATACACAAACCCATGAAGCCACGGTTAGGCTTTGAAGGTTTCAGAGGAATGTCTCTATTCTGGGATTTTTGAAAACATGGCACCTGTTCATGAGAGTGTCTCTGGTGGACGTTGTGTAGAGATAACCTCCAGTCTTTGAGCCGGTAACTGGGATCTTCAGCTGAAAATGATTGATACAGTGATTAATCTATAAGCGAGTGAGTATTCCTCAGGTGGAGGGTGCTGCTGACCTGAGCGCTGCTGTGGTCCATGCGGTTGTGGCGGTCAGATAAATGGATGTTGTGGATCTTTAGAGGAGGAGCGCCCAGACTGGCCATGGCTGTGGAATTATTGTTCAGTTGTTCAAGGGCCTGACGGTAGTACTCTGCTTTTGCAAAATTTTCTGAAAGAAACAGGACACAATTGTTTACAAGATTTTTAACAGATAACATCCGATGTAATTAACAATGACTTACTCTGCATGAGGTAATACATCATAGCGCAGCCGCCGCCGGTCACTACAGTGATGAATATGGTCATCTGCTGCAGGAGGCCGGTCGATCGACTCATCCTCACTTCAGCTGGAGGAAAACTCTATACAACAGCACTGATTATATACATATAACAATGTCAATCAATTTATTTCCTTCATGATCTTAAAAACATGGCTTCTGCTTCAGTGCTTGAAATAAGTTTGAAACAGTACCAGTCAAACGTTTGAAAACATTACTATTTTTAATGTTTCTTATGCTCTTCAAGACTGCATTTATTTGATCAAAAATAATGGTTTGGTTTTCTTTTTTAATATACTTTAAAATAGAATTTATTTCTGTGATGCAAAGCTTCAGCCATTACTCCAGTCTTCTGTTATGATCAATATTGGAATCAGTTTTGCTGCTTAATATTTTTTATAACCTGTGATACTTGTTTCAGGATTCTTTGAAGAATAAAATGTCAAATAAGAATAACATTTATTTCAAACAGAAATCTTTTGTACCCATATACAATACCGTTGGTCTTGTAGAATACAGTTTGCGGTCAGTAATTTTTATTTTAAAGAAATGAATACTTTTATTTTTAAGATTTTTATTTTGAATGAGTGCTGTTCTTTCTAACTTTTTATCCATCAATGAATCCTGAAAAAAGTATGACAGGTTCAAAAAACATATTAAGCAGCAAAACTGTGTCCAACATTGATAATAACTGACTATCAAATCAGCATTTTATAATGATTTCTGAAGGATCATGTGACTCTGAAGACCGGAGTAATGATGCTGAAAATTCAGCTTTGATCACAGAAATAAATGATATTTGAAAAAAATATATATGAAATAAATAATCAAATTAATTGTATATACAGACATACATAATATGAAATAACAAAGGGCAGTATAAGAATAAGTAGTGTCCAATATATATATATATATATATATATATATATATATATATGTGTGTGTGTGTGTGTGTGTGTGTGTGTGTGTGTGTTTTACATATATATTGGACACTAACAAGTTACTGATTCTCATACTGCCCTTTGTTATTTCATAGTTCCATGGTTTTACTATTCTAAATTGTGGAATATATGGTATTTACCTGGTGCCTTAATGTCCTTGAAAGACAGTCCTAGCATGGGACATTCTCTAAAGAGAAAGTCCAAGAAACGTTTGATTTATTATTCTACAATAGTACAGTGAAATTTCTTTTTCAAATCTGCCGTCTTTAATATTGATACTTTGGCAAGATAGGGTTTATCTAAAAATGGTCTAAAAATGTCACTGAATTTCACAGAACTGAGACCTAATTTCGTCAATTCATGCATCGAATTCAAGGGCTGTTTATAATAATAATAACTCACCGTCACGTCGATTATTTTTAGTGTCGAAGACACTAAAAGCAGCGCGCTATGGACGCGGCCATGTTCGTTTTACTTTGAAAAACTTTATTCAAACATTGATATAGATAATCTGATTAAACGCATAGTAAAGCTCTATATTATCATATAAATGAAAAAGTAAACGTGTCAGTAAAGTTATGAACTCTTGATTTGTACGATACTCTGTTTATTTATTATGTATTTGTCGACAACCGGAACACGTGCGGCTGGAGCGCGTGACGTCAGACGCACGCGCGGTTACGAAAAAAGAGTTATGAAAGTTCTTTCCTGAGTCACACTAGAATGTCATTCATTTCTCTTATTTCACTGCGGATGCATTAGAGATTCACACCAAAGGCTCGTCGACGACATTCAGAGGTGAGGTTATATCTTGCTCTTGTACTTATGCATATAACGTTAGTAGAATTAAAATGATTCGTTGTGTAATCTCTCATTTGCGCGTTCTTGAGCGCGATATGCAGATGTGTTTCATTAATGTGGCGCTTTTGGTGATTTAATTAACACGCGTTTTGAAGCATTTCAATAAACAGATTTCTTTCCTGTATATCAATATACATTTCTAGTATTTGAGAAAATATGTATTGGCAGCATGATAGCCAAATTATTGTTGTCAGTAGCTGCTGGTAACTGGTTAACTTATATTATTATACACCATGTCACATGACATAAAAAAAAAATATATAAATATATATATATATATATATATATATATATATATATATATATATATATATATATATATATATATATATATATATAGGATTTTTTTTATTCATTATGTAATTTGAAAATGAAAATAATAATATAAAAATGTTCACTTCATGTATCGTTTGTCATTTTTAAATATAAATGAATGTCTTCAATGCTGCTGTCATTACCACCATACCAAACACTTTAAATGCTAATTATTTTAATAATCACTTAAAAGTGCAGAAGTTAAGAAATACCCTCAAACACAAAGTAAATCTTGTGATATTTATCATGAAATAAAAAGATAATTTTATTTTAATAGCATGCACTTTAATTAATAATTTATTAATTATTTACTGAGTAGGAAGGAAAGTGATCAAACAAAAAAACACTATAAACGACTTTAGGCAAAAAATGTTTTAAAATGTTTTTTTTTTTAGTTCCAGGTAATAGGAAATGTCTCCCATTTCCCCATATTAAATAAATGGGTAACTAATATAACCAAAACCGGTTTTTCCTTACGCAATATTCAGAAAACTACTGTATTCAAGTCTATTCTCAAGAAACGTTTTTTTTTTTTTTTGTAAAGGAAGTGTGACTAAACAAGCCGTTATCAGTCAAACACACATGCAGACATACCAAAAACTTCATTTCAGCGAACTCAAACCAGTTTCTCAAAAATGTTATGCTCCGCCATGTCTTTACAAGCTTGTTTTCATAGGATGACAAGGTCAGTGTAGATGTGGATCGATCCACACTCCATGATTGTGTGGTAGATTTCCCCTACACACTGACTTAAGTTAACCTCTGAGTCTGACTTAAGTTAACCTCTGAGTCTGACTTAAGTTAACCTCTGAGTCTGACTGAAGTTAACCTCTGACTGAAGTTAACCTCTGACTTAAGTTAACCTCTAGCGCTTCTGCAGGCGAGTCGGATGACGTCTCGCCCCTAATGAACACTATCATTTGGGAATCAGATCTCTAGTGTTCCTCTACCCCGCTGCACAGCAGTGACCAGACAGACTCCAGACACGGCCTTTAGATATGCTTTATCACAGCCGGAGGATCTCAGGCCAATTTCAGAGAGAATCCCACCAGCCAAAAGAATACAACAGTTTATATAGAATATAAGTGCATTACAAAGGGGACATGATCCGTTACATAATATTTCTCTAATATGATTGGCTCTTCGTATCTATAATACTGTTATGGGGTAAAAGCACATTTGGATTCCTTGATGCTTCAGCTTATTGCTCAAAGTCATGAGGTAAAAAATATATATCAATGTACATATAAATGTACAAAAGCATATAAATGTTAATTCTGTAGAAAAAAGGAATGTTAGTTAGGATTAATGAAATTTCCCTTCACACTTGTTTGAAACTTTTTCAGCATATGCAGAATTTAAACGAGGTTCAGAACAAATTCAGTTTTATTTCTTCACTATAAGCACACTTGTACTTGTAGTTAATGCTGGTTTTCTGCTTCAGGAATCATGTTGGGATCAGTGGTTGTAGGTCTAGGCATTGCAGGATGTGTGAGGATGAGAGATTTAGTCGCTCCTCTACCGTCCAGCGCTGCAGAGAAGCTCACCATCAGAGGCTTCGTGTCCAGGTCAGTGCCTCGTCCACACATTCATACTACTGACACATTAAAGCACTTACGTTGCGGTTTTTTTTGTGACCCCATAAAACACAAGATAAGTTCTCTGGGGACGTTTCATATCATATAGCAAATATTTACTGTGCTTTGCTTGGTGTGCAGTTTAGAAATCCATACACCTTCATATTCATAAATAGCCCATTGTGATGATGACTGCACTTTAAGCATGCATTTGAGTCTTCTTATTGAAAGACTGAATCTTTATACATATATACTGTATTTATAATATAGACCAAAAGTTGAGAATCTTTAAAACTGGTAATTTATTAAAAAATGTCTCTAATGCTCACCATGGTAGTATTTATTTAATAACAAATATAGGATAAACAATAATATTCTAAAGTATTATTACAATTTCAAATAATTGTATTCTGTTTATATATGGAATAGAAATCTTTTGTAACACTATACAATTCTTTATTTTCACATTTGATCAATTTGATGTGTCCTTGCTGAATAAAAGTATTAATTTCTTATTTTTTTACCCCACATTTTTGAATGGTAGTGTTTAAACAGGATCAAACCTGAAGAAAGTATAAATGTATAAATATATCGATAGATAATTACACAAATACATTTTTTAATTAAAGTTTAAAATAAAATAAAAATAAATACATTTGGGAATAAATTTGTTTATTTTTCAATGTATTTTTTCAATATTATTTTTAGCTTTATTTATATAAAAAAATGTCATGTATTTATTTATATTTCCCACATGTATTTATTTATTTATACATTCATTTATTTTTACTTAATATAGAAATGAGGGATATTATATATGATAATCAGTTTTGTTGTGTGTGCAGGAGGACTCTTGAAGACCAGCAGTGTGTGAAGCAGATCACTATGACGGAGGCGTTGAGCAGAGCCGACATCCACGTGGCGTTTATATGCACGGAAAACACCAACCATGAAGAGAGCATCAGGTATCACACAGAAAACCTCTTCTGACCCCTCTCGCATGGCAGAAATGCTCATTCATGATGCTCTGTCCTCAGGCAGTTCCTGGAGGCGGGGAAGCACGTGTGTGTCGAGTATCCCGTGACCCTCAGCTACACGTCTGCAGTGGATCTGTGGAACCTGGCTCAGCAGAAGGGTGAGCTGCTGTCTGGATGCTTGTCTTCTGTCTTCTTGAGTAAATCTTTGAAATAGTAGAACGCAGAGCTGCACGATTAATCGTGAAAAGATCGCGATCTCGATTCAAACACCCACAAGATCTTATTCCCTAGTGACAATGATTCGGCTATGTCTATTAAACCTTTGACAAGTACGATCACAGTGAACATTCAGATCTGGGTTCTGATCCAGAGAGAGCAGTTGTCATGTATAGATATGATACAGCTTCACAAACAGTGTTTTCAACCACACAGTGTCTTTATTTCTGTGTTACAATCAAAATTTGTGGTTCTCAGTTTATCCAGAAACGTGCTGCTCTAGTAGAACGTTTGTCGTTATAAAGCAGCTAAATAATATTTTTCGACTTGTTTTGTATCTAACTTCTGGTGTCTTCAGGTCTGGTGCTTCATGAAGAACATATTGAACTGCTTACTCCGGACTATAAACAACTGAAGAAAGACATATGTGGGAAAACACTGGAGAAGGGAACACTGCACTTCACAGGTATAACAGCACACAGGTCATCTTCTTTTGAAAGGTTTCCTCTAGGGGTTCGAGTGACAGTCATGTTTCTCCTCAGGTGGACCCCTGAAGCCTAATTTTGGGTTCCCGTCGTTCAGTGGCATTTCCAGACTGACGTGGTTGGTTGATCTTTTCGGGGAGCTCACGGTTACTGCTACATCTCTGGTGGAGGAGAAAGAGAACAAATACATGAAGATGACGGCCCACTTACTGACCAAACAAAACAAGTGAGCACACTATCACCACAGAGAGGCCTTCTCTGCTTCCTAATTATTTATTTATTTTAGATTTTTGTATTGCATTTATTCTATTCTTTATGCATAGCTGGCAAATAACGTGACCATAAACAATACAAATTATAGGTTGAAATTTAAATGAATGTGCTGTAAATTCATTCAAAAGTTGGGATCGGTAAGAGGTTTTTTATTGGTGTTGAAATAAGTATATTATGCTCACAAGGCTACATTTATTTAATGAAAAATAAGGTGAAAACAGTAATATTGTAAAATATTCTTACAATTTAAAATGGCTGTTTTCAAGTATTATTATTATCAGCGTTGAACAGTTGTGCTTCTTGATATTTTTGTGGAAAGTGTGATTTATTTTATTTTTCAGGATTCTTCGATGAATGGAAAGTTCAAACGAACAGCATATAATTGAAATGTTTGTAGCATTGTAAATGTCTTTATCGTCACTTTTGATGCGTCCTTGCCGAGTATAAGTTCATTTCTTTAAAGAAATGTATTGCTCCCAAACTTTTTAACAGTAGTGTCTATGTTTAGAATGTGAAACTTGTCATCATTTCCTCATTTTTCAATACTTCATCACCTTTTAGTTTTTTTGCTATTCACTTAAATTGAGTGACTCATTTGCTTTTCTATGTAGGTTTGTACAGTTGTATGGGTGGTGCTTGCATTTCTAAGTGGTTACTCGGGTGTTACTAAATGGTTGACCCAACCTTAGATCAAATAGCTCAAAACTGTATGAATTTTTTTGACCTGACATGCAAAAAACACAAGTGTTTTCTGGCGCAGACCTCTCACTTGGATTGAAGAGCGAGGCCCGGGACTGGGCAGAGTCAAACGCATCGACCTCCACTTCACGGACGGCGTTATCAGCGAGCTGCCAGCCGGGCAGCGGGAGCCAGTGGGGCTGTTCATGCAGGATCTGGTGCTGTTCGCCCGCAAGCTGCAGGGGGACGTCTCTGCTGCCGAGCTCCAGGCGGAGAGGAGCCGGATCTTACACTGTCTGGAGCTGGCGGACCGCATGCAACAGCTCAGTGAAAGCACTCAGGCCTGAACCTGTCCTGAGTGCATAGCCACCGTGGGATATGCGCTCTGTCTTCTCCCAAATGTCTCCCAAATATGGAATTGTGGGATATAGACTGTGGTGTAGAGACAGACAACTGGAGAGTAGAATAATATAAAAAAAGAAAAGTAACTTTTTTTTCTTTTTTTTTTGGTAACACGTTACTTGACGCCTTTATATATAATGCATTATAAAAAATATTTGAATGCATTAATTATGCCTTGAATGCACCTTACAATGCATTATATGATCTCATGAATAATTGTAAAGACAGTTATAGTACTTTATAATGCATATCTATTCATTAAGCACACCTTTAGAAAGTAGAATGCGTTAAAACAAAACAAACAACCAATTTTTGATGTACCAATGAATCTACAAATATTATAATGCAATTATTTATGAAAAGATATAATACATTATAACCTTCCAATTAGACTTTATAATGCATTTTACATAATGGTTTCATGTAAAGTGTTACCGATGTGTTTTTTCTAACCCTAATTAATACGTTTATTAATCAGTTGCTGTTAAGCTCTAAAAAGAACACAAAAAAAGAACCACCAAAAAGTAGTTTGTCCTATTATTCACAAAAAAAACAACAACATTTATTATAGGTTTTTTTTTGTCCTTTTTGGACCTTTACAGCTATTTTTAGGTCATTTTCTCTTTTTTTATCAGGATTGGGAAATTGCAATGATTTAAAAAGTCTTTTGATTTGTAAATTCAACTAATAGTTTTGTGTTTAACTAGTGTGCCGCATCAGAATATGCAGTAACAGCACATTCCTTCATTGTCTCATGCAACTCATTACTATAGTTATTGATTAACGTTACATGGCTAATTTGTTATTTAACAGGGTTACGCTTTATGTTAAGGTTATGTAGTTACATTGTACTTACTCAAATAAGTACTGAGTAATATTAAATAGCTACATGTACTTACTATAGAGTTACACTTAGGGTTAAGGTTTGTTTTAGGGTTAGTTACTTATAATTATGCATATTTTATTTTACTACTATATGTAAGAAGTATGTGTAACTATTTCACCTTACAATAAAGTGTTACCTTTAACAGAAAGGGAGGATTCCTGTGGACTACTGTGTTTTAACATGTTGTAAATCAGTTGGTATTTAGTATGTGACTAATACAGTGAGTTGTGCTTTAGTGCAATGCATCTGCACAAAAAATTCAAATACAAATTTCAGACAAATGAACCAGTGATTTCGGTCATTGTTCATACAGGCTGGTGCATTGCAAAACATGTATGTAATATGTGTTACTCTGTTGACATGTTGTAGTTCTGGGACAACTGGGTGAGCTCTGTAGGCATTCATACATGCTTTGGAGCAAAATCTAAGTTTTCTTTGAAAGTTTGTGGATTTTTTTTTTTTTTTTATAAATCTGATCATCCTTTCCTTTCTGTGTTCTTTATGAGGAGATCATACATGTGATGAGAAAGCACTGATTGGAGCAGATCATGAAAACATAAATGTAATGCACATATCACTGATTGAGAAGCATACCGCCACAAGGAGGAATGTTCAATGTTGCTTCTAGCCTAAATGCAGTTTACTTTTGTCTTAATGTGTACTTGTGTAATTCAGTTAAATAAAAAAATGGTGCCTGCTTTATGGAATTTGTTTCCGCAGCTGAATCCACACATGAACTTGACATAACTTGAAATCACTTATTTTGAAAATTAAGCTTACTTTTTTTAAACCCTTTTTGCATTGAGTTCTTAATCATGTCCATCCCAATTTTGTTAGTGTAATAAATAAAATACAATCATCCTGACACGCGTCTTAAATTCAAGTCAATTCACATTTATTTGTAAAGTGCTTTTCACAATATATATTGTTTTACAAATTCTGTAAAATGGTGTTTGCTTTGTACTTGTTTTATTCTTTAACATTGTTTTACGCAATTATGGGTGCATATACTGGAGCAAAACAAGTCTTTGTTTTTTTTATGCCAAATATTTTTTCTGTTAAAGCTTTACTATAAAGGTTGATTTATTGACTTGATTTATAACTAATTGAAGTATTAGGTATCATGAACTAACAGTGAACAATAATGTTGAACACATTAACATCAGTTAATGTAAAAATTCATATCTAAAACATTAATGACAAGTGGAACCTCATTGTAGTGTTAGCATTTGAGGTATGAAATATGATCAATATGTCACTCATGAAATCCTGGATTCCTTCCTCAAAAGTGAATGAAACATTTACAAATATTTATTAATCACGTTCAGACACCAAGAGTGAAAAAACTGTTTCAACTTTTATTCAAAAGAAAAGTCAGTCCTAATGTAACAGCTGACAAGGGCAGGGCCATATTTCCCAGAAGCTGTGGAGATGATGCAAACACTGTCATGTGCTCCGATCCACACAAATGAACAAACACATTCGGATGAGACATTCTTTTGCAGGAAAATTGCATCTACTCTATGAATTAAAACCAGGAACTGTTTTTTGTTTGTTTGTTTATTTGATTGACTGCATTGCTGAAAGAGTTTCGAGATCCTTATTAGACTTCCTCATTGGACTTTCGATTTCTGATTGCAAAATGTGCTTGATACAAAAAAAAAAGAAGCTTCAAATAAATTACAAAAACATATTAAACCTAGAAAATAGTTGTTGTACTTTATTTGTGGGAAAAGCAAATCGGAAACATTTGAGCTTCAAAGAGCAGCTGATTTCAGTTGTGGTCTAGTTGAAAAGTGTCTGGAATGTTTGAAAATGGAAGTACTCGTGTGCATCATCGTCATCATCATCATCCTCATGCTGGACGGGACACGCCGCTAAACACAACAGTAATAAATATACAAAACAAAAATGAAATAAAGGCAGAAAAATGACAAAGTCCTTGATTACAGCACGTCGCAACAACTGTCATTCTGCAGTCGATCTTTAGTCTTTAACCTTCAACTGTCGGTCAGATCTTTCTGCTGGCTATGTCACTTCAGCCAGTGCAAAGAGAATGAGAAGAAGAAAAAAAACATTCCTCCTGGGTGACTATCAGACCTGAGAAGAGCAGGGCATTCTGGGAAGCTTCTTCTGGAAGTCAAAGCGATGCGGGGTCGGGGGGGCTCACGTGGATTTCTGTTTATAATGAATGGTCAGGTCTCCTCCGCTCTTCCAGATAAAATGCTTAACAGTCCTGAGGTCCATGTTTGGATCCAAAACCTACGAAAGACAGCAAGCTTTTTTTAACAACAGTCTACAAAAAGCATTTAACAATTTCTAACATTTAAAGGGGTGGTTCAGGATTTTGGACATCGGGTCTCATTTCCAAGTTAGCCTGGGTGTTATTTATCAGTGGAGACAGTTTTCCAAAAATGTTCATCCAGTCGTTCCAGTTGCATAGTTCGCCGGTGCTAGGCTAGCGCGAGTCAACGGTAACTCCTAGCCTGCCATTAAAAACAGTTTTACCCACCCCACAGTACACCAGAGGCAAATCAATTATAACGCCAGACTATCGATGTAAATGTCTGTTGAGAGAATAATGTTAGAAATCAAAGTACCCTTTCATCGCATTGCAATAGTTATACTTTGTTCCCTGTATTTAATAGCGCACTCTACAGCAGCGGCGGAGTGATATGTAGTTACCTAGGCAACCCAGAGAGGTAGTGAGAGAGGTAGAGAGAGGTAGTGAGAGAGAGAGAGAGAGGTAGTGAGAGAGAGAGGTAGAGAGAGAGAGAGAGAGGTAGAGAGAGGTAGTGAGAGAGAGAGAGAGAGAGAGGGGTAGAGAGAGGTAGTGTGAGAGAGAGGTAGAGGGAGGTAGTGAGAGAGAGAGAGAGAGGTAGAGAGAGAGAGAGAGAGGGGTAGAGAGAGGTAGTGAGAGAGAGGTAGTGTGAGAGAGAGAGAGGTAGAGAGAGAGAGAGAGAGGGGTAGAGAGAGGTAGTGTGAGAGAGAGAGAGAGAGAGAGAGAGAGAGAGAGAGAGAGAGAGAGAGAGAGAGAGAGAGTTATTGATCTTCCATCTGGCACGAGGGCCTCTTCTACAGACTACTTGAAAGTGGCATTGGAGGAAAAACATATGATTTGATTAAGAACATGTATACAAAAAGTGAATGTGCCATAAAGATTGGAAACAAACAAACAGCGTTCTTCTCCCAGGGCCGGGGAGTGAAACAGGGATGCAATCTCAGTCCAATTCTCTTCAATCTATATATCAATGAATTAGCAAAGCAATTAGAGAGTTCCACGGCACCTGGCCTCACCCTGAACAACACCGAGATCAGAGGTCTGCTGTATGCAGATGAATAAGTGTTACTCTCACCTACTAGAGAAGGTCTGCAGCAGCACCTTAACCTCCTGCAGAGATTCTGCCAGAGCTGGGCCCTGACAGTCAACACAGTAAAGACTAAGATAATGATCTTTCAGAAACAATACAGAAATCAGGTTACACACAATTTCTATTTGGACACCACTAAATTACAACACACAAAAAACTACACTTACCTTGGCCTCAACATTACATACACAGGCAACCTCAACATGGCTGTGAAAGATCTGAGGGACAAAGCAAGGAGAGCTTTCTATGCAATAAAAAGAAACATTAAAATCTATATTCCAATTGAAATCTGGCTTAAAATTTTCCAATTTGTACTAGAACCAATAATTCTATATGGTAGTGAAATTTGGGGGCCAAAACTTAATAATGAATTTGACAAATGGGACAAAACAATCATAGAATCTTTCCATACTGAGTTCTGTAAGAGCATCCTACAGGTGCAGAGAAAAACCCCGAATAACCTGTGCAGAGCAGAGCTCGGCCAATACCCCCTCTTACTAAAGATACAGAAAAGATCAATTAAATTTTACAATCACTTAAAATCAGTTAACCCCCAGATATCATCACAAAGCCCTAACACACCAGGAGCTGAAAGCAGAACAGAGTCCCCTCAGCCAGCTGGTGCTGAGGCTCTCTGCAGTAACCAGTCCCCAACAGCCTCAGGACAGCAACGCCAACACAAGACCAAACCAAATTATCAACAAGCAGAAAGAAAAATATATTGAATACTGGAAAGAAACGACCAAAACACAAAGTAAATTACAACTTTATCTGACCCTAAAAAGAGAATTCACACTGGCAAATTACC